AGGCAGATGGGGAAAGGTAGATGCGGGAAGGGCAGGCACCATCCTGCTGGTGAAGAAGACACCCAAGTCCACTTTCACAGGGCCCATGTTCATTTCAGTGTTAACCTGGGGAGGCAGCAGAAACAGCCCCTCAGAACTCCCAGGGTTTAGAGGTTGAAGGTGCTCTCACAGGGCATAGCAGCAGCCTCGGGAATTTGGGTGTCTTTAAATAACACATTCAGGAACCAATCCTGACCCAAGACAAGCGGCTGCCTTTCTATAGTTTTGGAGAAAAAGAAACATGTTCTGCTTTGACTTAGCTTTCTGAGTTTCCTTTTGATGAACTATTAGGGACTTGTAGTTTTCTTTTTCAAACTCTGAAATTCCATTAGAGAGGTACAAATGGAGTCAGGGACGGCTAGACATTGCTTCCTCAGTCCACCTTGGGGACCCTGTGAGCAACCCTTTACTTAGAGTTGAGTCCTCCTGGGATCCTTGACCTCAGCATTCCTTTTCCTGCTGGTTTCTGACCGTGGGAAAAGATTTGCAATGCAGCTGTTAAGGCTACAGCTGGGCCTCATTCTGTAAACACATTACTGCTACCTATGATCTAGGATTTCCAGTATCTCTGCAATTGCTTGTATAATTATTTTCAAGGCAAAAACTCCTTAGAAGGCCCCAGCCTGTCAGCTCTATCCTGGCCACTCCTCCTCTGGGCTGGGGCCTGAGGAGCCACAGGTGAGCTCCAGTTTTCCAGGATAAGGATACTTATTCCTTGCCAGCAACAGACTCTCACACCCTCCCTTGCTGGCCAAGGTGAAGTCTGGGGCCCTATGTTCCTGAGGTCCATGGTCTCGGGGATCACCTGTTTACACACTCAGGTGTTTTGTTACTGACTGTGCTAAGGGCAAGCTGGGTGTGGGCCTTCAGAGCTTGTAGCTCCCTGGACGGCCATGTTCTTTGTTCACAGTCTTGTGCTGTGGTTATGTCATGAGGGGTGTGAATCTTTCAATGAGGAAAGTTGAATGATGAGAAATACAGGGGTGGGAGAATAGGGGGAACTGGGGAATGCCACCAAGACTCATGATCCTTGGGCATGCAAGGGCACAGCTTTACCAGCCAAAACACCAACATGCTTCCAATCAGGGTGGCAGACACTGCCCCAAGCTCACCCTGAGTGCTTACCCCTCCCAGCCATCTTTGTTCTTCAGATTGGTTAATTTCCATTGTTCTGTCTCTGATTCTTTCTTCTTTATTCTTAAATCTGTTGAGCCCATCCATTGAGTTTTTTTTTTCTGTTGTTGTTATTGTATTTTTCAATTAAAAATTCTATTTTGATTTCTTTATAGCTTCTATTTTTTATTTTTCTAGTTTTTCATTTGTTTCAAGTGTGTTTGTAATTACTTATTAAAGAAATTTTGCTATGGCTGCTTCAAAATCCCTGCCAAATAATTCCAATATCTACCATCCTGGTATTCACACATATTGTCTATTCTCATTGAAGTTGAGATCTTCCTGATATTTGGTATGATGAGTGATTTTCTAGTGTGTTTTGCAGAGCTTCCCTGGCTATAGAGCCCTTGGTGGAGGTGGTCTGAAGACTAGAGGAAGGCCTTCTAACCTAGTGCCGGGGCCTCCCTTTCCTTCCTTAGGGAAGAAGCTTCTCTGGTGCAAGAGACGGCATTCCCTGGGGTGCCAAGAGGGGGTCTCTGTACAGCTCTATTCAGACCCAGGCATTTACCTTGACCCTACAGGGCCTTGGCACCTTGGGGTGGGCAGTGACAGGAGACAGGTTCAAGAGCATGAACCTGAAGACTTAGCCCAGTTTCTCAGGAGCCTGTGGATCCCAAGCTTGTTCTACTCATGACTTATTGGTAACTTTGGACAAAAACAGTTAATGCAATACACCATATCAATAAGATTAAGAACAAAAACCATGTTATCATCTCAACTGATGCAGAAAAAGCATTTGGCAAAATCCAACACCCTTTCATGATAAAAACTCAACAAAATAAACATAGAAGAGAACTTCTTTAACATAATAAAGAACGTTTAGCAAAATCCACAGCTACCATCACACTGAATGTTGAAAGACCAGATGCTTTCCCTCTATGATCAGGACTAAGACAAGGACTTGCCATTGTCATTCAACATCATACTGAAGGTTTCACTGGGTCAATCAGGCAAGAGAATAAGATGAAAGGCATCCAAATGTGTAAGGTTCAGGGGAAGAAGTGTCTTTCCCTCTCCTCACACACCACTCAGCACGACACTTCTGACGCCAGTGTGTGGGGGTTGTTTCCCTACACACCAACCGATTTTGCAGCAGACATGAGGTGTCCTCGAATTCAATCCCATTTCAACACTATCTACTTGGAGATGAGAGTTAGAGCCCACAGGTTGAGGGCACAGCCCATGTAGGCTGCCCCCCACTGCAGATCCAGTTGCAAGTAGTAGGTTGTCCCCTCTACTTCTGACCAACTGGCTGTAAATCAGTAAATCTCACATGCTTCTTGGGTTATATTAATTCGCTAGAGCAGATCATAGAACTCAGGGAAGCACTTTACTTACATTTACGAGTTTGTTAATAAAAGATATAAATGAACAGCCAGATGGAAGGCATGGGAGAAGGGGCACGAAGCTTCCATGCCCTTTCTGCTGAGAATAAGAAACTTTATCGGAAGAATGCCGCCCCCTTTAAATTATCAGGCCTAGAGAGGCACTGGAATCAGGCAGCAGTGAAACCATAATGTATAAAATTAATAAAAGGCCCTAGATGGGAACTGTGGTAGGGGCCTCTACTCTGCAAAGGTGTAGGCACAGTTAAGAATGTGTGTATGACCAGCCATCGTCCCCTGGCTTGCTTTCCTGTACTTGCTTACGCCTCAGGACTCACACAGCTGATGGTCATAAAGATTCTTAGATTTTTTTCGTGGCGCCCATAGATAACATCACCCTTCTGGGGGGAGCTGGAATGAGGACCGGACGCCCCCCACTTACAAAGCACCCAGATACATTCCCTCCACATTGCTTTGAGGGGGCAGATGCACTTGGGGGACAGGCCCAGCTGGGCTAGAACCATGACTGTGTCACGCTCTGGCTGTGTGAGTCTGGAGATATCTTTATTTCTCAGAGCTTCAGTTTCCTGATTTACAAGGTAGGGGCTGCACGGGGCCTGCCGCCCGTTTCCCGGCGGGGCCGGTTAGAAGGCTTGCGTGCGGAACCTGCTGCCAGCTGGAAGGGGCTACGCTCGTGTGGCTTGCTGCTCTGAGGAAGAAGGTGTCCTGGAGGAGTGGAGCAAGGGCTCCTGGCCTTGGATTTGGGAAACCTGGGGTGATGATGTGGCCAATGCTGCACTTTGTCACCTTGGCCCCCCTGAGTTCACCTACAGCTGGGGGGCTGGTCCCCAGCAGGCCAGCAGTGTCCCCTGAACCTCTCTCTGCATGAGGGCTCTTCTGGCTCCCCAGGAGGCTCCTGTCCTGCTGGCACAGATCAGCAGCGCAGCAGGGTTAATGCCGGGGCCACCACCGCCAGCATGGATAGAGCCAGGCCAGGAGGGACACCACTTTCAGGAGGCTGAGCCCATGGTGGCGGCCACAGCTCAAGGCCCCTTCAGGGTTTCTCTCCTCCCAGGCTTCTCTCCCCACGTCCTCGCTCCTGCTTCTCAGGATCGTGTCCAAAACAAACGACTGGCCTCTGAGTCCCTGCACGCTTTCAGGAAACCCCAGACTTGGCTGAGGTTGAACAGGTCACCTCAACTTTCTGGACTTGACTTTTCTCCCTATAGAATGGGGGGGGGTACCTCATGACGTCATTAGAGATATAAAGCATGTGCAAATACAACTGATGCAGAAAAGACACAAGCCCAGCGAATGTCATGGAGCTCACGGAGCCAAGGCAGGAGCAGGACCAGCTTGTCCACGCGACACACAGCGCTGCTGACAGGTGAGACTCGTGTGATTAGGCCACTTAGCCACTGAGGGAGAGGAAATCAGCAAGAAAGACAATGGACGTCTCCAAGAAAATAATCTGAGCATCACAGGATTAGAGAGCTCCTTAGGAAAATTAAGGGGACCTGGGAGATTTTTACCAAAAAGCTATGATTTGGTCAGACAATTGTGTTGCAAATATTAATCAACATTGGATTAATTATTTGTTGGGTCTAGGAATCAGTGCATAGTTGCAAGTATAACCCACATTTGTTACACATAAAATATAATTTTCCCATAACTTTTTTAAGTTAATTGATTTTTTTAAAATTAAAAAAAATTTAATGATTATGGGTACATAATAGTTGTGTATCTTTATAATGGAACATGTGAGTTTTGATACAGGCATACGATATACACTAATCAAATCAGGGTAATTGGAATATCCATCACCTCAGGCATTTAATATTTCTTTGTGTTAGGAACATTCCAATTTTACTCTTTTAGTTATTTTAAACCATACCCTAACTTACTGTTGATTGTAGTCACTTTGTTGTGCTATCAAATATTGTTCATTCTATCCAACTATATTTTTGCACCAATTAACCATCCCACTTTATCCCCCGCTCCCTGCTACCCTTCCCAGCCTCTGGTAACCATCATTCTACTACTCCCTGTTTCCATGGGATCAGTCGTTTTTATATTTAGCTCCCACATATGAGTGAGAATGTGTGAGCTTTGTCTTTCTGTGCTTGGCTTATTGCACTTAACGTAATGCTCTCCAGTTCCATCCATGTCCCATAACTATTAATTATTTCATTTTCCAAGATAAAGTGCTAAGCATGCCGTTTGGAACTTATTTCCTTTGAAGTTCTGGTGTCTGTTTTAAGTAACTGATTCCTGGTACTCACCATCCCTGCTAAGCACAGGGATCCCCCTCCCCACCTGTGTCGTCCCCATTGCAAGTGAGCCCCACGTGGGCAGTGGCCATGCCATGTCCTGGCCACCGATGAAGCTATGGTGCTTGGCACAGATGGAAGGAGGGAGGAAGAGAGGGATGGATGGCGCGTAGCTAGACAGATAGAGGAGGCGTCTACATGAAACAGGCATTTATTCAGGGTGGGGTGGAGGGCGTCACAAGTAGAGGCCCTGGATGGTGTTCAGGGACTGCTTCCAGCTGTCCTTCCAGCGCTGCGCTTCCTTCTCCTGAAGCGCGTTGTCATCCTGGATCCTCTTCAGCTCCTCCTCATATGATGCTAAGTATTTCTGGCAGGCAAGGAGGAAGGTACCAGGATGGGCCACATGAGGAGGGACTTCTGGACTCTCTGCCCTAGAGGAACGCTGGAGCCTGCTGACAGGTGGCTTTTAACCCATTCCAGGCACTGGCAAGAGTTGTACAAGGCATTTCTCATGTGATTTTCCCCACAGCTCATTTTACAATTGGGGAAGCTGAGGCTCAGAGCCCTGTCTGAGGTCAGCCAGCTAGAAAAAGGCTCAACAGGGACTAGGAACTGTGTCTATCTGACTCTGGACTCTGCACCTTTTCTAATCTCTGTCCTGCACTGCAGCCCGCCTGGGGAGCAAGGGTCCCGGTTTTTTGACAGGCAGAGCCCTCCAGGCCTCTCGCCCTCACTGCACTCAGCGGGCAGAGCTGCTCCCTCTGCCTGGGGCTTGGAGGGGCAGCTGGACAAGGGCCAGCCCTGGTCAGTTTGGCTTCTCCTAATAGTGGGGCCAGCTGACCTCTGGGAAGGACAAGGTTCCTCTCTGGGCACCAGGACCAAAGATCCATGGATTGTCAGAGCTGAGAGGTCCCCTGGGTGGCCTTTGGGTGCAGCCTCCTCATAAGGCCAGCTGCACGGGGCTCTAACAGCACTAGGATCAAATCCTGGCTCTCCCACCCTGTCGTGGCATAAGGGGGGGCCTCAGTGACCTCATCAGTGAAATGGGGACAATGATTCTACCCCTTGTGGTGGTGTTAGGGCTCAGCTTGATGCCTCATGTCAAGAACAGAAGCTACCAGCAAGTACTCAGGAACTGTGTGTCCCTGCTCCTGCTACTGTGTTCCCCATGGGGAACCCTTGGCACCATCGCTTCTGTGCCTGTCGACAATGTTCCCTTTCTCCACCCCTGTCGGGGTGGGACAACCCTGGGCTGGGCTCCCATGGCACCGGATCACACCTCAGACCCATGCCAGCAGTGGATGGCCATGACCCACAGCACATCCTTATGTCCTGGGAGTTGAGACCTGCCACTCTGGGGTGCACTGACATGATGTCTGCCGTGTGGGCCAAATGTCAGGGTGCGGGGCGATGAGAAGCTCCCCCTTCCCGAGGCAGCTCCCTGGGACATGCCCACCCCTCCCCGTCTCACCAGGTACACAGCGTCTCGGGCTTCCACGGCCGCCAGGTGGCCCAGGGTTGTTTTGATGGTGAAGATCGATGCTGTTTTCCGGAGAAGAATCTTGGTTTGAATCGTGAGTTCGGTGGGTTTGATTCCTGGCCACTTCCTACAGACAAACATGTATGTGGACGTCCCATGGGTTTGTCTCCAGCATTCACAGTTCACCTACCACCCCTGTTGGAACAGCTGAGCATTTCTTTAAAACAGTTATCATGGTTCATAGTTTTAAACTTATTATTATTTTTTTTTTTGGTTGGGGCGGGCTATGGGCCCAATGGCCCCTGGCTTTAAACACCTTCATGAAAAGGAAAAACCCTACTGAGTATTAATGCTACACTGTTTAAAGTTCTGTTTTGTATTTCCATACCATTTTAGTCACTGTGTGTGTGCAGGTAATTTTGGGTTCTGTGTGGGGAAGGGGGGTGCCAGCCCTCAAGTGGTTTCCATTTTCCTGGGCTTCAATTTCCTCAGAAACCTGCCAGCCAGGTGGTAGCCGCCATTCCTGGCCCATTTTCCTATTACCTGTAAAGACCACTTCTGAGAACATAGCTACACAAACCACTGCTCAGCTGCTTCTTGCAGTCACATTCTCGGGGTACAGGAGACAGGCACTTTGACAACACTCTTCCTATCTAACAGATAGCTGGAGTGGGTCACAGTGCCAGCAGTGACCCAAGAATGTGTCTCCCACTGAGACAGGCCTCCCTTTCACTGTGGGCCCCTTTGGTGGGTCCTTATCATGTGAACTAATAGCTGTTGAGCTCTTGGTATATGCCCGGGGCACTCCATGTACCACCTCATTTAACTTTCCCTCTATAACATCATGTAGACTGCCATGCATGCCCATTGCACAGATGAGGAACTGAGGCCCAGAACACAATGCCTCTCCTAGGTTACCGGGTCTGCCTGACTTCAGAGCCCGAGCCCCTAAGCATTACACTGCCCTGCCCCCCCCCCAATACAGCCACTCATGGCAGCCCGAGGGCTCTTGGCTCTCACCTGCTCCCACGTTCAATCAGGGGCTTCTCACTCTCTTCCTCCAGGGACACCCCAGAGAGCTTCCTCCGTATGAGGAGTGACATTTTCTGCTTGGAGGGCTCCATCCCTGGCAGGCAAGAGACGGGTTACTGACTGCGGCTTCACCGACAGCCTAAGATCCTGGGACTTCCCTTGTCATGTTCCATTTAGAGATATGAGGGCTCCAGTGGCCGGCAGAGCCCCCTCCACAGAGAAGCTGAATGTGCCAGCTATGCAGCAGGGTTAGGTGGCAGGGGCGGGGGGTCTTTGCTTAGGGAATCTGAGGAGTGGTTTGGGTGCTATTCCCAGCTCCAAATTCCTGAGCTTGTGGGAATGAGAGCCTGTGAACTGTGGGCCAGGTGCCTTGGCTCACGAGCCTCTGAAAGCCTGGTGCAGGGTCTTCCCAGCCTGGTGCTCCCTGCACAGTGCTCCAGTCACAGCCCATCTGCCAGTTCTCGCCGGGGTCTCAACTCCAGTGTCCCTGCAGGGCCTGCTTTCCCAAATGAGGCTCACCCTCGACAGAGACCCCCAAATTGGAAAGTGGCCAGCATCTCAACAATGTGTGTACGTTTTGACCCAGAAACTGCGCCTCTAGGAGTCTGTCACCCCACAATAGAGATGTATGGATGCAGAGATGTTCTTCAGCACAATTACAGGAGTGGAAATGGGAAATGGCCCACTGTTCAATCGCAGGGGGCTAATCAGCAAATTGTGATGCTTAGTCAATCACGGTGTGCACGAGCTGCTAATGCTCAAGAGGAGTGTTGACTGGCTGGGCAAGGTCCACCTGCAGGGAAATCAGGTCAAAAAAGTGCACGGGCCCTAAAATCCTCCCCACCTGCCTCGACACACGTGAAGGCCTGTGCCCAAATGAAAACGAGTGGAACTAAGAACAGCAGGTGCAAAGGGCGTGATTTATGCACGGAAGGAGCGTGTTCTTCACTTGCTTCTTGGTTCATATCGAATTCCTTTTTTTTACTACAGTGAACAATAAAAATCTTTAAGAATAAAAATAATGTATTTTCATTACTTTAGTGATAAATGGATAACATTTAATGTATGATTTTAATCTTCTTATAGTTATAAAAGTAATAAGCACATTTTTAAAAATGTAGACATCACCTTATGGTGGAAAAAAAGATTTTAGAGATCTCTCACAGTGCCACCTGGCGGAGGTGATCACTAGCAGTTTGGTACTTACCTCTCAGGCTCTGTCTCTCATTCTCTGTCTGTCTCTGACTGTCTCTCACAGATTCATTTAAACATATGTGAGTATGATATTGATAACACATATGTGTTTTTTTAAACATGAGATCATAGATATGTCCTGTTTGTCAATTTGTTTTTGTCACATAACGGTCCTCCTTCATGTCTTTCCATGTCACACCTGCAGACCTGCCACCCCCTCTGTGACAGATCTGCACTGTCATTCATGTATCTCAACCCCTGTATAGCGATAGTAGTGCTGTTCCTAATTCTTTGCCATTTCAAACAGCACTGTGATGAATATTATTGAACATTTATCTTTTTTCATTTTTATTTATTATTTTTTTGAGACACGGTCTCACTCTGCTGCATGGGGCTAGAATGCCCCAGGTGCCATCATAGCCCCAGTGGTGTCATCATAGCCCCCTGTAACTTCAAACTGGGCTCAAGCAATCCTCCCGTCTCAGCCTCCCAAGTAGCTAGAACTATAGGCACTCACCACCATGCCCAGCTAATTTTTCTATTTTTAGTAGAGACGGGGTCTCATTCTTGCTCTGGCTAGTCTGGAACTCCTATCCTCAAGCAATCCTCCCTGCCTTGGCCTTTCAAAGTGCTAGAATTACAGGCGTGAGCCACTACACCCAGCCTGAATGTATATCTTTGAAAAAGTGTCCAAGTATTTTTCTGCTAGATAAATTCCTAGAATTATAATGCTACTAAATATATCAAAGGTATACATATCCAGAATGTTGACAGGACTGACAAATGGTTCTCCAAGAGAGAGTATCCATGTATACTCCCACCAAGGGTCCCTGTGGTGTCTCTGTTTCCTGACATTCTCATCAGGGTTGTTGTCACCAAACTTAAAAACTTTGCCAGGCTACTGGTGAAAAATTGCATCTGAATAATGTTTACATTTGTGTTTTTCATCATCAATGAAGTCAAGCATCTTTTACAGTCACTGGCCATATTCATTGCTTCTCTTCTGAAGTGTGTTGTGTCTTCCGTCTCTTTAAAAATTCGACCACTGAGAGGTTTTTTTTTGTCCACAGGGATATTCATTCTTTCTCTGACCTATAGGTTGTGAAGAATACTTTTCCAGTTTGTGGTTTTTCTTTCTATCTCGTGACAATTTTCTGTTTTTGTTTTGGCTATACAGAAGCGTCAGCCATTTCCTTTATGGCTCCTGGCTCTCATATCATATTTAGAAGAAGTGTCCCTAACACCAAAAGCTTGAAAATATTTACTTTTAGGGTTTCATCTTCATATAATCTTTGACCCATCCAGCATCTGCCTTTTTCAATCAAAAAATTATTTTTAACAAAAACAAGCAAATACAAATTCATGAGTCCCCTCAGTAGAGAACCTGTTTTCACTCCGGTAGAGTTGAGGAAAGCAGAGCCCTCCCCGCCCAACCTACCCCTCACCAAGCCCCCAGGGCCAGAGCACAAGGCTGGTGGTGCCGCTTACTTGCAACCTGGACGTCGTCGATGGTGACCACTTCATCCAACTGCATCAGGAACTTCTCGGTGAAGGAGGCCAAGCTGGCTATGAAACTCCGGCCGTTCTTCCAGGTTAATTCCTGGAAGGAACATGGTGAGCACAGTCCTGCAGGGAGAGGAACTCCCCCTCAAGGCCGGAGGGAGGCGGTACTGGGTGGACTTGGCAGGGAGGATGTGGGGAGCCGGCTGGTGAGACCAGACCAAAGCCGTGTGTCATTTGTGTCCGAGCTACCGGGCATCTGGTTCTCAGCCAGGAGGCCTCTCCCAAGAGGCGATTGGCTTGAAGATAAGAAATGATTCAGAAATGGCCAAGGGACACAAACAACTCACAGCAGAGGAAATACAACTAAATGTGGATCATGGAAAAAAAGTCATCATTAATAATTTGGTGAAGTAATTTAGAAATCAAAGAGGATACAACTTAGAACATCCAACAATGATCATTTTCACCTACAGAACCCACCCACTTTCATTTCTACTTTGGCCAAGGTGCCAACCAAAGGCCGCACACAGTGCTGTCAGTGGATGTCCACCAGGGCCGTCTTTCTGGAGGGCACCAGGCCGGGGACTCAATGGCACCACTGACCTCCAGCTTCTCCTTGTGTTTCCTAATAGCATTGTCCAGCTCTTCCTGTCTTTTCTCTTCTGCTAAATGTAGAGATTCCATTTCTTGAAAATGTGTGGGGTGTCCAAGACTAGGATGGAGCTTCTGAGCATTTTTATCCTTCAATCAAATAATCAAGATTCAGCAGTTTTCAACCTAGTCTTGAGGTCGGCACCAAAAAAATCATTGGCCTATGTCCTTTGTCAATTATGACCATGGCCAGACTTAGGTGTCCTCTGACCTGGATGTGTGGATGGCCATGGTGGGCAGAGGAGTGGCAGAGAGGGCTAGCCAGGGGAGTGGCTGGAGCTGACTCAGAGGGCTCAGAGAGGGCAGGCTGAGCATCTGCCCAGCACAATGGGGCTTTAGTCCAGTGAAATCAGCAGCATCCCTGTCCATGGCTCCAAGGACCAGTGTGGACAATCTCAGTGACTACATCCCCACTGAACCCAGCAGACCACCCTATAACTCCAACAAGGAGTTCACTGAGTGCTTTCCGTGAAGGAGTTATTGGCTTAGTCCTTATTTCCCAATGCCTCCTGGCCTTCAGCCCCATCTGATAATCCCAAGCCTGGCTTATCGCCTCCCCTTGGACTTGGCTCTGCCCACGACCTTCCTCCATTTCTGAACTCCCAGGACCCCTGGTCCTGTAGTGGAAGGGCTGGGATCCCCTCACCTTTCTTCTCTCCAGCTTCTTCTGCTGTTCCTCAAACTTTCCTCGGTTCTCTTTCATAGAGGTGGAAAATCTTTTCCAGTGGTGCTCCTTGAAATTCTCCATCACCAGCCAACACACTTTGGGCAGCATCTCCTCAAATTTCCTCATCTGGGCCCGTAATTCTGCAGGAATTGAGAACATTAGCCAAGGGAGAGAACAGGTTAGAATCAAGTTGCTGAGGTGATCTCACCATCTCACCAACAAAAATCCAAAGCAGTTTCCCAAAGAGAAAACCTTGGTCTCCAATGTGGTAATAGCTATTCCATCAAAAGGGGGCCCATGGTCAAACCAGTATAGGAAATACTGGCTTACACAAGTTAAAAGGGCTTCTCCTCTATATTCTGCAGACGTTCAGCTCATTTAAAATGCATTGAGTCTTTCAGCATTTCTGGAAAGTTCTCATCCATTATCTCTTCAACTACTGCCTTGACTCTAGTCTCCTCCCTCTGGCTTTGTACCTTCAAACAGCCATATGTTAGACACTCTTTCATTCACATCTCTTCACCTCTCTCCCATATTTTCATCTCTTTGCCTTTCTGTGTTATATTTTGGATATTTTCTTTGGATATGCCTTCCAATCCAACAATTCCACTTTCAGCTGTGTATCACCTGGTAGTAAAGTCATTCACAGTTGTAAAATTTCAACTCTTAATTTTTCTTTTGTAGAAGTTCTATTTTATTCTCTTTCACATCTACTTGGTCATTTTAAGAGTCTCTTGCTCCCTACTCATGTTTCAAATTCCATCTTTTATTTAACAATAAGTGTATTATTTTATATTCTGCATCTGATACTTTTAATATCTGAAGTCTTCCCTGGTCTCATTCTGTTGCACCTTGCTCAAGGTGTTTTGTTTCCTTGTGATTGTGGGAGCTTTATTGTTGTTATTGTTTGTTTATTACTGTGAGCTCTTATTCTGGGCATTTTATCTGTGGGAATCCCTTGAGGCCTGAGTTGAAGGTGGGTTTTTCTAGAAATGATTTTTAGTGTCTCCAATAAGCAAGCTTCTGGACACCACTAAAACAAGATCATTTTAAACTAAGGTATCAGATTGAGGTCCTTGGATGCTCCATAAAAACAAAATTGAATTCATATTTAGATAACCTGTGAATTCAGGTTTAGAAACCATATAAGGTAGCAAATAAAAATATAGAAAAAAATAAAAGAAAAGAAACCACATAAGGGCTGACTTATAGTTCTGGATTCTCATTGGAGTTTTTTCTTTTTCTTTTTTCCTTCACTCAGTACCAAGGTTTTTGATAAGACAGTTTCCTTCTAGTTGCTAGAGGGAGAGAGAGAGAGGAGCTTGGTTATGTCTCATTCACTTTACTTTGCAGATGGAGGCCTGCAGAATTCCAACTTTAGGTGGCATGTCTCCTTTTAGACTTCCCACCTTGGGGGGTCAGTAGATTTGTTGCCTGTTCCCAATGCCCGGACGGCCATGAAAATGGAGACTCAAGTTCACCTAGAAGTCAGCTAATCACCCTAGGGCAATAACCAGAGTTACTCCTCAAACCCAAGTTATCACTCAGAGTTTCTATTTTCATTTATTTTTGTGGCTTTTGTGTGTTTCTTACTTTATAGATAACTCATCAATGCATTTAAAAGATTTTATCACAAAAATATTATCTCCATCATATTACATGTCTTCAGTGGGAGAGTTGGTCAGGATACTGGCCTGCCAAACTGCTGGAACTAGAAGTCTGTCTTAATGTGAATTGCGAATCAACCAGAGGGACACAATCTACAGCAATTTCCAAATCCATTTGACCACGGAACCTTTGGGGAATGATCACATAGGATGGGATTCCCACAGAGCTCACTTGAGGAAGTTCTGAGCTAGAGAAACATAACATTGTCTGTAGTTTCAATTCTAGTCATTCAACAACCACAGCAATGTGAGCTACCATTGACTATTCCCTGTACATGCCAAGTCTGTACAAGGGACTTACTCCTCATAAAAGCTTCCATTGTGGGTGTTATTATGTCCAGTATAAAGACAAGGAAACTGAGGCTAAGGAGGTGAGATCATGTGGCCAAAGTCATACAGCTGGGAGATGGCAGCGTTGGCTCCTGGTCCCAGGTGTGCTGTTGGAACCACCCCTTATAAAATTAATGAAGGGCCACAAGGAGGGAACTGTGGTGGGGTTCTGAACTCTGCAAAGGTGTAGGCACAGGTAAAAAATATATATAACCAGCCATTGTCTCCTAGCTTGCTTTCCTGTAATTGCTACTCAGGAGCCACATAGCCGATGGTCACAAAGATTCTTAGCTTTCTTCATTATGCCAAAGATACCACCATTCTTGTGAAACCTAGGACTAGTTTTTGAGATATCTTCCAGGCTCTGCATTCCAGTAGACTGGCTGCCCCACCTAGACCAGTGGCCCATACCAAGGAACTGATCCAACTGGACTTGTGACCCCCATCCAAGAACTGACTCAGCACAAGAAGACAATTTCTTCACCCCTGTGGTTCTACTCTGAACCCAGCAGATCAGCAGACCCAATTACCTCGCCCTTTGCACACCAAATGTCTTTAAAAACCCTTTCTTGGAGAGATGGCTTTGAGAACATCCTCCCATATCCTCGCAGGTGCCTGCAATATTAAACCCTTTCTCTGTTGTAACACTTGCTGTCTCAGTGTATTGGCTTCCTCTTGTGCAGCAGGCAATGAACCTGGTTGGCTGTAACACTATCCCCTGATCTCTCCTACTTCTCCCCAGGCAGCCTCTGAAACAACACAGCACACCACAGCAAAATGTGGTAGATCCATACAATGGAATATTATTCAGTGATAAAAAGAAATAAGGTTTATGCCTGCATAATAATATTTTTGCATAAATCTTAAGAACATTACACAAAATGAAAGGAACCAGTCACAAAAAAAGAGCACATACTATACGATTCCATTCACATGAAAGAACAGAATAGGCAGTCTATAGAGGCAGAATGCGGATTAGTGGTTGCTTAGGGCTAGGGAGAGGATGGGAGGGTAAGGTTGCTAAAACTGATGGTGGTGGTGATTGCACAACTCCAAATAAACCAAGAGCCAATGAATTGTACACTACATGGGTAAATTGTGTGGCATGCAAATATCTCAATAAAGCTGTAAAAATCATCTGTAGAAGGAACAAAATATTTTTTGAGGTATAAATCACTATATTTCTCAAGAAATGTGAATTTTCTTGCATTGTTTTTTTTACCCAGTTAAATCTGATCATTGTTTTTACCTAATTGAAGAGGTCAGCTTTTCACAGGGAGGCTCCTCTGTCTCCCCAGTGACTTCCAAATCGGGAGGGTAGGATCCAGGCCACAAGGCCCAGGCCAAGCTCCACCACCCAACTCACCACCCCTGCCGCCGGCTTCCCACACACACCCACAAGGCAGGAGTTGTGGTACTCCTCCGTCTGGCTCTGGTACTCCAGGATCTTCTTGCAGATGTTGTCGGCACACTGGTCGAAGGTTTCATACATGCAGTCAGGCCTGGTTATTGGGCGCTGCCTCTCTTTGCGGTAAAACTCCTGCCAGAGAGGGTTGACTGTGTGTGGGCAAGGACCTGCTGTGGGACTGTGGCCCTAGCCCCTGGGACCCACCGGTCCACCCCTCCTAGCCTTTGTGTATACCATGCCCTATGCTGTGGATGCTCTTCCTCCCTGGCTACCCTTGTCACCTCCCCGGATGCCCTTGTCACCTCCCTCCATATGCCATGGCCAGCCCTCGTTATTTCTCAAGTGAGTGAATGGCAAAATCCTATATATCCTTTAAGACTCAAATCCATGGACTCTCGAATCAGTGACCAGGCTGGGAATGTGCCTGGAAGCACCAAGCTGGGTATGGGCCATCGGCCACAGAGGTGGACGAGCCAGAGACCTTGCCCTGGAGGCAGGCATCCCCGTGGAAAGTGGACAGGAGGCCACTCCAGCACCACTGTGCAGGGTGTGCAGGGATAGGGCGCTGGGCAGTGACTCTGGGAGGCCCCCCAGGTGCCCCCTCCCACAGCCCCACCCCTCTCCCTGTGCCCCACCACGTCTGTTGGCCTCTGGCTGGGCTCTGGGCAACTCAGGGACAGGCTGGGCTTGTTGCTCTTGGGAGACCCACTTCCTGACATGTAGCCAGCATTCAAGAAATGCTCGGTGACCGATTACACAAATAATGAATGAATGCTGAACGAACGAGGTGTAGTCTCTAGGAGAAGAAAACACCACAGGAGAAGACAGAAGTTGGGGAGCCGAGGTCATTGGGGTGGAGTCCTCTCTTCCTTATTTCCCCCTCGTGGCCGTGGCCAGCAGGCTGCCGAGGGCAGAGGCAGCTGGGCCCGTGGACAGAGGTCCTCACCTCCGCAACCGACAGCAGGTGCTCGTTGCTCTCCCAGAGGAGGAGCATGATGGTCCCTTTAAAATCCCTGTAACACACACCAGGCAGATAGATCCCTGAGGGTCCTTGTCTACATGTCCCAGCGTGAATAAAACCAAATGAACAACACTTTCCGAGTGCTCTGTTTCGGCCTGTTACTCCTGTAATCACTACCCCAGGACCTTTGCACACCCTGATTCCTCTCCATAAAAGCTGCTAACTTTCTTCTTGGTTGTGTTTGCTCCTGCTCTCCCTCAGATCTTGGCTCAGCACCAATTTCTTACTTCCTGGTTCTGATGCTGTCGGGGCTGCCCTCAGCCCCACAGCGCTCTAATCAGGATTCGGGATTGATCCGTGTGCCTGGCTGGTTTTAACCTCCCTCTCTCCCAGCAGACTGTGAAGTCCAGTAGGTGTTTAAAATATTGAATGGGAGCCTATTGGGCTGAAACGGCTCCACTCCCTGGGGTTTCTACATGTGCAAAGCCAAACCCAGCTCAGAGTGAATGGCTACAGTCTAGGCAAATGAAACCCAAGTTTAACCAGTGAGGAATGGCCAGCGAGGGACTTTCCACTTAACTAAGCAGATATTTTCTTTGTCTTGCTTCTGTAAACAACTAATGAGCGTTTTCCCGTCTACCCCTCGGTGGAGCCCTGACCTGCTTGGGGTCTGGCACTGCCTGATTCATGAATTACTGTCTGCTCAAATAAACTCGTTAAGATCTTTATGTGGCCGACTCTATCTATTAGCACAGGACATAGACTGTGTGTGTCTGTTCTTGTTCACCAGGAAATCCCTCACCCCAGGGCAGTGACTACGCCTGCCAGTGCCTCAGGATTGGTTGAAAGAAGAAAGAATGATTACATATAAATAATAATCAAATGAACAGGACTTTGGGTAGGACCGAACACCTTCCTGCATCGAACTAGAAAAAACAAGAGTCGAGGTGTCAATGGTGCAGGAATGTCTTGGTGTGCGGGAAAGGGAATGTCTAGCCACCGGCTTGCGGGTGACGTCTGGGCTCTCTAAAGTAACGGCCACCCCTCTCTGCATGGTTCCCAATCCCCAGAGATGAGACGCCCCCAGGTGAAAGGGCTGCTGAGAGGGGCGCTGTATGGGAGCTCCTGACTTGGGGAGCGGGGGCTCCTTGGCGGAGCTTGACTTTCTCCAAGGGCTTTTCCCTTTTCTGAACTTGAGATTTTGCTTGTTCGTTTGAAAGGAAGCCATACTAAGGGGACCAGCTCTAGTTTTAAACAAAGAAATGACAATAAAGGAAAAGAGAAATTGCAGGGGGAGGGCATTGGAAAAAATTACCAAAAACCCAAAACCTCAAAGGGTCTGCTGCCCTGCCACCGCAAAATGCTTAGCTTGGAAAATGTACAGTTTTGGTGAAAGAGACTCTCAGCAAATGTAGGTGAAATGGGCTGAGACAAAATGACCTCGGGCCTCCCCATCCCCTTTCTTGTCTTTCTGTTTCCCCTCAGCTGAGTCAGATTTGGCCGTCCCCTGCTGCAAACACAGGGTAACTGCAGTTACAGGAAAAGACCTTGTCACTTACTGGGCAGGAGGCGGCGGCTTTTCCCCAAGCACCTGGTACTTTCTGTCCATTCTACTGAGCTTGATATGCCTTGTGAAGCTGTGGGACAAAGGTGGCTCACTGCTCCGGAGGCTGGGGACAGATGATGGCAGGTCTGAACCGACGGAAGCCCTGCCCAGGCGGCTGGAGGCGCTGGGCCCGCCCGTGGGCAGCCTGACTCCCATTTCTGGGTCCGAGCTCTTCATGATGACTTCCTACTCCTCAACGGCTGTGAAGACAACCTTACCCTGGGCTGAAACCTTTGCCACCAAAACCCAACCACGGCTGCTGACAGAAAGCAAGGGGCAGAAGTGCTCAGGCCCAGCGATTTGCATCCTTGCTTCCCTGGGGTGAGGACCCAAAGAAAAAGACCCAAAGAGTCACAGGGAGCGTTGCCAGATATATCGAATAGACAATACAGTCCACCCATTTAAACTTGAATTTCATATAAGCAAAGAGTAATTTTTAGTATAAGTATGTACCATGCTATATTGGGGACATACTTATACTAACAAATTAACTGTTGTCCAATTTAGCTGGGCACCCTCTCTGGCACCCTGTCTTTTATCTGGCAACTCTAGTGACATGTACTTCATGTTGTAACCTCTTAGAGACTGAGCACAGACACGGCTGGTGGCTGGATCCTATGTGCAAAACAGAGCTCTGGCCCACGGCCTGCAGCAACCCGTGCAGGAGACCAACCCCTTATCCAGGGCAAGCGGCCCAGGCAGCCGGCCTGCCAGAAGTCGGAACCACAGGGAACCAGAGTGCTAGCTCCAGCGACCATCCAGGAAGCTAAACAATATCTCCTGTAACAATAGGCCCCAGAACTTGATTAATAAACAACAACTTCCCTAAGTTTTATACTCATTTCCAACTTGGGACCAACCCGAGTCAAATATGCCCCTGTAGCCCACTGCGGGGGGGATGCCCTGCAGCCTCCAGCTCCCCAGGCCGACAGCTCCCACCAGGCACAGCGGCTTCCCCGTCCTCTGCCCACCCTGGAGGCTCTGCTGAGAGCCCTTGATGGTGGCCGGCTCCTTGCTATAGCCTTTGTCCCTCTCACTCAGCTGCCTTTGCTTCTTCCGACAGACTGACCACCCTGATGGGGCTTAGTGGGCAGAGCACCAAAGCCCGAGGCTCCTGTGGCTCCATGACGTCACCCCAGGAAAGCCATCTGCTCCATGGCTCCACCTGTCCCTCTTTCTAACCACGACCACGAGTGTGGGAGGGAGCAGGGTTGAGAGACACCAAACTGGGACCAAACTCCCAGACACTCTCTTGAGGCCAGAGGCCGATGTGAGCCATGTCCCTCTGCAGGATGAGCTCAAACCCGACGAAAGCCGGCATCAGAGCTGGACCATTCTGAGACAGCAGCTGGGAAAGCAACAGGTTGTCCCCTGCCTTTGGGGGGAGGGGCTGAAGTTGGGAAGGGGTCCTGGGCAGCCCCTGCCCTACCTCCCTGCAGAAGTGGTGCTGGCAATGGGCGTGGCCTTCTTCATAATGCTTTCTGGCCGGTACCGACGCTTCAGGCCTTTGGGTGACAAAAGCCAGGATGAGAGTGAGGATGGGAGTTGAGGACGGGCCACTCAGCACCACCAGCTTCCCAATTGCTGCCCCCAGGCCACAGGCCTTGGTGCCTCTACCTGTCTGGAACCGATCTTTGTCACTCTGGTCTGGCCATTTTAAGCTGGAAAGTACAAAACCAAAGGAAAGGATGTGAGCTTTTCCACAGTGACCATGAGGACAGCTCAGGACAGGCTAGGGGCAGCATCCCAGGTGGTCCCCGGGAGTCCTATCATGGGCCCCATTTCAGGAACTGAGGTTCTGAGTGGGAAGCCCCTTGCTCAAGGGTACAGGGGGACCCCAGTGTGTGGGGCCCCCAAGCCAGTCCCTGAAGGTTCACGGCCATGGGCCATGGTGGCAGGGCCCCAGTGTGCACCCCGGGGACACTCACTGCAGGATCTTTTTGACCACCTCCACAGCTGGGTCTTCAATCATGGGCTTCCCCATGCGGCTCGGCAGGGCAAATGACTCAGGGTTGACCGGTTCCTCCTTGGGCTCGTCTTCGAGGACTTCTAAAGATACCACAATTTCACTGTCCTCCTCCAGGTCAGTCAAGATGGTGTCCTGCCAGCCAGAGAGAAGGGCCGAGTGTGTGGAGCCCAGCCCAGGTGTGGGGGAGGCGGCAAGCTGGGTTCACACTCCAGCACCTCCTCATCCAAGTGGTGTGGCCGGTGGCAAGCTGGCCAACCTCCTCTAGCCTCTTTCTTCTCTTTTTAAAGTGGTGGAGGTCCTGTCTCCCTTAGAGGGTTGCATTTGTCTGTTCATCCATGCCTTTAAACTGTTTCCCGAGTACCTGCTCTGCACTGGTCTCTGTCTGTGTTCTGGGGACATGGACCAAGAGGTCACCTGTGATCCTTGCCCTCAACGGAGCTTGTAGTGTCATCAGAAGAGATGATGTTTACCTTGCACTTATGCCAATAAATGCTTGATCAAAATTTGGACCAGTACTATGAAAGCAAAGTTCCAGCATCTTCTGTGAGATTGAAGTGAGACCTACAGATGTGCCCAGGCAGCGTTTCTGGCCAGATGGACGAGGGAATGAGTGAGTGCCAGGCTGAGCAAGTGGCCAGCTCCCAGCGAGCAGGACCTTAGAGAAAGGGTGGAACCTGTGGCCACTGTAGGAGCTTAGTCAGGCTGTCCCTATGTCATTCTGAGTCTCATCTCAGCAGTGGCCTGTCAGCCCCTTGAGGGAAGGGCCGAGGACGGACCCATGGAGCCTCCACCCTGCCGGGGGCTGCACTGATGGAGGGGATGGTGGCCTAGCGCCGGCTGTGTGGTGGGAAGGGCTTCCTTGCAGGAGGAGGGAGGAGGCTGGTCACGGCTTGACGGTGCGAGCAGGGCCTGGTGTGCTGCGTTTGTGCAGCCGTCAGCTCTCTGGCCCTGAAAGTGGGCTGAGCACTCTATGGCTGAAGCCCGGGGTGAGGAGGGGGCAGGGGTGCGGGTAACGCAGGTGCCGCCCTGTCAGGTCCGCGTCTGGGGCAGACAGCCCCTCAAATGGGGGCCACACTGTGTGGTCTGTGTGCTTGTGGGGAAGTGGGTGGTGCTGCGTGGGCCAGGAGACCCCAACCCCGACCAGGGGTGGGAGACGGCTTAGGGGAAGTGACGCCTTTGACAGGGTGAGAGGGGTGAAAAGGCATGTGGGACAGGCCACCAAGGCTGCTGTGCGTATCCAGTTAAAGGGTTGGGACTTTACCTGAGGGCAGGGAGGTGACATGGACAGACCTCCGATGTTTGGTCTGGCTGCAGCTCAGGGAACGGACCACGGGGGATGCACAAAGATATGGGTGGCCAGGTGGGTGGGAGGCAGCGGGTCTGGACAAGATGGTGGGGGGCACAGGGAGAAGCCTGGGTGCAGGTGGGTAGGAAGGAGCTGAGAGGTGGGGCTGGCCCGAGAGCCAGAGGACGGGGTGAGTCGAGGGTGCTGATGGTGGTGCCAGGGAAGTGGCCCACTGGGGGTTAGAATCCAGATCTGACTCTGCTTGTATCTGTCCATGGCATCTCCATGGGCCTGGTGTCCAGCAGAGCCCTGCTGATCTCTAGGGTGCCCAGGCAATAGCTCAGCTCGCTTCCCTGCAGCCCCGCCCACTCCTTACCGTAAAGACCACCTTCGTCACAGATACCGTGTCCAGGCTGCAGTTGAGGTAATGGATCCTCTGGCTCAGTCTTTCTTTCCAAGTTCGGATAAAGCCCATGAGGTCTTCTGTGGTCACTCCCTAGTGAGGACGCAGAGGAAGGCAGACTTAGGAAGCAGCCTGCAGGAGAGCAGGTGGGTTGCACGGGCACTGCAGGAACGGGCGCTGGTCTGGAGAGGATGCCTCCTGGCTCAAAGGTGGCCCCTCCCTAGCAGGGAGTGCCCAGGGGAGTGGCGACGCTGGGCTGGCTCCCCTGGGTGGCTGCACTGAGCCAGCACGCACTTCACTGAGAAGGGCATCGAGAGTTCTGTTCCTGGTTCTGTTACAGGTTCAACGCCAGGCAAACGCCTTGAACTTGCTCAGCTCAGTCTCCACATCTGTAAGATGAGGACACAGAATATTCCCCAGGCTTTCTCCTGGCTCTAACATTCTGTGTTTAGAAGGAATATTTGGTCCAGGTGGTGAGGGTGTGTCGGAGTGTGTAGGAGGGCAATCTGGCCATCTCCATGGCAATGTCTAACATGCACCCCCCTTTGGAGCAGCACCCCACAGGTGTGCAGGGATGCAACGTGAGGATCTTCTCCCTCACCCATACTCGAGGCACTGGTACGACTTGCAGACTGTCAAACCAGCCTCCTCCATCAATGCAGAAACGCCTGCACAACCACGCTCACATGTTCCTCACCTGGCCCGGAGGCTGCTCAAGCCCCTGGCACCTGCTCAACACCCGGACGGGAGAGGACAGAGCAGGAGGGAAGCCAGGAAATGTGAAAGACTACACGTTTCTGCTTGGAAGAGGCAGAGCCTGCCCTAAAGGGCCTGGTGAAGGGTCGCAGCGGACTAACCTCATTTTTCCCCTGCTCCCTGGTGGGTGGGCTCAGAAGCAAGACCAGCTAAGTCACCGGCAGAATATAGGAACCACCCTTCCTCTGCACGTCTGCACTGTAGTGCAAGTAACCTCGGTGGGTGTACAGAAACACGTGCATGGATGTACCTATCAGGGTTTGGAGTCCAAAATGAGAATAGTGTGAGAGACATTTATTCTGCACTCGATGCTTTGCGCATGTTGAACTTTTCTTAAGAATCATGCAATGCCATGAAAGAAAAAGCAATAAAGAAAGAAAAATAAATGTCCTCTTAGTGCTAGCAATAGAACCACAACTCAGTGTCCCTGAAATGGAAGAGAAAGCACAGAGGATGGTGAGGAGGAGGCTTCCCACCCCAGAACCCTCAGGCTGGGGCGTCTGGTTCTGGGAGCATCTGGCCAAGCTGTTAAGGAAAGGGGTTTCTCGGGGTGGCCTGGGCACATGTGGAACAAGGCACAGAGATGGGCACTGGTGGTAGATAAACAAGCACAAAGACAGCCAGAGACCTGCTCTGCTGACTGGGGCCTGGCAGGCACTTGGAACCATGCAGCTCCCGAGCTCTGCTCCAATTCTGACTTTTTATGGTTTAGACATAAAAAAAAATCCGTTTTTGTGCTATGATCAAAAGACACAAGTGAAAAGTCAAACAAAAGCAGTTGTTGAGAGGGCAGAGCTCTGCTTCTGTCGTGCACCAGGCTGAGCTCCCATTACAGCAAGGGACGCCTGGTGACATCCTGGGAGTAGTGAGGTCAGAGGAAGCCAGACTCCGGCCCCCATCCCTGGACTGCACATGCCTGCCTGGAGGCGGCGGGGTGGGGGATGGTGACTGGCTCCTCTTCTCTTCCTTCCTTCATTCCTTCGAGTGACACAGGGGCTAAGTAGCAAGGCTCTGGGACAGCCCTGGTGCTGCAGAGACCCCGTGCACACAGGCAAGTTTGTTTCAGGACCACGATTCTAGCATGACACGTCTTTATCGTCCGCAGGCAGAATCTACCGAGCACTTACTGTTTTATCACACTTTGTGTCTCGACAAGTGTCTATCTTGCACTGAAGCTGTTCCAGGAAAGAATTTAACTGATCTGCTTGCAAATTGGATTTTGCCACCTAGAAAACCAGAGGTCCCGAGATTTTGTTTTTAGAATACATATTGTGATCAGGAGAATGTTCAGCAAAGCATATTATCTGAGAGATTGATTAAACACTGAAAAAAATAAAACCAGGAAAGAAGTGCAGTTTTACAAGAAACTAGATCAATATAAATTTAAAAGATATGTTTTCCTATCAAATAGATACCATCTAAAGATGGTATCTTTACCATCTTTCTTTACCATCAACTGGCACCCCAGAGTGTGATGAGGGAGTTGGGAGAGGGACAGGCTCCTGCTCTAAACGGCGCAGGGCCAAATCTGTAAAATCCACCTAGAGACCTTGAAGAGCCTTAGAAGCTTCAAGCTCTGGTCCAGGTTTCTAGCTCTCAGGATACACCCTGTGGACGCAGTCAGAGTGTCCTAAGCAGGTGCCATAAGAAGGAAGTGAAATCCACCAAATATTCCTTCAGAAAGGAATGCTTAAGTAAAAACTGCAACACATCCACGAGAGGGATCAAAACAGTGTTTTTGAAGAATCTTTAAAGATTATACAGCTTATAAAATTGTATAAGTAGCAAGAGGCCAATTTTGGTATATCCCTATCTTTTCATGTATAGAAAAAAGCTTAAAGATAAATCAAAATATTAAGCAGGGGTTATGACTATGTAGTAGAATCATGGATTATTTTTTATTTTTTGTGTTTGTTCTATGTTTTCAATATTGTCCATGATGGAAACGCCTTTTGCTAATCAAAGGTGTCATATATTTTAAAATGCAGGCTGGGCGTGGTGGCTCACGCCTGAAATCCTAGCACTCTGGGAGGCCGAGGTGGGAGGATCACTCAAGGTCAGGAGTTCGAAATCAGCCTGAGCAAGATTGAGACCCCATCTCTACTAAAAATAGAAAGAAATCAACTGACCAACTAAAAATATATAGAAAAAATTAGCCGGGCATGGTGGCACATGCCTATAGTCCCAGCTACTCAGGAGGTTGAGGCGGAAGGATTGCTTGAGCCCAGGAATTTGAGGTTGCTGTGAGCTAGACTGATGCCATGGCACTCTGGCCCAGGCAATAGAGTGAGACTCTGTCTCAAAAAAAAAAAAAAATGCAACGCCTGTACACATGAATGGTCCCCAAATATCAGCTCAGGAGAAGGAGGTGGAGCTCCTTAACCAAGGGTAGGGGGACATGCCCTACAAGCCTGGGCTCTGCTCACAGAAGCTTCCCTGAGCACGGTGACATGCCCTGGGCAGGGTGACATGCCCTGGAACCCTGGGCTCTGCTCCCAGAAGGTGCCCTGCCCCCCTTCTGGAATGGCTGGATGCCCTGAGAGGCTCTTGTGGGGCCTCCATCAGAGCCTGTGTCTACTGAGGGTTCACTACGCACCAGGGGCTGGGTCAAAAGCTGAGCACATGTTAGCTCATTCATCAGTGCCATGATCTTATGAGTTGCTTTTACGATTCCCCTTTCACAGATGAGTGAAGTAAGCTCTTCCTGGGGCCACAGGGGCAGGAGGCTGGGACCTCAGAGCCTGAGACCCCGGCAAACCCTTCTTTTATTGGAATGCATTTGCCACTCCCAGAAGACAGGTCTGTCCTCCTCGGCTCAGCTTGTCCTAGCCCCAGCGGGTCCTCAAACACCGTTCCCTGAATGGTGCACTGACCTATGTAGATAATCCAGACCCTTCACTTGCAGGGCACGCCGAGCCCTGCCCACCCTCCACCACTCAACTCTGGGATCAGAAGGTGTCCCTGCTGACACACTGTCCAGGCCACTATGCCCTCCACCTTCACCTTGCACCCCTTTCTCACTCCTACTCACTTCCACTCACTTCCAGCTTCTCTGCAGCCAGCAGCCAGGGCCCCTCAAATGCAGCCCTGAGCACGGGGCCCCTGTGGGTGCCTCTCCAGCCTCAGAACTCCCCACCCCCATTCCCCTGTTCCTCCCACTCTTCCCAGGATGTTTTCTGCCATCTCTGGGGACACTGTGCTGCCCCCTCTCCTGCTGGGCAGGCGTCTCCTTCTCCCTCAAGCCTCAGGAAGCCTCGGCTTCCCAGCCCAGGTCAAATCCTCCCTCTCTGCTTCTTCATGCCCCACACGGCACTCTCCCCTCTCGTCACACCGCTGGCCTGGTCATGGTTAAGGCTGTCATCTGCAGTGCCAATCAGACATGGGTTCACATTTTGCCTCCAGCCTTTGAGAGCTTTGTGTTCCTAAAAAAAACAGTGATCTAGTATCTTTTGTAACAATCTGGATGGAGCTGGAGACCATTCTTCTTAGCAAAGTATGGCAAGAATGGGAAAACAAATGCCACATGTACTCAGTGCTAAATTGGACCTAATCGATCAACACCTATGGAAGTCACGCTCAAGGGAGATCAAGCAGGTGGGAGGGGGGAGAAAACCATGGGTGAATTCACACCTAACGGGTACAATGCACACTAACTGTGTGAAGAGCACACTTATAACTTTGACTTAAAACCATACCAAAGCAAATTATGTAACCAAAATGTGTGTACTTTGAAAAAAAATTAAGAATTAAAAAATATAGAAGTAGAGAATAAATGGTGGTTATCAGAAGCAGGCAGTGGGGAGGAGGTTTGGATAGGGAATTGGGGGACATTGTTCAAAGGGAACAAAGTTTCAGTTAGGAGGAAAAAGTCATAGCACGATAACTATAGTTAGTAATAATGCATTATATATTTCAAAATAGCCGAGAGAGAGGATTTTAAATGTTCTCACCACAAAGAAATGACACATATTTGAGGTAAAGGGTATGTTAATTAGCCTGATTTGCTCATTCCACAATGTATAGATGTACCAAGACACCACATTGTATCCCATAAATAATATAATTATTGTCAATTAAAAAAACAAAATTTTAAAAAAGAAAAAAAAGAGCTTTGTGTTCCTACCTAAGTCATTGAGTTACTCTCTACCTCAGTTTCTTTATCTCTAAAATGGGGATATAAACAGTATTTGCCTCATACAGTTCTTACGGGGACTGACACAGCTAATACAAATAAGTTGTATTAGCACAGTGCATGGTGCATGACAACTTGTGGATATTAGTGGCTATTAAGATTTCTTATAAAAAAAAAAAATTTTTAATTTCTGTCTTTCTGGCCAGAGAGCAAGTCCCATAGACAGAGACTGCACTGGCGTCCCAGCACGCAGGACAGTGCCTGCTGTACAGCTGTGTGTGACAAATATCCCTCGATGAAGAATGCATCCGTCCTACCTGGCACTTGATGTTCACTTGTAGATTTGTCAGCGACCGCTGGATTTTCTCTATGAAAATAAGGTCCACGGACAGGTGATGGAATTTACTTTCAAACTTGCTGATGACTTCATTGGCCTGTACGGAAAGGTAAATGGGGTGGGCTTAAACTGGAACTCTTGGACTTTGGAAGAGGAGGGACAGGCCCAATTAGAGATTGGTGGCGGGGTGGGGGGACTTGGCCCTCCCTCCACGGGGAGCTGAACAGGGCGACACTCTGTAACCGCTGGTCCCGGGGCCTGGCCGGAGAGCAGGGCTGGGGTCCCCCACCTGGTCCAGGTATTCGGTCTCCATCTTCTCCATATAGAGCATGATTAAGCTTTCAACAAACTCTATCCGAGAAGCTTCCTTCTCCAGCCGATGACACAGTGAGCTGATTTCTTCAAGAGAAAAGTTGCCTCCGTCGGAAAACAATCTGAAAATAATTGAAGCGAACTAAAATCCACCCATCAGAACTGAAAGGTTCCACCTATCCCACATATTGTGCTTAACACACTTTTAATCTAGGCCTCAGATTGAAAGCAAAAGACGATAGGAAATGAATGCTGGTAGCTCAGGTGGAGGAGCAGGGATCTATAAATGGTGCAAAATTTCCATTTGTATCAGTTTGTCAGACTGGCCACCCTGACAACGGAAACAAATAGAACGCCGGATAAAATTCAAAATGAAGACAGTTTTCCTGGAGCTGCATAAAGGCAAGAATTCCAGATGAAGTGAGACTAGAAGGTTCCTTGGAATGGGGGTGGGTGCCAAAGCTGGCTTTTCCCTGGAGACTGTTTTAGCCTTGGTGACTGCACAGGTGAGGCGACAGCCTCTAGCAGGACCCAGAGGACAACACTTGGCAGTATGAGATTGAGGGAGGATGAGCCCCGCCATACACCGGGACTCTGGCCTGTCTACATCCAAGGACAGGGAGGAGGGATAGATATCTCTCCCCTGAGATCCATAGCACAAACCGGACTGCATACACATTTACAAACTAAATTCTTACTCTCTGGAGTAATAAAAGAAAACCTAAGCAGAGAATTCCAATTGGTCCTGGGTAGGTAGCGCCCCTCAGCAGAAACACACGAAGATTTTCTCTGAAGGAACCCAGTGTCAGTCCAGGCCTCGAAAACAAAAGAGAACAGGAACAGATCCTCCATAGAGACCTCAGATGTTAGAATCATCAGACTTAGATCAGAAAATAACTAGGTTTAAGATGCTTCAAGAAATAAAAGACAAACTTGAAGATATGAGCAGGCAATTTTGACAAAGAATTAAATATAACTACAAATGGAAACTATAATAAGCACAATTAAAAACTCAATGAATACGTTTACCAGGAGATTCAACATGGTTACAGAGTAAATCAATGATGAGGAAGGACAATATGAAGAAATTAGCCGCAATGAAGCTAAAATACACAGATGATACAGAGATAAGCAGGTAGAGATGCCTCACATATGTCAGATTATAGTGCTAGCTTTCACCACCTTCCAAATTTTCTTTAAAAAATACTATTTTTATAATCAGAAAAATCTCAATAATATTTAAAACAAATGCAAGCCTTGCAGATAGCAACCTGGAAGGTGCCCACTGTTGGGGTTCAGAAAATGATACCCCAAAACCCAAAAAGGGAGCCACTTTGGACTTCAAACTGAGAGCACCTGGGAGCAGCAAATCCAGGGAATAGTTTTCTCTGAAGCTCCCCTTTTTACCTAAAGGCTGGGTCCTCCAGAAGATATTCAGTTGTTGCGAATGCCTTCCCCAACCAGGGGAAACTGAGGCACATTGCAGGGAGGAAGACTAGAGTTGACACCACCCAGACAGACTTTGTCTCAGGCTATTGTCTATTCTTGGGCCTATTCATCTCCCCTAAAAGTCACTTACTCTTCCTCTAAAATTGCCTACATCCCCCTCCCATTCCCGCTATGAAGATGATATTTAAGCTTCAACCATCTGGCCCTTCTCTGAATTTCATACTTTGTGTGACTCCCGTGCACTTGCAAGTTAGTAAATCTGTGTGCCTATTCTCCTGTTAATCTGACTCTTATAGACTCAAATTACTGAAATTTTAGGGAGTGGAAAGATAGTTCCTTTAGCCTCTATTCCACCATGATTTAATGGTAGTGGGGTGGGGGACTGTAGGTCAGTATGCATACTAGGATTCTATTTTTCTAAAAAATTGCTAAATAACAATTTTTGCTTGTGTATGCCTAAGTACAGACACATAAAATATATATTTTTGAGGGCTTCCATTTTTCACGTTATATACATCTGTATTTGATTGTTATAATGAGTAAAAGATCTGTGATTTTTAAAATAACATAAGTTTTAAAAAAATAAACATATCTTTTCACAAATGTCAAAGACTAAATCCAGGATTCTTTTCATTTAGGATTGAGTTAAAATCTCAGGGGGATAAATAAGGGGAAAGGATGGCCAATGAGCACATAGAAAGATGCTCAACACCGTTAATCACGGAAATGCAAACCAAAACCACAATGTGATACCACCTCAGACCCATTTAGACAGCTGTTATTAAAGAAATCATGAAATTAACATGTTTTGGTAAGGACAGAGAGAAATTGGAACCCTTGTGCATCGCTGATGAGAATGTAAAATGATGCAGCTGCTATGGAAACAGTATGATGATTCCTCCCAAATCATAGAATTGCTGTATAATCTAGCAATTCCATCCGGGAATATACCCAAAAGAATTGAAATCAGGGCCTCAAATAGGCATTTGTTCCTAGCACTGTTATTAACAATAGCCAAAAGGTGGAAACAACCCAAATGTCCATCAAGAGATGAACAGATAAACAAAATGTGATATATACATACTGTGGCATACTACTCAGCCTTAAAAAAGAATGATTTTCGGACACATGATACAACATGGTGAGCCTTGAAGACATTATGCTAAATGAAATGAACCAGACACAAAAAGGACAAATATATGATTCCAAGTATACAAGGTCCCTAGAGTAGTCAAGCTCACAGAGACGGAAAATAGAAAGGTGGTTGCCAGGGACTGGGGGAGGAGCAGTGGGGGCTAGTGTTAGATGGTACAGAGTTTTAGCTGTGAAGATGAGAAGCTTCCGCAGACTGAGAGTGGTGATGGTAGCACAATAATGAGAATGTACTTAATGCCACTGAACTGGACACCTAAAACTGGTTAAAATGGTAAATTTTATGTTATGTATATTTTATCAAAGTAAAAAATCAAGAGGGAAACAAGATCACCTCCCAATAAAGAAACCAGATGGCCTAAAGAGGCCCGCACCTGCAGTGCTTGACGAACTCGATGTTTGTGAGGCGGAGTTTGCCCAGAGTCTCCTCCAGGTACTGGCGGAAGCTGCGCAGGGACACCTGCGTGACATCGACATAGCTGAGCAGCTCCCGCTGCAGTGTGCTGCTGAGAGCAACCAGCCTATGGGAGACAGAGGAGGGACAGGACAGTGATGGGGGACCACCTAGGGGCCAAAGGGGGGGCAGGTGGTGATGGTGACCAGACTGAGGACATGAGAGGGCAGGTGGTGACAGTGACCAGCCCGGAGAATATGAGAAGAGCAGGTGGTGATTGTGATGAGCCTGGGGACATGAGAGGACCAGTGGTGATGGTGACCAGCCTGCGGGCACAGAAGGAGCAGAACACTGATGAGTGACTAGTTTGGGGGGGTTGAGAGGGTGAATGGTGACCTGGGCCCAGGATGACATTCTGAGAGGCTATTTGAGCTCCACAAGCCATGCCCAGCTGTGGGGCCACCAGAACCACTGCCCAGCTTCTTGGGTAGCAAAGGGGGCAGTATAGGGAAGTTCAAAGTTCCAGGATGTGCAGTACATAGTGTGCCACTCGGGTGTGCTGGTCAGAGGGCATCCCTTTCTTCTCTCTGGCCCCTGTCACCAAATTGGTAAAAGAATCCCAGGCCTTACAGGATCTTCATCCTCCTTCCAGAAGGCTGTGTCTGATCCCAGCAATGTGACTTCTGCACCTGGTACTGTCCCGAGAGTGCCCAGCAAGCTTCCTCTTTACAGCCAAGTCCTCCCCACCAGCTGCCTCCCGTGCACCTGACGGCTGTGCAGACACCTGCCAGCCTCCTCCCTGCGGCTGCCTGAGGCCTCCATCTCATATCCCTGCATGGCCTCCCTGGAGCTCCTGCTCTGCCCTGAGCCCCTTCCCCAATTAGGGAACTCAGCCCCCTCCCATATTCCTCCATGCCAGGCCAAGAGGCCACTTCCTGCAGGAAGCCATTCCAGATTTCCCTTTGGGGAAGTGGTCTTTCCCACCACTGATATTCATGGCACGCGGCTGGCACCCTTGGGTGCTGACTATGTGCACCTCCCTTTGCTCTCCTCGCTGCTCACTCCCCGCTCTCACCCCATGTTTCATGGAGTTTGTCTCTGACTCTCTTGAAGAGGGTAACTCAAAAGAGGGCTGCTGAGCTGCTTTCTGCTCCTTCTGGGACAGGGAGGGACGGCTCCTGTGAAGCAGCAGCCTGGCTGTCGATCTAGAGTCACGGGGATGGGATGAGACTCCCAGGGTCCCTTACTTTTGGCTCTTGGTGGCATTCAAGAACATGTGCTCCATGTCGTGAATCTTGCGGCGGAAGGTTTTGCTCCTCGCGTTTTGCTCTTCGTGGAACTGGCAGAACATCAGCCTCTTCTTCTTCAGCATCTCAACCACGCCCGCACAGTGGCTGTCCAACCGCTCTTGGTGAAGCAGGAGCTCAGCTGCAAAAGGACAAGGAGCTCTGGGACCTCGTTCACCTCAGCACATCCCTTTCCTGGAACAAAGCCGGCCCACAGGCCCTCCCGGGCCAGCTGCAGAGCAGGGACAGTTGGGGAGAAGGTCCCTTGTCCTGCCCCTGCTGCCCTCTCCAGGGCTTGGGCTGGGAGTGGGCTCTGACCTCAGGGAGGCCAGACTGAGCCGGGTGCTCTCCCCACTGCCAGAGACACCCTGCCTGAGGCAGAGGGGACAAAGCCAGCGAGGTGGAGAGTCCCAGGGGCAGCCCAGCAGCAGGTGGGATGGGCAGGGGTGCTGAGGAGAGTTGAGATCTGGGTGAGAGGGTCTGGGGGGAACAAGAACAAGCACGAAGCCAAGCAGTCTGGGTTTGCCCCTTTATATCAGTGGATAATCCTCTCTAGTGAGCCTGAATTCCAACTGGCTTCCAAGATGGAGTAGGAAGAACAAGGATTGGGCTTCCAGAGCCCATCACAAGCCTTTAGTGCAAGCAGAGAGCTGCCATGTCTGTCTGTCTGACCCCACTATTGTATGAGTGGTGGGAGTACTGTGGTCCCAGCTCTACCAAAAATGAATGGAGTGACACGAGATCATTTCTCTGGCCTCAGTTACCACACTGAATGCTGGGCCAGGGAGCCGGGGAAGGATGCATGTATAACCTTTTCTATTCCTCACGGTGCATTTAGTGCACACATTTTCCAGATGAGGACAGTGAGGTTCCAAATGTGAGGCAAGTTGCTGGGGCAGCAAACAATGGGATTCAAGGCCAGTTATCTGCCTGCACAATTCTCCCTGCTCCAGGCAACAGGAGTTTGCTCGGGATCCTGAAGGGGTGCTCTGCTAGCTCTAAAGGGCTATGATGGAGCTTGGCGTGTGATTTGAGTGGAAACCCGACAGGGGTCATTGAAGAATCCTACTACAATGTGTCCCCCGCCCATTAATCAGTCCCACCACCTAAGAGGGAAATGCTTGTCTTTTTAAGTGTAAGTGATTAGGCAGAAATAATGGCTACCACTTTGGGAGGCTGTATCTTGTGCCAGGTGGTCATGCCATTTCAGGAGTGTTCATTACTACCTGCCACATCTTTCACCCATACACCCTCCTGCAGGTGAGGGGGATGGTCAGAGAGGTCAGATAACCTGCCCAGAGTCACACAGCCAGAGAAGCTGAGCCTGAGTGCTCTGATCCCTGAGCTACGGGCTTGCCTCTAGAGCATCCACCTTGCAGGTGTGTATCTGATAGGTATGTGAGCAGATCTGGGATCCAAGACCTGAAACAGGACAATACTCCTCATTTCTATCTCCTCAAATCTAACACCCTCTTTTAAAAAACAAAAAAGAAAAACAAATCTCAAATGGGATGGGGATTCAGAGAACCACCTTTCTCTGCAAGCCTGGGAGGTGCGAGCTATCATGTACATCTTCCGCGGTGTGATGAGGACATGCTACATGTTGCATGGTGCAAAGCAAGGGTGAATGCAGAGCCACAGTGGAGCAGACACTGAGGGAAGGGGTTGGGGGCCAGGCAGACCTTCCCAGACAGGGTCTGTACCTGCCCTGACGTTGTGAATGTCCTTTTCAATGTTCTGGGCTCTTGGCTGGTGCAGGTGCAGACGCAGGTCCAGTTCTGAATCCAGCTCATCAATCTTGGTGGCCACGATGACCCGGGCATTGAGGGCACACTGGTCAAACCACTTCTCCAGGTGTTCAAAGAAGCCAGCTCGAAGTCTAAGGGAGAGGCCAGCCATGGTCATGCCAGCAGTCATGTCCCATGAGAAGTCTCTCCACATCGAGACCCTTTCACTCCTTTTCCCCCATTTTATTTCCCAACTACATTTTATTTCATTGTGTGGATGAACCATTATTCACTTAACCCTGCCTCTGCTGAAGGACACTGGGTGGTTTCCAACTTTTCACTCTTACAAAGAAGGCTGCAGTGAATAACCCTGTCCATATGTCAAGCATAGAAATGGTTTTACTAGATAAATGCCTCTGAACCTGAATTGCTGAATCAAAGGTTAAAAAATACATTTGTGGTTTTGGCAGATATGGCCATACTGTTTCCACTGGAAGGTAGCTTACATTCCCATCAGCAACAAATAATAGTTACTATTTCTCCACAGCCTCAGAGTGTATTTTCAAACTTTTGAATGTAACAATTTTGTCATATGACTTGAGATAGAGCATATATTCCTGTGTTTAAGACTATTTAATTTCTTTTTCTGTGTACTGTCCATTAATGTCTTTTCTCCATTTCTCTATTGTGTATAGCTGCTTTTTTAAAAAAAAAAAAAACATAAATTCCTAGGAGCTCTTAATATATTGGGGACATGAGGTTCATTGTCTTTGATTTAAGTTGCAAAAATGTATTCCCAGTTTATCATTTCTTCCTTTTTAAAGTTTATGGTGCTTTTTTGGCCGTGTATTGTTAAGACATCAGTTCTTCCAGAATGAATCTATAGATTCAATGCAATAACAAGAAAAAAAATCTCAACACATGTCTTCTTATGGAAACTGATGAGCTGATTCCAAAATGTATGTGGAAATACAAAGGACTGAGAATAGCGAAGACAGTCTTGGAGAAGACCAAAGTTGAAGGAGTTACACTATCCAGTATTGAGACTTGGTATAAAGCTGTAGTAACCAAGCAGTGTGAGGTGGTTGTGCAAGGAGAGACACACACAGGAGTGGAAAAGGAGTGTGGCAGAGCAGTGAGGCAGGGGAGAGTCTCTCAGTAAATGGCCAGGGGTCAACTGGTTCTCCATGGGGGAAAGAAAGGAATCTTGACTCTTATTCACACCACAAACAAAAATCAATTCCAGGTACCATTTAGAAGTTAATATGGAAGTTTTTAAAAAGAATATTTCTAATACATAACACTGGAGACTATTTTCATGACCTTGGAGCAGGGAAAAATTTCTTAATACACAGAGTAAACTAACTCTAATGAAAAAAAATGACAAATTAGATCTCATTAAAAACAAGAACTTCCATTCATCAAAAGATACTTTTAAAGAGAGTATAATCAGCAAGCACAGAGAGATGAACATTTGCCATATTTATGTGCTACAACCTCATATGGGATATGTAACCAACCCCGATAAATTAATATGTAGAAAGACAATCCACCAGAAACAAATAGGCAAAAGATTTCATGAGGCATTTCACAAAAAGATAAGCAAATGGCTAACAAGTATTTGAAAAGGTATACTACGTCATTACTCATCAGGGCAAATGTAAATTAAAAACACAATGATGGACCACTAGAATTACACTAGAATGGCTAAAATAAAAACCACTGACAATACCAACTGTTGTTGAGATTGTGGAGAAACTGGAACACTCCACTCCTACACTGTTGTAAGCTGTAAAACTGTTAAAACTACTTTTGGAAACTCTTTGGTAGTATCTTTTGGCTGTATCTCCTAAAGATGGACATGGGCATACTCTGTGATTCAACAGTTCCATGCTTAGTTATATATGTAACATAAATGTACACATATTTTCACCAGAAGACTTGTGTAAGAATGTTTAGAGCAGCATTACTGTCATATCCCCAAATTGGAAGAGACCCAAACATGCAACAGTAGAATGGATAAATAAAATGGATTATATTTTTATAATGGGATACCATACAGAAATAAAAAGTAAACCCTAGTTACATTCAAGAATATATATGTCTTACAAATATAATGAAAGAGTGAGTTCTGTATGATTTCATTTAAATAAAGTCCAAAAATAAGTAAAATGAACTTAGAAGTTGTATTTGTTATCCTTGGGGAAGAGAGGGTGGTGACTTGGGATGGGTACATGATGTGGGTTCCTGGGGGGTTGGTAATGGTTCTATTTCTTGTGGGAAATAGAATAAATAGAATAAATGGGTAATTTATTGATATTCTCATGCTTTTATGAATGTTTGTTATTCTCCAATATACAAATCCAATCGGTTGGACAGAATTTTTCTTCTGGTTAGTCACAAGGCTAGACAACAAAGCATGGTGGTTGGTGCAAGATTCTGGAATTACAGGGTCTACAATCATATATCTGGGATCTAACTGCTTCCTGTCTTGGAGATCTTGGCCCAAGAACTAACTCTCTGAGCTTCAGTTTCCTCATCTATAAAATGAAGTTAATTATGATACCTCTCTCGCAGTTATTGAAGGGATTAAATACTCTCAGTGAACAACAGCTCTTGTGGTAGTCCTTGTTGATCTTTGTCCTGTGGGCTATGGAGAGGACAAATGAGCAAGAAGGATGACGTTTGAGTCAAGAGACATTTCGTGGGTGAAGTGACGCTGAGGTGCAGGAGAAGGAACTCAGAGGCCTGACTGTACTCCTTCCACCTCCTGTCTTTGGCCTCCTGCCCATGTGTGAATATGGGAAGTGGACTAGCCAGGTGATTATCTCAAGCTAATTAGTCCTACTCATGACACTGTAGAGGCAGGAGAGCAATGGGAATGCCATTTAAAAGCCAAATGCAAATTTTCATGTTTAGTCCAAACTCTAACACAAAGGCCCAGAAACTTGGGAGTTAGGGGAGGTAAGTTCTCAGTGGTAGGATTATGGGTCATTTCTCTATTTTTCAGTGCTCTTTTTCTGTTTTCTGCAATGAATGTGTCACATAATTAGTGTAACATATCATACATGATATATTCATACCCATAGTCTATATCTATAGAATTAAAAAAAAAAAAGAAACCTTAAAATTACAGATGTGCCAGAAGCATCTAGAAACCCAGAAGCATCTGGCAGGGAAAGCAATGTCACTTATGAATGAGGCCCACACCAGCAGAGCATCCCGGAAGGGGCATGGCCGGTCGCTCTCACAGAAGATATGTGTGACTGCAAATAATTCCTGGACATTTGCTATTTTCTATCACATTTCTCATACCTACCCTCCCTCAGTTACCTATATGTCTCCTTTTTCCAGTTGACACCAGTCTTATCTTTTGTTACAATATTTCACCTTGTTCATAAAACCCAGAGTGAGAGAATGAGAATAAAATAGTTTTCTACTCACTGTTTCTTAATTTCTAAAATTAGTTTGGTTGGGATGATCACTTGTTCTATGTACTTGGTACTGGAAGTGTTGTTGAGGAGCGTGGCTGAGAAGCAGGAACGGGGCTTCCTGAAATGCTCTTCTTCTTCCAGGGGCAGGAAGACAAAGTAAGTGTTTCCACTGGAGGTTTTGAAGGACTCCATGCACTCATAGTACATCTCCTCCAGGTCCTCTTCATAGTATTCACCCTAAGCAGATAACAAGACTTTAGACTTGACATCATCAAATGGACTTCGGGGTGTCAACCACATGTTCCTTAGTAACAGAGGTTATAAACCTATGGGCCAAATTTTACCTATCAATTATTTGCCCCCATGGTGCTTTTAAAATTAGGATGTTCTATATAAAAATCTGAGTTTCTGATTTCTCTTAAAACATCAGAAAATATGATGATTGTGAGCCTGCATTCTCACATGGCATCTTTGGCTGGGGCTGAGTAATGACTACACAGTCTTCATCACTTGTCATTATTTTACACTCAGTCTCCAGCCCTCTTTTCTATTGTATACCGGTGGGCAATTGAGTTTGGTATTCCTGCTTAAAAAGAAGGCTCATTTATCAATTTTTCCAAAGCAATACAGGAAATGAGTCTTTTCTAATTCAGTAATTATAGAATTCAACTTATTATTCTGTAAATTTGAATGTGTTTTGAGGACAAGATTAATAAGACAGTCACTTTCCTACACTCAAAGGAGATCTCTGTCTGCCAGCTTGGATGTGGATCTTTTGAAACTAAGAAGAGAGAAGGAATGAATAGGCCAGCATGAAGCAGGAGAAGCTAAGTTGGTCCATTCAATGAAGAGAGAGAGAGAGAGAAGAGAAGAGAAGAGAAGAGAAGAGAAGAGAAGAGAAGAGAAGAGAAGAGAAGAGAAGAGAAGAGAAGAGAAGAGAAGAGAACAATGGAGAGATGAGGAAAGCCATATAGTTGAGGGATGACACCAGAGTAGGCTGCAAGAACATGAGGAGAGGAAGGTGGATTTTAAAAGACATTGCTGTCTGAAATCTTAGCACTTTGGGAGGCCAAGGCCTGAGCCCAGGAGTTTGAGGCTGCAGCGAGCTATGATGACCATGATGATGCCATTGAACTTTAGCCTGGGCAACAGAGCAAGACCCTGCCTCAAAAATAAATAAATAAATAAAAACACTGCTGTGAACAAAGAATTGGATCCCTGTTCACAAAAATAAAAAAGCATGTAAGTGTGAATACTTTTGTAATTCTTTATATGTATCTCTATGTAGACTGGTCCATCGGGGGACCGCAGCTATACTAGGGATACACACAGAATGAACAGAGTAAACTTTCCCCATACCCACAAATGAATCAGTTGCTGGCCTACCTCACTCACTGAGAAATTCTCTTGCTCTTCCCTTGCCTCCTCCTCTTCTTCCTCCTCCTTCTCCTCCTCCTCTTTTTCATCTTCTCCCCTCTCCTCTTCCTCCCTCTCCTCTTCCTCCTTCTCCTTTTCCACCTTCACCTCTTCCTCCTCCTTTTCCACCTTCACCTCTTCCTCCTTCTCCTTTTCCACCTTCACCTCTTCCTCCTTCTCCTTCTCCTCTTCCTCCTTCCCCTCTTCCTCCTTATCCTCCTCCTCTTTCTCCTCCTTCTTCCTTTCTTCTGGAACCATCACATTTTCCTGGTTCAAGGAGCTCTCTCTTTTGACCTGCATTTCTTCCAGTTCTTGACTAGAGCCCTCTTTGGACTCATCCATCTCTTCGCTCAGTGCAGACTTTTCCTGCTGGCTCAGGACCTCTTCAGTTATGAAGGACTCTGTTTCTTGATACTTTTCTTCTTTCATCTCTTCTGCTGAGCTGGTAGAACTTGTCCCTGCACTTATGCTTTCCTCACTTTGGCTTATTTCCACTTTATCCCCTAGCTCTTTCTTCAGTCTTCTAACTTTCTTCTGGAAGGGCTTTTCATGTGCTTCTGTTGATGGCCCAACACCAAAGCACAGGGAGAGACGATTTACCAACGTTGTCTAGACTGGGCATCCCCAACCCACAAATACACAAGATTGAAGTCAGGAAGAATCAAATGTGAATTATAAAAGTGTTACCTGGTTGCCTGAACTTGAAAATGACTTCTCCAGCCAAGTTCTACAAGGAAAAACCACAACTGATTGAAGGACCAGCACTGCCTTTCTACAGAGGGCCACTTCAAAGGACATCTCTTTTCTTTTCAGTAAAAGAACCCACCCTTCCCCTTCAGTATCTGATGCAAGCCTTGGCCAACTCAGTTCATTGTAGTTATCTGGGTGTTCCCAGTCCAGGAAACCAGTTTTCCTTAATTCCAAGATGGCTAGCAAACCCTTACAGCACACATGGGAAGTAATGGAATAAAAGCTCATTCTGACATATTTTTGGTAGTGATCTGGAGCAAAGGACTCCAAAAATTTATATATATATATATATATGGATGCAAACAAAGGGTGGGAATCTGCTGCATGTCGTGCTAGATGGGAACAGACAGAAAGAGCATGACTTACGTGATCCTGGGAGCCCCCTTGTTAACTCTGCAAATTCTCTATTTCACAGGCTCTGGGTGAAGTTATAGATATATTGTGTTATGGGTAACAGTGTGGGCTGTGGAGTTTGCAGGTCTGGATTTGAATCCCTGCTGCTTACAAGCTGAGTGATCTTGGCAAGTCTTTAAAACCCTATGGGGCTTGGTGAGATTGTAACAGTGCCCACCCCTTTAACCCAGGTGACCAGAGTGATCTCAAAGGGTAGACAATGAGATCATCCTTCAACAGCATGAGCTTCCACCTCAACCCAGGTGTTAAAGGCAGCATTTATTTGCAATGTGTGCAGGAATCCCTGCTGAGAGCAGAGATTCTCTGGGAAGGAGCCGGGTATCCCATATCAGGACTCTGGCTGGGTGAGTGGGAAAAGAGCCAAACTCTGGCGGATGCAAACCAGGACATTCCAGGTATTCACCCATTTACCCAGAAGCATTTATTGTGTCTGCCTTACATGCAAGACCCTGTGCTAAGGGCAATAAAAGTTGAATAAAAATTAATAAGTCATATTTGCCCTTCAGGAAACACATCTAACTGGGTGCTCTGAACTCCTGTATTTGACAACACTAAGTTAAAAAGAAAAAATGCTTAGAGACCAGAGAGGTGGTAGGGGGTAGGGAAGGTGAACTGAGGGATCAGGCTGAGTGGGCTGGGTCCTGCCCTGGTAGTGGACCAGAAGGATGGATGGGTTTGGGACCCGTGGAGACAGAGGGGTCCCAGCAGAGGCAGCAGGATGAGGAAGGGTGGCAGGCAGGGGGCATATGCAGGAACAGGGGTGAATTTGCTGGACCAGGGAGAGTCAATGTGGGAAGCAGAGAGTGTGAGGCCTCTGTGGTCATGCAGGGACTGTGAGTTGGATTTGGTGAGGGACTTTTGAGCAGGAGAGTAGGTGGGTCAGGGTTGTATATTAGGAGAATCCTATGGCGGTGGTGGGTAAGATGAATGCAACTCCCAGTGTCATATAAATCAGCCTTTTCATTATGCATCCATGCAGCCCTGAGCCCTGAATTCTGAACCTTCACCCTTTTTTAAACTGAGATAGAGATGGTCTCTTTAGAGACACTTTCAGCTTCTTTCTCCTTGATGTCCTGACATCGATTTCAACTCTACAGAGTTAGGGATGGCATTCAAAGTCTAAGCAGGTCAGCACAAGAAGTCAGCTTCCCCCTTTGTGTACTCATGAGTGGCTGGGTGTACCGCATCCCTCTCTGTACCTGTTCAAAGATTTCACGCACGAAGAAGTGCTGGCTGAGGGCGAAGCTGTAGGAGTTGAGTTCATTCAGTATGATCGTTGGGTACTCCATCACTTCCTTTGTCAGGAAGAGATGAAAATACTTATACCTGGAAGGCAGGTAAAGGAGACCACCATCTCAATGGGGCTCCACTGAATGAGGGAGACCCCCGCCAGGAGCTATGCCCCTGTCTCCAAGGAGGTGGCTTAAATCTGGCACTTAGCTCTGCATAGAGCTGCATGGGGGTTCCTTTTACAGTAACAGTCCTTTGGCTATTTTTCTGATCATACAAAGCATTCGTGCTTTTTGCAGAAAATTTGGAAAACACACATGAGAGTTTTCTGTGTGTTGTAATGTGAGCTCCCTTTTCTTGTCCACTGTCCTAACTCTGTCCTCAAACTTACAGTGCCTACGTTATTCCGTCAAACCTTCAAATACTCCAAGGCCTGGGCTTTCATCTGTTCCCCAGATTAGGAGACCAAAGCTTGCCCGGAGTTATATTTCTGAATCTAAGTATTACAATCAACTGGTAATGCAATTCTCTTTCTGTAGATGGTCCTTATAGAATTAGCGAACAAAGGCACAAGAAAGTTCACATTTGTGATATTGAGAATCGGAGCCAATCGAAAATAGCTGACCAATTGAGGGATCATTAAATCATTATGAAGTATCTATAGTAATGAATGCTACATTGTCACTTAAAAATTGAAATATATCTGCAGTTACAGAACAATTTGCATAGTATAAGCCAATCTTTATTTTAAAACCATTATATATGTATGTATTCATATATATGTCCATAAAAAGGAATCATTGGGGAGGAATGAGAGGAAATCTCTGTATGTTTGCAGTGGTTGACTTTTTTTTCCTTTAACAAAGAGCATACAAGTTTAAAGTTTTAAAAAGAGGCCCCATGTTCTTGACCCTTGAACTATTAATACATCGCCTCGAAACCTCCCTCCATAGACTTTTCATAATTCTCCCAGGAGCTTCTTTGTTGCCTGAGAGCAGAGCTGCAGAGAACCACAACGTTCTGCAAAGTTAGAGGCACAACTTTCCATCTTCAGCTCGCTGGGTAGACCCCTGGGCTTCTACACAGGCTGCCTGTGACCCTGAAGATGAATTCTCGGTCACCGCCTACTGCTTTCTGGAGTTTGGTCACTTACCTGGATTTCATGTTCTTCAGAAAATCTTTAGCCTTTTCCAGGTGAACTGCCAGTGTTTCTTTGTGGCTCTGCTGCCTCAGTTGGTCCAAGAGCTCATCAAAGTGGCTCTCCAGAACCTAGCAGCCACCCCCAAAACAAGAAGAAGCAGACGTGAGCCCCAGAGCTCGCAGAGTGAGTGGCCTCCAGGGACCTGCCACTGGCACTGGGGCCCGGGCACCTGGGCAGGCCTGGGATGCCTTTCTACAAGTGGGGCACCAAATCTCCATTGCTCTTGCTCTCTCTGGACTCTTCTCTGTGTCTAGGATGTTCTTCCCTGCCCATTGTACACCCTAGGACCCAGATCAGATGGGACGTCTTGGGGACATGTCTTCACAACCACCACCCGGATCAGATGGGCACCATACCTTCCATAGCACCTGCTCCTCACTCTCCTCTCACCTGTAATGCTCAGAGTCAGACTCTGAGTTGATGCCCCTCAGCCCCAGACTGTGTGAGGGCAGGCCAGGTAGGGACAGTGGGTCTCCCGGGGCAGGGTGACTGCCAGACACAGACACTCAATTCCCCGGTTACGGAGCTTTGTAACGATTCCAGACACTTACATGGTTTGCTAAGTGAATGACATGTATTTTGCTGTAATAACAACCTGGAGCAGGTTCCTCCTGCCCTTCGAGAATGTGACGTATTATCACACCCCATTCGTGAATTACTGACCTCAGCTACTGGACTTCAAAGTACACATGGACTCCAGAGTTTGACAGACCCTTGGAGAGCTTAGGCCGTGGCAGTTTTCACTCTATCAGCAGCTTCTCTGAATGAGAGAGAGCTCGCCCTCCTGACAGGCCTTGGGCTATAAGGGCTCCCCGCCAGCCCCGGCACCACCCCTGGCTTCCGGGGATGTAGTGTCATCACAGATCTCCGCTGTGTTGGCTTTCAAACCAGCTCCATCTGAGAAACCACTCACAGGCAGGTACACCTCCAGCTGTAATTAGACTGCACTTCCCATGAGGCCTGCTTCCATCCTGACTGCACAATAGACTTTAGTAATCTTGGAACTCACTCACCGCATGGTTAATGTACTTTGCCCCCTGTGAATGTATCCCTGTGATATGTGTTCATGTTATTCTCCCTCTCTTTAAACACTGTGAACCTAGGAAAAAATTCTCTTTGTATGGCAATAAACTGTGTGATTCATGATATCATACTTTGATCATCTCCTTATTTTAGCCGTCTGTCTGTCCTTCTCTCCCTCATGTACTCTCTTACAGACATGTGTGATTCCAGGGACCCATCCCACAGCTGGCACCTGGCTCAAGGAGATTTCTGCTACTCTGATCTGGTCCATGACCAAGGTGAGCCTCAGTTTCCCCATCTGTACAAGTTTCATAGCTTCAGGTTTTACACTGGGATCTCGGATCCAGCCGCACCTGGTTCTCCAGGCTGTGCTTCTCCTGGTCCTCCTCCATCCTCTTCTCCAGCTCCAGCTCCTGCACCGACAGCTTGCCCTGGTGCACCTCCCACAGCTGCACTGCCTTCTGGAAGTAGCTGAAGAGGTTGGAGCTTTGCCACTCCATCTGCTTAGCCAGGGCCTCGAAGGATTTCTGCAGCAGCAGAACCCAGAGAAGGACCCTTGAGGGCCCACCCATGGGGCCCCACACATCTCCAACGACTGAACAGCACTGCTGTCACTGCCCGGGCACCCTCCCTCAAGGTCAACTTCTGGGCCACACCTGGCCTCCTGGCTGTCCCTCCCTGGGGTGGTATCTCTGGTCTTCCCAAGGCCATGCCCTTGGTCTGGCTGAGCCTAAAGTCTCACCTCCAGCCCTGTCCGATGCCCCCCCCAAAAGCCACTGGCAGGGAGAAGGTGGAGTGTGGGCCTAGAAGAAAGAATGCCCACCTCTGGAAGCCAGCCTGGGTGCTGAGGTGGCGCCACACTGATACTGGCCTGGGCCGTCCCACCTTCCCTGCAGCTCCCCGACTCAAGCATCTGGGCCCAACACCTCACTTGCTGCTAAGTACTCACGCACACCATCTTTTAAAAAAATATACATGTCTTATGCCCTCATCTGGGGCAGGGGATGGCAAATTGTGGCCTGCAGGCTAAATTTGGCCTCTGCCTGCTTTTGTTTGGCCCTGTGAGCTAAGCACAGATATTCCAGTTTTAAATGGTTGAGAAAAAGTCAAAAGAAGATATTGAATGAGATGAAAATTATATGAAATTCAAATTTCAGAGTCCATCAATAAAGTTATCTGGACATAACTACATCACTCATCTCTGCATTGCCTAGGGCTGCTTTTGTGCCATACTGGCAGAGACGACAAGTTGTAACAGAGACTTGATGTTCCACAGAGCCTAAAATAGTCATCATCACAGAAATAGGCCCTTCATAGAAACACGTGCCAACCCTGCTCAAGGCAATAAATGTCTTGGGCCAGTAGCTGATTGTGCCCACAGCCCTTGAGCGCCCGGCATCAGCAAGGGCTTCTGTGGAGTTCTGCAGAGCGCCACGTCCCGTCAGCTGGGACCGGGCAGGGGATGAGCCTGCAGTGGCCAGCGCAGGGGGCACTGCTCTGGGAAGGGCTGGCGAGGGTGAGGGCAAGTGGACACACTAGGGACACAAAAGTGGGCAGCCCCCAGACTCCGATCTCCTTGTGGCTCGGCAGCCCAGGCATCCCCCTCCAGCCCTGCCTGCCCAGCTGCCAGGGTCCCCACCACGCACGTCCAAGAGCTCCAGGTCCTCCTCCACCTTGACCTGGATCTCTCCCACCATCTGGAATAAGGACTGGTTCACCAGGGTCTCTGCCTCTGTCTCGGTGAAGGCCTTCCAGTCCAGCAGCTGATTCTGGGGCGGGGGAGGACAGTGGGGACAAAGTGTAGCCTGGCTTAGGGCTGCGCACCCCACAGGCACAAACCGCATGCTGGGGGGCCGGCGTTGCTCAAGCCAGACCTCAGCTCCCTGAATTCTGCTCCCCCAGGTCTGGAGGGGCTGGCCAGAGATGCGGGAGCTCCCTGGGGGCAGCAGGCGAGGCCCTCACAGCTCAGCACCCTTCAAAACAATTCGACTTTCAGGATATTTTTTAACTGACACAGTCTTACCAAGGAGGCAGGAAGGGGACATTCCGACAAAATATTGCCTCTACTTCAGAAAAAGTCCCTGTTGTGAAGAGGTGTGGGAGTGAGCTCCCTGTCTGGCCCTGTCGGGGGAGGCAGGGTGGAGAGAGAAGCGGCCCCACGGCCGCAGGGCGGTCCCATCTGAGAGGGGCGTGGCCATACCCCAGGTGTGATCCCCTTGTATAAACAGTGCGCAGGGCTGTGCGGGACGCAGAGTCACAGGTGAAGTCTGAGGTGATCTGAGAGCGCACACCTCATCTCATGTGCTCCCTAGAGGAGGTGACGTGGGCTGAAACCTGAAATGGCAGGGGCAGCTGGGGAGGGCAGCTGGGGAGGGCGTCTGGGCAGAAGGAACAGCTGCAGATGCTCAGAGGCCAGCGAGCACCTGGGGCAGTGAGGAAGGAAGGAAAGCCTGATCCAGGCTGGTGGTGGTTGGGGTGACAGGGCTGCGGGCAGGGCAGCAGGGCAGCAGGGCAGCAGGGCAGTCGGAGGGCACAGCAGGCCCCGCCCCTGCGTTCCTCTGCTCAGGCCCGCAGGGGCGCCCACCTTGCAGTCCTGCATGCGGTCCAGGCACTCCTGCCAGGTGTTCTCATAGTGGAAGCGGATGCGCACCAGGCAGTCCATGTGGTAGGTGTCTGCGTGGGCAGAAAACAGAACATGTCAGCCGCTCTTGCAGAAGGAGGAGGGGACTTAGAAAGCAGAGTGTCCTCTTTGCAAAGGAAAACAGCTACTCCCCAGCAAAGTGCCCCCACGGCCAGGTTGATCTAGGTGAAGATCAGGCGGTCCTGATTCCGATCTCTCCTTACGAATTTCCTGACACCCCAAGATAAGGACCTCAAAGGAGAAGCACAAATTTCCTGACCCTGATTCTTGCTTCAGTTTTAGGACTGGTGAGATTCCCTTTGGGAAGCTACACCAAGGTGCACACCATGCACGAGGTTGCACACTAATGGGCGCTTGCAGATCCTGTCTGTGGTAACTCCCGAAGACGCCGTCGCAGAATGCCCAGAGCTTACTTATCTATTTATCTCTCTGCTTCTTCTCCCTGTGGTTTCCCAGCTTATAATAAACTCAGTGAAACTCAGCATCTAAGAGAAACAACTCCAGTTTGGTGCTCCTGGAAGTTTCCAGAAACTGAAGGACCACCAAGACATTTTGTGGTGGTTCTTTGACAAGGACTGGCGGGAAGGGCAGGGTAGATGAGAGCTGGGCGCAGACTCAGGACAGCAGGGAGGGCTGATTTGCACTGGAACTGACGAGGACAAGCTCTGAAGCTGCTTTTTCCAGTCTCCAGGGCCAATTCCTGGGCCAGGGCATCCCCACCTTTCTGGGAGGTCACTGTGATGGGCTTTCTCAGGTCTCCTGCTTCCACTCCTTCATGTCTGAGCCATACGCCCCATCTGACCTCATCACCCCAGCTCAGAATCTTCTCCGGGGTTCCTACTGTCTCGGGATAATACCCGGACTCCCCACACAGCCCACGTGGCCAGCAGAGCCTGGCCCCTTTGCATCTTCCAGCCTCTCCTGCCACCTTCTCCTTTCCTGAAGGCCCTGGTCCTGTTTCTGGGCCACCCCACCTGCTGTATCCTGCTAGCAGTGCTTCTCCCTCTTGGCCTGGCCAACTCTCACTTGCCTTGCAGATCTCAACTGGATTATTGCTTACTTGGCAAGGTCTTCCATGACCCCTAACCGGTTGTGTCTGACGACGGGCTCACGTAGCTAGCGACCTGTCTACTCTGTGCTGTAATGTCCCGCTTTGTCTGGCTTCTGCTCTGGACTGGAAGTGTCCCAGGGCAGAGCCACCTGCTAGTTGCCAGGGCCCAGCACAAGCCTGTCTGTCCCTTGGAGGCACTAAAGGAATGGCAGCTATCATTTAGTGTCTTGGGACTTGTTCAGAAACACCCTGGAGAGCCCTAGGAGGAATGGCAGGTGCTACTAACCAAAGTACCCAGGACAAGTCCAGCTGTGACACTTCCTTGGCTGTGTGACCTTGGGCAGGATACTTCATCTCTCTGTGCTTCTGAGTCCTCTATTACAAGAGGACAATAATACTACTGATCTCACTAGGTTGCTGTGAGCCTCGAAGGAGATGAAAAATTGTTATATGTCTTCTAGAGCAAGGCTTGGTAAGCTTTTTTTATGAGGGACCAGAGAATAAATATTAATAGTTTTAGCTTTAGGGCCATACAGTCTCTGTTGTAACTGCAGATGCTGCTCGACTTACAAAGGGGCTACATCATGATAAATTCATCATAAGTTGAAAATATCGTAAGTCAAAAAAGCATTTAATACACCTAACCTACCAAACATGGCAGCCTAGCCTAGCCGACCTTCCACGTGCCGAGAACACTCACACCAGCCTACTGGCGGGGACTCACCCGGCAACACAGTGCTTGCGGAGTATTGGTTGTTCAGCTGTGTGATGGCGGGGCTGACCGGGAGCTGTGGCGGCTGACACTGCCCTGCATTGGCAGAGAGTATCGTACCACACATTTCTAGCCCAGGAAAAATCTAAATGCAAAATTGGAAGTGCAGTTTCTACTGCATGAGTATCACTTTCCCACCATTGTAAAGTTGAAAAATCGCAAGCCAAGTACTGTCTGCATTCACTTCTGCCATTTAAAGCAAAAGCAATCAGAGACTATATGTAAACAAACAGGTGACTGTGTTCCAATCAAACTTATTTACAAAGCAGACAGCCAGTTCACGGGCTGCAGTCTGAGGACCTTTGTCATAGAGCATTTTTACATGTTACCATGGGAGCGACCGGGCACTCCCTGTGTAAGCCAGGCATGGAACTACCGCTGGAAACCAGCCCTACGTGGGGACCGTTGTCACTCCTCTTGACATCTCTGTTTCGTGGAGGAAAACGCTGAGGCTGTAAGAGGCCCTGACTTCCCCAAGGTCACACAGCCAGGCTGGAGCAGAGCTGGGTGTCAAACCCATGTCCCTCACTGCAAGACCATGCGCTTCACCTCATTCTCTCAGGACATGGGCTCTGAGCCATCCTCAGAGGTGGTCACTGGAGCCATCTCTGTCTCCATGCTTAGTCAGGGGGCAAGGGTCAGGGGTCAGAGTATGTGGCTGACCTGGCTGCAGGCTGTATAGTGAACTGCGGAGGGGGGAGGCTGGGAATTGAGGAGGGGGCTTATGAGCCCTCAGAGCTCAGTCTTCCGCCCACACCCCCTCTCCTCTCCCCAGGATGGAGCTCCCGCCCACTTCCTTACAGACAGGTGACTGACTGCCTGGCTGAGCCACGACAAAGCCACTACTTCAACAGAGTTCTGGGGAGACCCAAGTGGGGTTCCCCAAACACCACTCACCAAGCTGCTTGTTCAGGGCCTTGAGAGAAAGATACCACTTATTCAGCCGAGTCTTGCTGTAATTGGGGGGCAGCAGGTCGCTGGGGAAGGAAGACATGACCAGTAAGCCACACACGAACAAAACACTTACCAAAGTGGACAGCATCTTCAAGGAATATAGATAGCTCCAGAAAAGCATTCACTTAAATACTGAAGAAACAGGGGGACCTCCTGGGGATCTCCTGCTGCCCAAAACACACCTCTCAAAAAGGTCTTTTAATATTAATGAGTTTGTTATGCAGAAAAAAACCATCACCTTTCCCAGTGGGAAGAAATACACTGTTCACATCACTTGACATCTCTGTTTCAAGGAGGAGAACATTGAGGCCATAAGAGGCCCTGACTTCCCCAAGGTCACACAGCCAGGCTGGGGCAGAGCTGGGTGTCAAACCCATGTCCCTCACTGCAAGACCATGTGCTTCACCTAGGAAGCCTAGCTTTAAGAACCTACTCTGAGAGCACACTATAAAATGCATACAAAGTGTATCCATTAAGATGGTCACCTAACAGCACTGTTTATAAACACACACAATGATGACAAAAAACCTTCATACCCAACAATAGGAAGCCATCTTAATAACTTAGAGTGAATCCTCTTCTGAAGTCATTAAAAACAGTGTGGCAGATTGAAAAGTGGTCAGTTGTGTTAGCTCCTCCCACTGGGAGGTGGGGTCTTTTTCTCCACCCCTGGAGTCTGGGCACAGCCATGGGGGTTGGTTCTGGCTAGTGGGACATTAGCAAATTCAACACCCGCAGGCTTGGGAAGGGCCGTGTGTGGCCTTGCCCTCTCTTGCTGCGGGGACCTCTTCTCCCACCCACCATGTGTGAGAGTACTGGTTGGCCTCCTGGAGGCTAAGTGAGCACATCTTACATTCTGGAGGATTCCAGCCCCAGTGTCAAGAAAGAGCAGGACCTATTTGCTGCAGAAAGAAGTTTAGTGTGACTGTGCCAATGTCACACTAAACTTGAAGGAAGCAATGGACAGGGGGGAGGGGGGAGGATGAGGTGGGGGCCAGAGCACACAGGGCCAGGTGGAGGGGCTTGGACCTTTTCCTGAGGGCGGTGGGGAGCAGAGTGGCTCCATGAGCTTCGAAGCTGGGAAGCCTGGGTCAGAGGGGTCTGACGCTGGAGGCTACTGCCATCAGACAGGGCACCTGTTAGCGGCGTGGGCGCTCCCCTCAGATGTGGGTCCATCCCACTCAGATGCTCTAATAAAGCTATTCGACAGGGTGCCCACTGAATGCTCTAGACCTGGAAGCCCACTGCCTAGGCAGTGCATGTGCCTGGGACGGAGCCTGCGTGGTACTACAGAGTGGAGATACTGTGTGCTGAGAGATGCGCCTCCTGTTCTCCTACACCCGGCAGCCCCGGTACACAGGGTCTCCTCACGTCCTCCACCCAGAGCCTTAGTTCTCCTAGGGCATAAATGACTATTAGGATCCCACATGGCTGAGCCAGCGGGCCTCCCCCAGGCATGCACCTCCTGCCCCATTGTGATCCAGGTGTATAAGAGCAAGGGAAAGCGCTTGTGTCGTTTTCCATAATTTAACTCGTTTCTGACTCTGAGCCCCTGTTCTTTAAGCTGAGCAAAACTCGGTCTTTCTCAGGGTCTCATTCCTTGAGACAAAGTTCTAGAATGTCATGCAATCCCAGGGCTGGTGTTGGGGCATCTGGTCCTCAGCAACGGGTCCACACTGGGCTCCGGTTGCCTCTAGACAGTTGGATGCAGGAATCTCAAGGCGGCTGCTCTCGGCCCAGGTCTTCATGCCCAGGCAGCATTTCCCTCCAGGGCCCTGGGTCTTGCAGCTCCTCCCACGGTGCCACCAGGAAGCAGAATCCAGGCTGCCACTGCCAGGCACCTGTCAGTTCTGTTCTGTTCCCACTTACCACCAGCCCCTTTCTATTGGCGTGGGGAGAAGCCTGGTCCCGGGGCTCTCAGCCCTCTCCCACAAATGCCTTCTCCTCGGCAATGCGCTAGGCTCGCCTAGGAAATTAGGCTTTTGAAAACAAAAACCAGAAAGATTTCTAGGCTGCCTTCTCCTCTGCCCTGCCACATCCCTCCCACGGGCTGCAAATGTGGGCTGCCTGGCTCCCTGTCTGAATAGAGGGGAGGGACAGGGCCAGATGCATGGAGAGAAATTCGTCCATAGATGGTTCTGGCAGCAGGTGTCTGCAGGTGGCGCTGGGTGGGCTGTTTGAAGTCAAATGTGCAAATCACAGGAAGAGTGGGTGTTGGCAGGGTAGGTGTTGGCAGGACCAGGCAGCCCCTTCACAGTGGGAGAATGTAGACAGGTGAAGTCAGGACACGATTCTAATGCCAGAAGCATGGACCGTGAACACAAGCTCGAGCACACAGGCCTGAAGGCAAAGGTGCGCAGCCTTAGTCACAATTCAGGCGGACCTCAGCAGGAAAGGCCGGGTCATGGTTGGTCTGTGTCAGCAAAACTTGATAGTGCCCTGAAAGCCCACTGTGTAGGCTAACCCTAACCCTAACCCTATTCTTCCCTGACCTGCAGGGCAGTGAGGAGCTGTCCCAGGGAACCGCCTCACAGGGCAGCATGGGGAGTCCCACATCCCTTCCCAACCCGCAGCTCCAGGGCCTTCCTCCAGAAACCCCAAGCCTCAGGCATCAGACCCCTATGACCCAGGCTTCCCAACTGCAAAGCTCATGGAGCCACTCTGCTCTCCACTGCCCTCAGACAAAAGGTCCAAACCCCTCCACCTGGCCCTGTGTGCTCTGGCCCCCACCTCATCCTCCCCCGTCCCCCGTCCATTGCTTCCTTCAAGTTTAGTGTGACATTGGCACAGTCACACTAAACTTCTTTCTGCAGCAAATAGGTCCTGTTCTTTCTTGCCATTGGGGCTGGAATGCCCCAGAATGCGAGTCCAGGTAGCCAGTGCAGGACCAGAGGGCGGGGAGATGGCCTGGTTTGGAGGATGCCTCAGGGCAAGGGCTGAGAGCCACACCTGCCCCGCCACTGGACCCCTCCTGCCCATACCAGATGGTGCAGAGATGCTCCACCCGCTTCTTCTGCAGGGTGTTCTGGGTCTTCAGCATGACCTCCAGTTCCTTCTTCACAGCTGGAGGAGCCCGGATATGCTCATTGGCCATGAACTCACTGGGCAGCCAGACACATTGGCACCATAGAGAGGAGAGGACGGGCAGGGCAGAGTGAGAGAGGGGCAGAGGCCCAGGGTGAGAACATTCAGACCCCCAGCACCCCTTCCCTACACCACCTCTGGCCCCTTCCTCCCCAACTTCTGCCTCCAGGACCCCGAAAAAAGGAGGGGAGAGAGGCCAGGAGGGAAGAACGGAGGTGCCGCCAGGGAAGCTCTGGCACTAACAGCATGGGACCAGCAGGCTCAGATCTGCTGGGGGTCCTGATTGCCACCTGCCTGCAAGTCCCTCCCCCAGTCTGAGCCTCAGTTTCCTCTTCTATAAAATGGAGCTAATGATGGTGCCTTCCTCACCTGGTACTTGTGAGGACTCAGTAAGATGATGTGAGCAAAGCCCTTAGCACTGTGCCTGGCTCATGAGAAATGCCCAGGAAATGTCAGCTATTGCCATCCCCATGGGCATTATTCGACATAATGACTTCCCAGGCCCAGGCCCAGACAGGCACTTTCACTACAGTATCTCGTTGGATCACTGAGACCTTGTCACACACAGGTCCATTAGGGAGTCGGATTTGCATAGGAAGAGACAGGCTCTGAATGTTCAAGGGCTTGACTGAGGTCACAGAGAAGGGCAAGGTGGAGCCAGGCCTCGGTGCACTTTTCCTTCATCCCCAGCAAAAGTGCCACTTGGTGGAGGAAGCATGGAGCTGGGTCCTCTCCTCGCCTTCCCGCCCCGGGGGGGAAACGAGCTCCCGAAGGGTGGGAAGTGTATGCCTGCGACGTCTGTTCTCCCGGGCCCAGTATCCACGGGACTATGAGTAATAATACAGCATGCAAATTATGCACATAATCAGACGAAATGTGTTCTAACCATTTGCACTGAGCTCAGAGACAGTTGCGAAATAAGGTTCATGAAGAAACTAAGACATACAACTGCATATACTTCATCAGTCTGAAAGAGCCCAGGGGAAAAATACACCAAAATATCTCGAGGGAGAGAGATGGCCCCCTGTAGCCCTTTTGGGTACCCAGTGGGCCAGAGGAAGAGCTGGGCAATGTGGGCAGCCGCAGACCTGAAACTCTCCAGCATGGCCTCCTTCTTGAGAATCTTCCAGGAGTCCACCAGGCCCTGCCAGTGGTGGTGGCTGTCCAGCTCCTCCCGCAGGGTGGCCTCCATCAGGTTGACGAACAGCTGGGCCAGGGCCCTCCGGTTGCCCAGCAGGGCATGGTTTATGACCTGTGGTCACAGCAGGCAGGGCTGTAGGCAGGGCAGGGGCTTGCGGGTCAAAGCAAACCTCAGTTAGAGAGGGGCGGTGGGAGGCGGGAGGGGGCAGTGGAGGTGCAGGCTGAGGGTCTGGTGGTGGTGGCAGCGTCCGAGGAGGACTGAGGGGTCAGTGGGCACTTGAGGAAGTTGCCTGCGCTGAGCAGCCATGGGCAGTGACAAGGGTCCTCCCTGAAGGCTTAACTGTGGCCCTGACCGAATGAGCTTCAGCCCAGCTCCAGGGCTCCAGGGGATGCTTTCTTACAGAAGGAGAAAGGAGTTAAGCACTCAGTGGGCTCTAAGTGTTTCCTCTTTTTTACAGATTTGTTCCAAAAGCAGAGTGCTCATGCCATCAGGGACCAGCCATATATGGCTGTTAAAACAACCAGGACCCAGTGACCAAATGAGGCCAGAGCAGGTGCATCCTTCAGCTGTCCTCCTAGGGGTTCTCGCCTGGGCACCCATGGCACGGGAGTGGAGACAATCCTTCACTGTGGGGCTCTGTTCTGCACTTTAGCATCCCGACGACCCTTAGATGACAGTAGCTTCCCCCATTCTCCCAGGCATAGAAATTTCTCCATGTCCCGCCACACAGTTCCCAAAGCCCCCTAGGGAGGCGGCAGTGCCCTGGGCGGAGTGAGAACCCTGCCAAGGTCAGTGGGTAGAAACTGCAGTAATGCTTTTCAGTGCACCTGGGCTTTCGTGCAGCTGTACTTCCTGGCTGGGCTCATTGGGAAGTATTCCCTCTACCTCCAGACCTGCAGCCATAACATGAGGATAATGCCATTTACACACAACACAAGGATTTTGTGAAATTAAATGAGATACATGCACATAGAGCAAGTAGCAGATGCTAGCTGTTACACTGAGGAAAAGCAGCACAGGGGAGTGAGACACTGAAACGTTCCCAGGACACTGAAACCCTGGCTCTCCTTACGGATGAGACGTGTGTGGTTTAGGTGCTATCCCTGATGGCAAAGGGAGCTGGGCCCTCTTATTATCCTCCCAGCAAGTCCGGGCGGGTTGGCATCCCAGGCAGTCCTCAATTGATGATGGTTCCACTTAGGATTTTTCGACTTTATGATGGGCTTATAGAGGTATTAAATCCACTTTTTCTTTATGATAGTTTGGACTTTTGACAGATTTCTTGGGAAGTGGCCCCATTGTAAGTCAAGGAGCACCTGTATCGTCCTCATTTCGTGGCCCAAGGAGCTCCCAGTGCCGGGGCAGAGTCATTTCAGGAGCTTCCGCATCTGGGCAGGGGAGAAGGTCTGTGCTCCCTCCCTGTCCGTGCTTTGTCAGGACACACAGCAGAGACCTGGGCTGGACCCATCTGTGATTCTGAACAGTGTGCTCTTTTCAGCCTGCCGTGCTGTCGGCAGGCCTGTTATCTGACAAGCTCAGCTCTCTGCACAGTGCCAGGACACCCACAAAAGCAAAATGCACCTCTGAGCGGGCAAAAGCAGAATCCTTTCTCACAGTGGAGGGGTCAGGCTTTACTCTGACTTTGGAGACACCACGGGCAACTTTGAACTTCGTATTTCCCACCCCAAGGAAAACAGCTGGGGAAGGGTGGGGGTGTAGATGGGGGGAAGCAGTGGGGACACAGCCAAGGGACAGGCGTGGCTCAGCAACAGGCACTGACCACCAGTAGGAAGAGAGACAAGGACAACTAGGAAAACTGGACAGAGCAGGCAGAGCAGGTCACTCGTGAGGGTGGAAGCTGTCCTGAGACCGTGAAGACCCCAAGATGATGACTCCACAGTGCCACACCTATTGCATCGCACGTAGTAGCTGAGACACAGTAAAAGCGTCGGTGCTGCAGTGCTCCAAATGTTGGCACTGTGGGGGGCGTGCCTGGTTTGAGACCGCAGGGAAACATGGCACGCACTTGAGAGAGATTTCTACGGAAAATGCTTCCAATAGCAAAGACTCAGATTCTCGACCTACGAGACCCCCTGAGTACTCGGAAATGTTGTGGATGAGACACCCGCGGTTCCTGAGACACCAGGCTAGGGCACCCCGGGGCCCTGCTCCTTCTTCCATGCGCTGATCCCCCACCGGGAAACCACTCACCATGGCTTCTTTATCAATCAGCCTGTACACATCCGGCTGCATGAGGTAGGAAGTCTTCCCTATGACTTTCACATACTTCTGCAGCACACTTTTTAGCTGGAAATGGCAAAGTGCCACAGTTAGCCGCTCATTTCCTGAAGAACTAAAAGGAAACAGAGGATGCCCAGGAAACCCTGCAAGCAAAAAGCACTGAGCTCACTTTGTCGGAGCGGGAGAACTCCAGGGAGTGCAATGCCTCGTCCAGCTCCTTGATCTTCTGTTTCTGAAGCTGGAACACCCTGGCCACCTTATCCCACAGCTCCGACAGGGCCTATGCAGAGAAGTTTGGGGCAGACTGGGAGCCAGGGGGAGGGAGGGAAGGAGCAGGGCTGGGGGGAGGGCAGGCCCAGCCACCAAGGGCCCCCTACCTGCATGGTGTAGTGCTCTAGGTTGATGTCGTTTTCCACCTTCCTGAAGAGCCTGTCAACTTCTTCATTAAATTCAGACAGTTTTTTCAAAAAAAGTCTCCCTGTCTCCAAGAGGTGAGGTTCCATTTCCTGCAACAGGCCGGAAGGGTGACAGCCATGGCATCAGACCCTGGGAAGGAGGGAGCCCTCCCTGTAATGGGGAAGTACCAGGCATGGTCCAATCTCAAAAACGATCATTACTAGGCCTGAGGAGTTACGGTCCACTAACTAACCCGCAACCAGAGGACAATGGCAGCCACGCCACACGCCCAGCACCCTGCCCTGCGCTGAGCCCTCCCTGTCAACTCTCTTGATTCTCAGCACAGCCTGTGACATAGGTTCTGGTATCAGGCCTAGCCTAGGGCTGGCACTCAACAAATACTAATTAAAGAGGTGCCCAAATGAGAGAATGCCAAGTTTACTGCAGATGAAGAAACTGAGGCTCAGGTAGCTTGCTTGACCAAGGCCACAGAGCTTGCGGGTGAACGTAGAGCTGGTGTCTAGGTGGGACGGACTGAGGAACGTGGCTTGGTCCTTTGGGTAGAGAGACAGTGCCAGGAATCCAGGGTGGGGCAACACAAGTCAAAGAAGACTTGGAGAGAAGGATGGTAAATGGAAATTTGGAGCTCAGAGCAATCTGGAAGGGCAAAGGCTGGTCTCATTTTGGGAACATTCCAGGCACCAGCATGTCTAGAGATGAGGTCTCGGGGGAGGAATGAGAGCTGGGTGGGGGGAAGTGCATAAGGGCCTGGCAGCCCTGAGCTGTCACTGGGGCACACCGTTGGGCCCCCACCAGCAGGACTGGGCAGGGAGGTCAAAGGCTGGGCTTTGGCGTCAGACTTGAGGGGCAGTTCCAGCCTGGCCTCCGATGTGCCCGGTCAGGGGTCTCCCTGAGCTTCACTGCAAGCTGGGCAACCACAGCATGTGATTTAGAGGGCGTCTGCAAGAGTGACAGGGAGCTACACTCACAGCAAGCACTCACAGAGAGCCACTCAGACATGGCTATAGTTCCATCTGTGTCTACGTCTCAGTGAGCCACTGCGGACCTCCTAGCTGAGACGGAGGGAGGGAAGGAGGCTGGCTGCCGTGACAAACCTGCCTTTGCCTTCACAATGCGCCAAGAAGGGAGCAGGAGGGAGAGGGAGGAACCTCACCATCCCGATCTGAGCAATCTCCTCCTGAAAGCTCGCCAGGGCGCGTTCGTAGCTCTTCCTTTTGTGCTCTTCTCGCCCGCAAAGGGTGACAGTGTGTATGCTCTCGGGAACTGCGGAGCAACAGCAGAGGTGATGGGGCACCCTTAGAGCCCCCAGGAGAGGGGAGAGCTCTCAGGACAAGGCTGCGCTGGCAGAGAGCACCTGCACACCAGGGCTGGGGTTCAGAAGGTGGACCCCAAAGCCAGGCCAGCATGGCAGGGGCTTCAGGAAAAAGAGAAAAGATGAAGGTGGTCCATGCGTGCTGTAGGGAACGAGGCCTCAGATATGCAGTTACGTGTGTATGCAATTTATGTTTTCAAAAAACGTTTTATAGAAGCAAATCCATATGCAAATAATAATTGCCAACACATTTATGTAGCACCTTCCATGTAGCAGGTACTGTTCTAACTCAGTCACTCCTCATGATGAGGCCGAGAGGCAGGTTCTATTCCTGGCCTCATTTTACAAGTGGGGAGACCGGGGTTAAAGAACAGCCGGCCAGTGTGTGAGCAGGCTACCTGCCCCAGGGCCTGTGCTCACCCCCGCGCTCTGCCGTCCCCTCTCCCCAGGTGGCCGTCCCCTCTCCCCAGGTGGCTGTCCCCTCTCCCCGGGTGGGAGGCTGGACACCACGTGCGTGACGGGGCAAGCAGGGGAGGCATTGTGGAGGGGGGTTTACTTTCTCCTTATCTCCTTCCTTTGTTGTTGTTTGTGAGCATGTATCACTTTTTTATCGTCAAGAAAAGGGACCTCCGTATTGGGATAAAGTCAGACTAGGACAGTGCAGGGTGGAGGCAGGAAATGTGGACGGAGAGAGACTACTGCGAAACTGCAGGGAGGCAGGCCAGGTCCTTTAGCCAACTGTTTGTCATCAGCAAACGCCCACTGCGCAGGCAGCCCCGCACAGGGGAGACGGCCCAGGGGAGAACGCCGTCTAGGTTCCTAGGCCAGGCAGAGGAACGCAGTGGGGGCTTCAGGGGCTTCCTCAGAGGAGCTGCCAGGAGACACACACCCCCTCCCCGGGCTCTCTCTGGCCCTGGGCAGGCTGCTGAGGCTGGAGGAGGCTCACCCACAGTGTCCATGAGCCCACGCACTTCCCGGGCTGCCGCGGCGCTCTCGCTCTCCTGGACTTTCTCCCTGTGGGCTATTTCCCTTTCCCTGAGGCACAAGCAGAGGAGAATAAAGCTGCGCCCCCCCCCCATGACACCACCCAGGGCAGCTCTGGCACATGGGGGAGTGTCCAGAGGGGCTGCCCGGCCCCAATTCCAGAGAGCCCGAAGCAGTGCCCAGGCTCCCAGCAAATGCTGCCTGTGTGTCTCCTGCCAGCAGATGCTGCAGGTCCCTAGACAAGAAGTTACTGGGTCTCCACCCTCAGGGAGTCTGCTTCGGCTCAGGAGCCGTGGTCCACCCGGGAAACACATCGGAAGGGCAGGAGCAGCCCGAGAGCCAGGCCGTGCTGTGCTCCACCTCACAAGCTCATTCGCTCCTTCAGCAGCCCGGCCTGTGAGGCAGCTGGGTAACCCCATTTTCCAGGAAGGAAGGAGCAGGGGCTCAGAGGAGCCACTGTATTAAGAGAGCTGAGACTCCAAGAATAACTTCATGACACCAAGGCCCATGGGATTCAGGTGAGGGAGGACAGAGCTGGGATCCCAGGACAAACTATCTCAGCAGGGTGGCCGGGGTGGGGGAGGAGGCGGGGTGTGTGGCCGTGACATTAGCTTTGGAATAAAAACTCCTTGGGCCCTCGTGTCCAGCTAACTTCTCATTTAGTCCTCTCTGCAGATCTAGCAGGGAGGGGGACCTCAGGGCTGGGCTGCAGCTGATGGGCCCTGGCCATCCTTCTAGAGGTGGTCTTTTGGGCCTTGTCATTCTAAATGCCCCTGGACCAAGGCAGCCCATAGGAGCCCACAAGACAATGAGAACTGCTATCAGCTCTGGCTTCTTGGCTGCTTGCCCTGGGGACTTGGGAGCTTTGTTTTCACTAGTGGTCATCTACCCCCTGACCTGGGCTGGTCACCACTCACCCAGGGGCCTTGCCCTGGGTACATGAGCACACAGGAGGACCGGCCTTGGCTGGCTCAATTTCAAGCACCTAAACCCTAGCTCTGAGGCCTAAGGGAGACTGGGCACCCTGGCCCTGCCACTCATCAGTTGGGCCCCACCTGGCCTCTGCCAGCCCCTCAGAGCATCTAGAGGGAGCTGGCTCCAGTGGCCAGGGAAGACCCGAGAGCCCCGGCCCACAAAGGGGAGCAGAGAAAGAGGAACAGGAACCCCAGGGGCTGTGCTGTGTGGGGAAGCCCAGGGGCCAGGGATTCCTGACGAAGGAGCTCACCCTGGGAGTAGGGTTGACAGATCACCCAGCCAGAGGTAGGGGAGGGACAGCGGGATGGACATTTGAGGAAGGGCTCCCTGCGGAGGGAACGGAAGCTGGAGGGGACAACACCAGGAAGCCAAGGGTGCACCTGGCTGTTCCACAGCCCTGGGAGGTGCCCGGGGCAGCCAGGAGAGCAGGGAGGTCCTGCCTGCGGTAAACAGGGAGGGGGCTGCAGTGGGAAGAGGGGCTGCACTGGGAGGGGGCTGCAGTGGGAAGAGGAGCTGGGGTGGGAGCCAGGTCAGGGCAGCTGCTGAGAGTCTCCAGGCTGCCCAGAGGGTCCAGGTAAGCTGGGGCTGCTGCACCTGGGTGTATCCCTCCCCCATGGGCTGGGTGAGTTTGCCCAGCTGCCCTGGCTCATGGAAGATTCAGGAAGCCAGGTGGAAGTTCTGCTGGGTGGGAAGAAGGATGGGGACTGTGGAAGGTGAGCCGACAGCCCAATCATCAGGGCTGGGCTGGCTGGGGAGAGAGTGAAGGCAGCAAGTCTATGGGCAAAGAGGGAGGGAGGAAGTGAAACACTTGTCAGGGCCAGGGGACAACTAACCCAAGAGGGATTCTGGATACAGAGTTAGTGACCCCAGTCATTTGAGGATGGCAGAACCTGGCAGGTTACAAACACATCTCTGTTCCTGCCACAAGGAGCTGTGCTCTGGTTCTGCATCCAGGACAGAGCTGGGATTGTCTGTCTGTCCCAGGAGGCCAGCACAGCAAAATACCAACACTCCACTGGTGCCAACAGCTTTTGACCCATGCTGTATCTAGATATTGGAATGTTGAGTGGTCCCAGGCTGAACCCTGGGGAAGAAGGGACCCTCAGGAGGCAAAGGGAGATGTTGGGAGACCCCAGGCCTGGATGAGAACAGGTCAGCTGAGATTGGGCTTGGGATCTTGAGGGAAATGAAGTCACAGCAGGCTGCCATACTGCCCTCCTGGGAGGTCGGCTAGAACTTGGACAGGCCCCAGCTTCCTGTGCCTCTGGGTCCCTACCTGGGGCCTCAGGCAGGGGGACATGGGTTGGAGAGTCTGGCCTTGGGTGGGCCAGTGGACTTGCCCATCTATAGGTAGTTAAGGGTACTGAGGGTTGGAAGCCTCTGGGGTGGTTTCCCTGGGAAAATCCAAAGGTCAGGTCAGGACAGAAACCTGTACCCAACACTGGGTCTGGTCCCTGACCCAAAAAGGATAAAAGGGACAGCAAAGGCAGGTAGAGGAGGCCTGACCTCCCGTCCCAGAGTTCCAGGCCAGGCAAGAGGTTTATGGCTTGTGCAGAGTTTGAAGAGCCCAGGGGAAGACCAATTCCTGCTTTATGTTCCCAAGAATCCTGAGAGGAATATCCTTTTCTTTCCTTTTTTTCCCTAGTTGAGGGTCTGAGCTCAGCAGACTGAAATGGCATGCTTAGGAATCTCAAGTTTAACTTCTGAACTTGGAAGTTCACAAGGAAATCCTGATCTCCCTGTCCCACCCTGCCTACTCCTATCTCAGAGAATGATACCCCTACTGTCCACCCAGAACTCTGGCTGGAGACCTAGGGCCCTGGGGAGCCCTCTCCTCCCCTCCAATCCATCACTGGGTCCTGTGGGTTCTGGCTGCAGAAGACACCTGAAGTCCACCCCTACTTTCCCTCTTGCAGCTACCACCCAGGTTGCCAGGACAGCTGCAATGACTTCCTCCTTGGCCTCTATGACTCTTCTTGCAGTCTCCCACATTCTGCACAGAGCTACCGGAGGGACCTCAAAAATGCAAATCAGTTGCTCACAGCAGTAGAGTCCAAAACACTGACTGTGGCCTGCAAGGCCTCTCCCAGCCCTACCTCTTGCTCTCTCTCCAGGCCCACTCACCTTCAGCCTCCAGGAATGGACCAAGATTGACCTTCCCAGAGCCCTGCCCCCATCCTTCCCCTCCCTTCCCCTCTGGTCCCAACTGAGGCCCCTCCTCAGGGCTTTCCTGACTCCTGTCCCATAGCCCCTGTCCTCTGAGTCAGAGCCTTCCCACCACTGGAGTGGGGGGCATGTTTGTTCATTTCCATGTGAAGCCTCAAGGTCCATGAGGGTGGGATCCGCACAGCCAGCGCCTGGCCCTAAGCACACAGCAGTAATTATCAGAGGAGGGAGTGGGAGAGAGAGAGAAGCAAAACATCCTGCAAAGCAAGTGCTATTACCTCCTTGTTTTAGGGGAGATTTCATTCCTACCTGGTGCTCATCCTGTGGAAGGTCTTTTTGAGTTTTTGAAGACTCTAAAGCACCCCCAGTGTGTGAGGATGGGGGCTGGACAGCAGGACCTACCTGTAGAGAACAGGGTTTTCTGTGACCCAGTCGTTGGGGAGGCTGTGCGCCCACTTCTGCTGCCGAGCAGACATAATCTTCCCTTCAGGAATCTCCATCTTCTTCATCATGGGTGTGCTGCTACTCTTTAGGGGCACATATTGCTCTGCAGCCTGCTTCCTGCTGATGGCCAGGGAGTGGATCAGCTGCACCTGAACCCAGGGAAGACCACGAAAGAGGAGGCAGTCAGAGCTGCTGGGTCCCCAGTACCCTAAGGCTCTTGTGCCTGCCTTATAAAGACACCTAGGAACCTGCCACTAATAAGGCACTTTATGGGGAGGCCTTCAACCCTGGGCACATCCCCTGCAGGAGGGGTCTCCTCCTCCAAGTCATTTAGCCCCTTCAAGGGAGACATTTTTTGAGAAATTTAAATGAAGACCAAGTTGCACATCAGCCTTTCAAAAATTATATTTTTATGCTTATTTATTTATTTATTTATTTATTTATTTATTTATTTATTTATTTGAGATGGGGTCTTGCTCTATGGCCCTGGCTGGTCTCAAACTCCTGAGCTCAAAGAATCCTCCCATCTCAGTCTCCTGAGTAGCTGGGACCACAGGCATGTGCCATTGCACCCAGCTTCAGCCTTTTTTAAGAGTCTCATGCTCTACCGACTGAGCTCTACCGACTGAGCTAGCCGGGCAGCTGCAGCTGCAGCCTTTTTTATAATCAAAAATATTTGGAGAAAAGGAATGGTCCAATAGGAGGGGATTGTTCGAGTCGACATGGTATGTCCCTTAGATGGAATGTTAGACATATACTAACATTGTCTAAAGATGACCAGAGATCACACTTACAAAGAAGTAAATTTTTTATGACATGAAGAAATGCTTATGAGATGATATATAGTTAAATGTATCAATTTAAAACATAAACTAAAAATTATAGCCAAAATTATACAGTATGATCTCAAAATGTAAAATGTATAGAAAAATGACCTGGAGTAAGTGTGTCAAGCATTAAGAATGGCCTGTTGCTTAGAGGAAGCAGAACTGTGTGAGTAATTTAATTGTTTCCTTGGGTTTTTTATACTTTTATAACTTCCAAAGGTTCTACAGAGGGCATTATTTAGGGCTCAAATTAGGAATGAAAATCTCTTATAAATAAACAACACAGAACTTCAAAGGAAGGGTCCTGGTCTCAGTGTTTAAGATCTCATTTTGTCTGTGCAGTGTTTTAGAGAGGACAAAGCAATTTCAACGATTAAAGTAAAGCGGGTTTTACTTTAATGCAGTTATGGGAGTCACGGATCAACAAGCAGGCGTAAAGTATATGGATGCCCACGGCATGGGATAGGGTCTGTGAGACACTGTTCAAGGAGAAAAAGGAGGTTTCAGAACATTAGTACAGAATGGAAACAATTTTTTAAATAGAAAAATTAGAAACGCTTTTATGCATGGGAAAAAGACACAGGGTGCTCGGTGGTTCATCCAGGCTATATCTGAGTAATTTAAATTTAAACTTTTCATTTAAGTTTTCTGATTTTCAAGAATAGACATTCTCATTTTGTATTCCTACATTTTAAGAACCAATAAGAATTATTTTTAAGATCAAAGTCACTTCAGAGTCCATGTTTCGTTAGATTCCCGGGCCGGGAAGCCCTTGGAGGGAGGGAAGTTTGCGGGGGAGCGTTGCGGGGAGGAGGAACAGGGGCTCGGGGGGAAGAGCAGAGAGAAGCGGGCACGGAGAAAAGGGGACAGACGGCGGGCCCTACCTCAGCCTCGAAGATCTGCTGGTAGACTTTGCCATTCTGAACGCGGGTCACCTTCCCCACCGACGACATGCTGGCTGCCGGCTGGATGCCCCTGCGGGGAAGCCGTCGCCCGGGAAACGCGTCTGCGGTTCGGCTGGGAAACCGACGCCCGCCCCCAGCTCAGGTGCCGGCGGAGCAACACTCGGCCCGGAGGCGGCCCCACCGACCCAGGCAGGACCCCGAGCCAGGACCCTCGCTGGGGGCGGGGGGGGGGAGGGTGGGGGCGGCCCCCACGCAGGCTGAGGGCTTTAATTTTAAACAAACGCAGAAGGCAGGGAGCGCGGAACAACGATGGAACTAACCTCCGAGGAGCCCCAAACTCGCGGGGGAGCCCGGCTCTCCCCGCTGTGGCGGGAGCAAATCCAAGAGGGGCTTTGGGGGCGCGAATAACACAGGGTTATCGTTTGTGCTTCGCTCTGCCAAGGTCTTCTGGGAAGAGTCGGGGCGCCGAAGGTGCCGGCTGGGATTGGAACCCACCTGAACTCGGGTCCAGGACCCCACCCCCACCCTCCAGGGGACGCAGGCAGGGTGAATGGGCCGGAGGGAGTAGCCTGATTCTGGCCACGCTCCTTCTGTCCCCTCCCGGGCCCCCAAGCAGCCTTGGCAGCCCCTGGATGTCCCCCTTAGCGCAGCGGTTTGCAGGGCGCCGCTGCGCCCCGTCCTGGCCGCATGCAGAAAGCACCTCTCAAGTCAGCCAGCACCGGTGCAGTCCCAACTGCAGCAGGACTCGCACGGTCTCCAAGGCAACGCGAAGGGGCGGGGCCGCGCTCGCCCCGCCCACGCCTGCCTTCCCTGGGAAGGGGACTTGCCCTTAGCAATGGGAGCACCCCACGTGGAGTGTGAAACTCTTAGAGTCAACTGCTTCCTCCAATGCCAGTTTCTTCTCTGTACAAGGGAATACCTCAGGGCTGGCAGGAGCATCCAGAGCGGTACATCAAATGTTCTGAAAGAATATTCTCTTCTCCAAGAAGAATAAATATTATAACATCTGAATTAGTTTTGTTTCTTTAAGAATTTTATCTAAATAGAATCATACAGAATGGACTCTTTTATGTTGGGCTTATTTCATTATATTTGTAAGTTTCATCCATATTTTTGAATGTGGGTATAGTTTATTTTTGTACAGTATCCCATTATTATTTTTTTTAAAAAAAAAAAACCATTTTATTTATGCTTTCTATTATTGATGCACATTTGGATTTTTTCAATTTGGAGACTACCATAATGCTATTCTGACCATTCTTTTGTGTTTTGAACATATGTAGGCATTTCTATTGGGTTTATACTTGAGAGTGGGATTGTTGGGTCATAGAGCATGTACACATCCATCTTTAAGAGGTAGTCCGTTTTTGAAAGTGGTTGTATCAGTTTACACACACAGCAGGGCATGAGAATTCCAGTTGCTCTACATCCTCACCAACGTGTGCTATGGTCTCTGGTTTTTATTTTAGCCTTTACCTGTTAGTATCACATTGTGGTTTTAATGTGCAGTTTCCTGACTAGTAAAAGCGTCGAGTACCTCTGCATATACTTGCTGGCCACATGGCTATCTTTCTGTGAAATTTCCAGGCAAATAGTTTGTCCAGTGTTTCTGGTAGAATTGTCTTTTTTCTTGTTAATTTATGGGAGTTAGTTACATATCCTAAATATCAGGTTTTCCACATAAATAGCTGGCAAATATTTATTCCTATTCTGTTCTTGCCTTTTTACTCTAGTAAAAGTGCCTTTTGATGTGAAGTTATTGATTTTAATAAGACCCAATTTATCAATTTTTTGTCATTATGAGTAGTATACTTTGTGTTTTACCTAAGAAATCTTTGCCTGCCTAAGGTCAGGAACTATTCTCTGATGTTATTTACTATAAATATTGTTGTAAACTTTCACATTTAGATTTATATATTTTTTTATAGTGTGAAGTAAGAGTCAAGATTCACTTCTTTCTCATGTGGAGAACCAGTTGACCCGAGCTATTTATAGAGAAGACTATCTTCTCCTCACTGCTCTGCTGGGCCTCTTTTGTCATATACAAAATATCTGAATGTGTGGGTCTGTGTTGGACCTATTGGCACTATTCTCCTAGTGCCTGTCCTTGTGCTAGTGGTGCACACAGCCTTGATTACTACAGCTTTAAGCTGTCTTAATGTCTGGTAGTGTGAGTCCTCCAACTTTGTTCTTCTTCAAGATTATCTTGACTTATCTTTGCTCTTTGTATTTTTATGTCAATTTGAAAATTGGCCAGTTTCCACAAGATAACTGATAACATACTTTATAGTGATGGTATGAATTTGTTGACCAATTTGAGGAGAAGCAGCATCTTAGTAATACATTGCAAAAAACAAAACACACACACACACACACAAAACCCAGAAAAAACAAACCAAACCAAAACGCCATCAGATAAAAAGAAAAAATGATAAACTGGGAATAAATATTTGCAACTCATATCACCAAGCTCACATCCCCAATATAAAACAATCTCCTAGAAATTGATAAGAAAAATAGCCACAAAGTAGAAAAATTGGCAAAAGACATTAACCTTCAGTTCACAGAAAAAGAAATAGCGATAACTTTAAATGCATGAAAACATGCTCAGGCTCAGTCATAATAGGACAAAATTGTTGAATTCAAAAGTTTGACAACACACCCTAAAGCTGTGGAGAAACAGACAAGCGACCCCTCCTCTCTAGGCCCTTCACGTCCAGTGCCCCATGGCCTGAATGCACGGGGGTGGGGAGGCATGGGGCTCCAGAGGACATGGGGCACCAAGAGCAAGCAGAGGCTGATTGGCAGGGACCGCATGGGGCCAACCTCAAGAGCAGAGCCTTTGGTGCACTGTGCATGTATGAGTCCACATGGTGAGACGGGTCCCACATGCACCCACTGTCCTCGGCCCACTCCTGCTCCCTTGTACACGCCTGACTTTTGACCCAAGACCTGGCTGCCCTATGCTCCATGTCTACCCCCACTGACCCTGTCAGGAGGCCTGTGCACCTGTGTGTGCCCAAGCCCAACCCGTAGTAGACACCCATCCAGTGTTGATGGAGCCTGACACCATGTCCTTGCTGAGCATGTGCTCATGCAGGACCACATCCAACCCCTTATTGTACAGTTGGGAAGCTGAGGACCACAAAGAGGCAGAGACTGGCTTACACCAAAGGAGGCAGGTAGAATCCAGAGGATAAGGGAGGGTTCCATGTCTTCAGACATATTTACTGTCTCGTCTGAGCCTGAATGAGGGTGGCATGCGAGTGAAATGCAGTATAACAGGTAATCCTAGAGCTCTACTACCTAAGATTGTCAGTAGGTTCTTTAAAATATTATGTTTCTCTTAATATAGTCTATGTCTACCTCCTCTGGCTCCCTGGAAATGAGGCCTAGTGGCTCTGAAATAAGGTTTCTTCATGTTGAGTGTCTCCATCTAGCATGATCTCCAAACTCCCGGAACCCAGAACTTCAGAGCTGGCATGCCTTGCCTTTCCCCCAACACATGTGAGAAATGCCTCATGTTACATCTGCAGATTCCATCTCACATGCTGCTTCTTATGAGAAGCGTTCATTAACTTTACAAAGGCAAAATTAGTAGTTTCCTTTTCCAAGTTCCCATAGAACTTTGTGCACGCCCTTGTTACATGTGGTGGGTTGCATCACAGAGAGTTGTTTACATATCAGCCTCTCCATTTCAATACGGGCTTTCCATAGGTATTCACCCACTATTCATTCAAACCATGATGACTGATTTTGGTAAGTGAATTCATTGTCAAAAGATGTATTCTTCCTTGCCTCATTCTTTGATTCATTCCAACATTCTGTTCTGTTACAGGTGTATGCTTGGTGACGGTGAGCAAAGCTTGAGAAGGCCTCTTTCTTCATGGAGCTGATATCTTATTGAGGGAGTGAGCAGATATTAATCAGATCATTCACAAAGAGTTATATGACAAATAACAGTAACTGACATTTATTAAAAGTTTAGGATATGTCAGACACTAGCTTAAGATGTTCATATGTAACTAATTTTTTTTCTCAAAACAATGGTCTTAGGGGGGTTACCCTCTTTCCATAGATAAGGAAAGTGAACAAAGGCAAAGTAATTTGGCCAATGTCACACAGCTGCAAGGTGGTGGTGTGGGGACCCCAACACTCTGTCCTAGTTTTCCCAGTTTCTAAAAGCAGATGGTAAAGCTCAGTTGTGGATATTAGGCTAAAAGAGACAACTTTGCAAACAAAGTTTGCAATAGTGCTAGCAATAGGACCGGGTTTATATTACGTGTTCAATTAACAACTGAATCACAATTGCTGTGGTACTCATGAGGTGGCTGGAGATTCCCTTCTGCCCTGTTGGTGGGGTCCTCACAATACTTGCCCGGGCTCCATCAGGAACTTTGAGTAGACAGATTTTGTACAGCTCCTGGGCCAGGTCCTATGCTTCAGCATGAAGAATTTGGGTCAGCACGGGGCTCTGCACAAGGACAAATATCCAGGCATCCCACCCTGGCATTTGGACCTCCCCAGCGTCCTGGACATGCACATGCCTCCCTCCTCAAACATGCTTAGGGCTCGCACACTCGCACAACTTTGCTCTTGTTCCCCACCTGGAATGGCTGCCTACCCTGTCTGCGTCCTAAGACAAGTGGCTTTCCTAGTGACCCAACCCTCGTGAGAGAGCATCCGTGCATCTCCTTTGTGACCAAGGGCCAGGTCAGCTCTGTCCATTCCTCATCGCAGTGGCCTGGGAGAGAGCTCAGCATGTGCCTGTTGTCCTACCAGCCTGGGCACTGGGATCATGGAGTTCCTCCTCTTCCCCACCATAAAGCCAGGAAAGAAGAAAGCAACGAGGACCCTGTTGGACTGAAGGCCACACTCTGTTCCAGATGGTTAGACTCTTCTGATGCAGACATTTTACCACCTTCCTCAGTGACCCAAAGTTCTGCCTTGTACATAAACTAAGTGCTTCTTAACAAGTGACCCCCAAGGCTGCCTACCCACCATGGATAGTGGAAGTCATCAATGGGCAAAGTTTGTTCAATAGACATTTCTTTAGTGTTTGATCTGTTTTGCCAAGGGGATGAAATAATCCTGAGACTTCATCCCTCAGCCCAGGTGGCCATCCCATGAGTGCACAATGCTGTTTGCCATCTGCGGGGACAGTGCCGGCACCATCACATCTCATTGCAGGGGACAGCTGCTTGTTAGACTGAGTCCTCTCTGGGGTGCAGATGTCTTAGCCTGGTCTTGGACCAGATGTTGGGGACCAGTGTCAGCAGTCCGAGCACGTCAGTAGAATCTGGGTAAACTCCCGGGAGCTGTGCCCTGATTTCGGTTTTCTGAGCATGACAAGTCTGGGGTTGTTGACCAGGGTCTGCAGCAGGAGCCACCTCGTCCTAGACCTAGCTGAGACGCGTGGACCTAGGAGAGAATCAGAGAAGACAGACTGGAGGGGTGTGGGGGAAGAGGGCAGCTTGCCTCAAAGGCTTTTGGAGGAGCTGCCTGGAATGAGCCAGGTGTTGCAGAAGGTGCCAGACCCCTGGGAACGTGGGGGAGGTTGGAGGAATGTGAGTCTTCCCTCAGACCTGGGTATCTGCAGTGTTGGGAACAGCAATGAACACAGTCTGCACCCTGAAGAGGCAGGAGAGCTCAGAGAGCTTGTGGCAGGACAGAATAATCAAAGCAGCCCAGGGCATCTGGCACACAGCCTGGGATATGAGTTGGAGTCTCAAACAAATGGGAAACAGAGGACTCCATTAGCAGAGCTAAAGTTCATTTCCAGGCCAGGGAGGAGACCAGGTAGCAGGACAAAGCCACAGGCCCGAGTGGGTCCCATAGCCAGACTGACTAGGAACTTAGCCTCCTGAACTCCCTGGTTGAAGGGAAAGAGGAAGGTGGAACCTGGGGCAGCTCAGGGAGCCCAGGGAGCCCAAAGGTGTTTGTTTATTTCATGCCGTCTGAACCCAGCGGAGGTTCCAATAGGAGGCTTTACCTGCTGACTGATCTATGTAGCAGTATTTGATGGCCTGCTGCAGCTTCCGCTCCCTGTGGTCTGCGATCAGGATGTGGCAAAAGCTGACGAGCACAGGGTTGGTGTGATAATGGTCCACATAGAGCATGCCGACCCACGCGCTGAACCCTGGAACCCAGAGGCAGGTCAGGCCGGGCAGCGCTCCCTAGCACGGCCCGGTTTGTACCTTTTGTAACTGCAGAGCCAGTTTGCTCCCAGTGGTCCTTGTTGGGCATCTAGAAAATGAGGTCTAAGGATCTGGAAAGATTCTTAGGGATCGTATCCTAATCTGTCCATGTTACAGGGCACTCAAAGCTCAAAGGAGCTAGGAGTGGCCACAGCTAACACTGAGGAGGCATCGGTACATTTATCGAATGGATGAGTACACGAATGATCATGAGCTAGAAATAAAAAGAAAACTACTTTCACTTCCTCAGAAATGGCTTTGATTTTGGAGTATTTCAACTAAACAGAACATTTTCTTAATTAAGTTTCCAACTAACAATGCCAATAATTCTGAGATGTATTCGTTCTCAAGATTTTCAGACCGGTACACTCGTAAGTTAATCTAATTGTTTAGATAGACTTCTACTAGCTCTGACTGCCCCTCCTGGAAGGTCTGCCAAATGGGCAGGAATTTATTAGCTTTGAACTCCCTTCTGAGCAGCCTCCATTGGAAGATAAGCTCTGAGCTTGAGGGAAGGGTGTGAGCTCCAGGCCGGGCAGCTGCCGCAAGGGTGCAAGACCAGCCCACCCCAGAGGATGTGGCCTGGTGGGGGCTGGCTGCTCACCCATGTCTGCCCCCTCGTAGCCACTCTGCATGATGGTCCTGTCGATGCGGGCGATGAGCCACGTGCCCAGGACGCAGCTGATGAACAGCCTGGAGAGGCAGGCGCCCAGGCCCAGCAGCACGTTGTAGAAGAACAGGAAGTAGTTGAAGTTGTGGAACGCTTTCCTGCAGACAGAAGCCAGCAGAGGCAGCCCCCTTCAGTAGGGCGAGGAGGCTGGGCAGGTGGGCTCTGGAGTCCCCCAGACCCAGGGTCAAATGCTACAACTCCCAGTGCATAGCTTTGCCACCACAAGCCCTAACGGTGGGGGGAGGCGTGGCCGACTGCTCCCAGTCACAGCACTAGCGTGAGGTCCGGCTCAGGCCCCATGTGGAGGGGCTGAGCACAGTGCAGAATCAGGGTTCGAGGGGACTGTAACTGTTTCCTGTGATGCGTGGGGTTTGAGACTTCCTGTAGGATAAGAAATCTCACGGGGCTACAGTTGGTTCAGAGGCTATAGCAGAGGGTGGGCTTCCCCGCTGTCTGTTGCAACAAGGACCTGCCTGCAGCAGAAGCTGTTCCAACGTCTTCCAGAGGAAACTTCCCAAGGGACCGCCTGATCATGTGGTTTCCTGTGGCCTCTGGGACAAAGCCCAGACTTTGCATCCCAAGTTTCAGGGCCCCTCTGAGAGGGGGCTTTCTGGTCTTGTCACTTTGTGTCCCCTCCCTGTCCTCCCTGTGCCCCTCACTGTCAAAGGCTGCTGCATGGCAGCCATTTGAGAGTCTCACTTTTTTCCTGACTCATTCTGCCCTTTTGTGCCTTCCTGCCTTTGTCCTTGCTGTGCTCGCTGCTGGCCATGCCCTCTCCTCCTTCCTACAGGCAGAAATCCTGCCACCCTCCTGACCTCAGCTCGAGCATCCCATCCGCATGGAATTAACCACCACCTCTCTCTGCCACCCCACCTCTCTACCCCCATTGTTCAGGTTTCTCTGGCAACCCTCTTGCACCCTCCAGAGTCCTCTTCCGTCTATGTTTCTATCCGTTCCAGTGGACTGAGCATGTCCCGGGTAGGTCGTGTCCGGATTATCTCTTTACTCTCAGTGCCCCGTTGTTCCCTCAATGAGTGGATGGCATTGAAAGAATGAATTAGAAAGGATTATCATGTGCCAAGCACTGTTGTTCTAAGTTCAATTTCTTAACATGTGTCACCCTTACAACACCTCTTTGAGGTATGCACAATTCATCGTAAAGGGGGAAACTGAGGTTTATAGGTATTTAGGAAGATCCCACAAGGTCACATAGCTCAACGGGTGGAGCCAGGACCTGGCCCAGGCAGTCTGGCTCCAGATCCCACCCCTGGCTCCCCACACCATACCCTCTCAGGGAGTGTAGAGCCTGCCCAGGAACCCGCCAATGGGAAGGGGAAGGGCCGGGAGACTTCCAAGGCCAAAGCCAAAGCCGTACAATCCACTGGCTTCACCCTCACCTGTTGTTGAGAGCCAGGGGCTTCTGCTTGTCAGCCGCGCTTAGCTTGGGCTGCAGAAAGAAGCCGGCAGCGATCCTCACCTGCAGGACCATGAGACCCACGACAATGGATATGGTGAGGCTGAAACACAGGGTGGGGCTGTCCTGAGGTGGCCTCTCCACACTCTTCCAGGCCCTTCTCTGATGCCCGGCGAGAGAGAGGAGAGAGACGCTGACCACTCCGCAGAACAATAGCAGCATGAGCTCCTGTTGTACAAAGCATCCCCAAACCCACTGTGCAGGTAGGAAACTGAGGCTCACAAAGGGGAGGTGACTTTCCCAAGGCCACAGGCACAGGTCTTCTGGCTCCAGATCCCAGCCTATTACTCAGGATTTCACTGCTGTTGGCTTTCACCAGGGGCGGCAGCTGGGCAAGTGGCTTAACAGGTTGAGAAGCAAAGAAAGGAATGGGTTTTTCAGGAGTGCCTGAGAAGGCCACGAGAGAATGGGAAGGACTGGCTGTACCCCAGAATCACGGGTGGCTCTAGGCAAGTATGGGACCAAGGAGCTCAAGGCAGGCAGGTCCCCAGAGAGTGCCACATGCTGTGTTGACCCCCTCTGAGTGGCCGAGCGGGGTAGTGGTTAAAAGGAGGCTTTGGTTTCAGTTTGTCTAGCTCCAAATCCTGCATCATCCCACTCCTTGGACAAAACTCTTAGTGTCTCTGTGCCTCTGTTTCCTGGCCTGCAAAAGGGAGGGCAACACAAGCACCAACCTTCATAGGCTGTTATGAGAAAAGACACATAGTAAATGCTGAATAATACCATTAATAGCATTCACTTTGTCTTCCAGATGTATAAACAGAGGCCCAGAGAAGGGAGATAACTTATCCCAAGCCACATAGCAGATTCAAAAGCTTAGCCAGGGTTCCCTGCCTCCTTCCATCATACTGTCTTGCCTCTTTACCTCCCTAAACCTCAGTCTTCCCAGCTGGAAAATGGACATAGGTATATTCCACACATACACAGTTGTGAAGAGGGAAAGGCAGCTTTTTGTAAACTGTAAGGTTCCCATCCCTGCAAGTTGCTATGATGGCCCAGCCCTGGGTCAGAGCTAAGATCATGGGCCCAGGGAGCAGCTGGAAGAGCACCCCAGCGCCCAGACGTGGAGTGACAGGACGCCCACCCAGCACTTACATCCCAATGCCCAGCCCTTGGAGCATCTCTAGGGCCTGGTTGTGGATGACGGGCAGCACCAGACCGTACATGATCGCCATGCCACACAAGCTCTGCACCACGTGGATGATGAGGTAGCCTGGGGGCCGAGGGAGCCAGTGGTCACCCCTAGGCCCCTCTCTGCATTCCACCCTCTACCGTCCTCCCGCCAGAGGCCCTGGCATGCTTGCCTACGCTGTTCCTTCTGCCTGGCATGGCCTCCCCTTCCTTCCCACTTACCCCCTACTCACCCTGTCAGGTGCAGTTCAAATGTCAGCTCCCCGAGAACACATCTGAGCCCTGCCCTGGGTGTGGACAGTCACTTTCTCCTCTGGGTCACCATCGCCCTTAGCATGTATGCCCCGTGGGTTCAGGACAGGTGGTGAGGGTGACCTAGAGAGGGTTTGTTTCTCCCTCCATCCTGAAGGGCTCTCGAGGGCAGAAGCCAGGGCTGCTTCCCATGCTCCTCTCTACTCCCCACCCACAGCCAGGACTCTGCAGGTGACCCCGGAACAGCTGCTGAATTGAATGGGTCACGTGACAGCACTTACCCCACAGAATGTAGGCTATTTGCCAGCCAGAGTACCTTGCAATGGCCACCTGCGATTTAAAAGGAAAAAGCAGTCCCGGAAGCCTTCATTACCTCTGCCACGTGTGCCCAGCATCCGTGTCTCACCTGGGGGGCACCCAGCGACCCAGTGAGGCTGGCGTTGAGATCGTCCTCATTTACTGATGAGGAGACCGAGGGCCCAGTAAGGGCAGTGATGTGTTCCCAGCCACCCAGCAGCAGAGCAGGACTAGACTTGAGGACGCTGGACGCCCAGTGAGGGGCCCTTCCTCCCCCAGGGCGGGCCCTGTGCCTGGTGCCGCAGGGCAGGTTGTGCACGTGGTGGAGTCTCAGCAGAGAGAGGCTTGTGGGGACTCACCACGCTCTCCGACGAGGCGGGATTCCGGAACTTCAAAGGGAGAAAGTGCTTATCTCCTGCCCACAGCTTCTTGATGTGCTTTCTGGAGGAGAAGGGGGACTTAAGCAGTGTTCATAACGCCGGCTGCGCGCATAGCCAGAGCTCGATAGATACCACAGAAAGGCCTGGGTGCTGAGGGCGGCGACCCGGCCTCCCCGGTGTGGGCTGCAGCTCCCGGGCTACTTCGGAGTTGCCTTCAAACCCTTAAAGTTTGTCATATTTTGTAAAAATAATATATTTTACCAAGTCATGATGGTGACTGAATTTGATAGATGCCATTATGTGTGGCCTTTATTTCCTTTGTTCTGCTTTCTATATTTTCTTATTTTTTCTATGATGAGTATGTATTACTTATGACATGTAAGAAGATTTACAACCAACTGAAAACAGAAAACTCATTTTGTTGATAGCCTAACCTTATAACAACAGAAAGGGAAATCAGAGAGGGGCAATAATGCCTCACAATCCCACTCCTCAGCCAGTCACGGCTTCCTGTTCCAATGTCCTAGCCCGGCCCTGGCCCTGCACATAAAGGAGAGTTTGACGGCGCTGTGTTCTCAGTCCAATTCACATTCGAGTCCTGCTGGCTCTACTTAACATTCTATCTCTGGAATGTTTTCAGGCCGTTTTGTACTTTTCACAACTACTAAATTAGAAAGACTTAGGATGAAATAAAGAATGCAAATATTAATGATTTTTATATCTATTACATGTTGAAATAATAATATGTGAGGTATAGTGGGTTAAATAAAATATATTATTACGATTAATATAACCTGCCTCTTTAATCTTTCAAAAAGGCTACTAGAAATTTCAAAATTGCATATATGACTTTCATTATGTTTTTGTTTGGCAGCCTTGGAGTTGAGTGTGGTTCCATCAATATACACAACACAACACACACACACAGTGCACACATATTTGTTTGCATTATGCATAGAAAATTTCTGGATGGATCCACAGAAACCCACTAACAGTGGTTAGTGTAGGGCAAAAAATGAGGGATCCAAGCGGGAGGAAGACTTACCTTACACTAAATATTCTTTGTAGTATTTTCTTACACGTGCCTATATATAGGTTGGAATACTGCTAAAAGAAACTGAAATGTTGGCACAGTGCCAGTGCTCTGCAGTTCGTAACAGGCTTTCTCTTCCACAGTTTCCTCTGCCCCACTGTCCCGATAAGGCAGCAGGGCAGGGATCCCCACTCCAGGGTGACAGGTGGGAGCAGGGCAGCCTGGCCAGGAGCCAGGCCTCCTCTCCTCAGGTGCCTTCTCCTGCAGTGCCCTCAGCTGCCCCACGTCCAGGCAGTCCCCTCTGTGCTGTGGTTGTCCCTGGTTGGGCTCAAATATCTCCGTGAGTATTTCCCAGCCACATGCAGACTCCATGAAAGGCACAGACATGTGCCCACATGAGGTAGGGCAGGGGAAGTAGCCATGTACAGACCACCACAGGGTCCAGGGAGAAGAAAGCGCAAAGAGGGAGTGAGACAGGGTTGGTAGAGAGCTGGGCCCTTCATGCCAGGGCAGGTGCAGTGGGTGCCATCTGCAAGAGACCCACCACCCTTTGGTCAGGCAGATGGGGAGGCTGTAAAAGCAGGATGCTCCAGAGAGCTGCAAATTAGTCCTGGGGTTCCTCTGTGTGTGTGTATTTGTGTTTGTGTGTGTGTGTGTGTGTGTGTGTGTGTGTGTGTGTGTTGGAGAAAGAGAGAGAGTGAAGAAGAGAGAAAGAGAGGGAGCAGTGGATACTTAACATGCAACTGATGTCTGCATGCGAATGCTCACTACATATTTAAGGCCATCCCTGCTTCCTGCACTGCTGTCCTTGAGACTGATGCTCCTGGTCCCTTTGATGCACCAGGTTTGCCTGCTGGGAGCCCAGCGTGATTAGCCCTGGAGAGCAGAGCAGACCTGCCATCCAATAGAGGTGCCTGAGTGTGGAAGAAATAACAAGGTCTCTGGGGTCAGAAAGACTTGATCATTGGGTTATTGCTCAGGCCAGTTATTTAATATTATTGAGTCTCAGCTTTCCCAGCTGTAAAAACGGAGATGAAAGTACTTATCCCTCAGGGTTGTGGTAAAATCCAAATGAAGATTCTAAGCATAACGTTAACCCATTGCAGAAGTTCAAATCAATAGCTTTCTTTCCTTTCCCCCTTTCTACCAAAAGATGTGCTTATCCCTGGATATTATATTCACTTCCTGGGCCCACACTGGGCGCTGCAGCCGCGGCTCAGGAACGCTGAGGAAAGCGTGTCATATATACTCCTGATGAAAGACACGGAAATGACTCCCAGAGGGTTCTTACCTGTAACAGGCCAAAATGTGGAATAGGTAGCTCACGCACGTGAGGGAGGCAGGCAAAATAGTCACCACCCAGACTCCTGAAACACAAAAAGTGATATGAGGGACGTTGAAAAATAAACATGAGACGGAATTCTCGAAATGCAGAATCCCGTATCAGAAAGGTCTAGGCAAAAATCTATTATAATTCCTTTACCACGTTTCTTGGGTAAGTAAACTTCTGCTCGTTTTTGTTTCATTTTATTCACACAAGCCCTTGATATAACTTATTTTCTGCATAATCCTCTCTTTGGTGCTAATATTTTCACTGTATAGTGAATGAAGGGAAGAGAAAATGTGAAGTATGCACATCATGCATAGCCTCTGCCCACTGAAAACATCATTTGTATTTTACCTCTAACTGCCACTTGGGGCGGTATTGGTTGCACCTCAACCAGGTACAAAGACAGCTGGAATCCTGATGTCTTGGCTATTCACTCATCCACCTTTCCACAAGTTTTTGATATTGAGAATCTAATTTGCTTTTAGAAAGATTCTGTATGTTTGTGAGAGAGGATGTAGGAGCAAAGAAGGAAGATTATTTGTTGATTTGTTGGTTTAAAAGCTTCCATAGAAGTTGATTTTCCATAGGTACAAAAAAAGCATTTGATAAAAATCCATCTCTTTATGATTAAAAATACTCAATATCTAGTGTTCATTGCACAGTAGGGTGACTATAGTTAACAACAACATATATATATTTCAAAATAGCTAGAAAAGAAGATTATTTTGTTTTTTGAGACAAGGTTTCACTCTGTCACCCAGGCTGGAGTACAGTGGTCTCATCATAGCTCACTGCAACCTCAAACTCCTGGGCTCAAGCAATCCTCCTGCTTCAGCCTCCTGAGTAACGGGGACTACAGGTGTGCCCCACTACACCCAGCTAGTTTGATTATTTTTTGTAGAGATGGGGTCTCACTATGTTGCTCAGGGTGGTCTCAGGAATTCCTGGCCTCAAGCGATCCTTCTGCCTCAGCCTCTCAAAGTGCTGGGATTACAGGTGTGAGCCACTGCATTGGCCAGAAGAGAGTATTTTGATTGTTCTCACCACAAAGAAATGATAAACGTTTGAGGTGATGCATTTGCTAATCACCCTGATTTGATCATTATGCAAGCCCTGCACCCAGTTTCCCACACAGGTGTCAGGAACAGAGCAGGTAGGTAGGGTTACCTTTGGTGACAGTGATCAGCTCTTTCACCTGCAGGATGACTGGGGTCAGGTTCCCCGTCTGGTTCACGGAGGCGACGTAGCTCTCCAGCTTGCCTTCAAACACCGCTAGCTCGTCTTGCACGAACACAAACACGTAGAACTCAATGACGATGAACTAGGGACACAGAGCAAAGGTTTCAAGGGCTCACCTGTGTCCAGCTCAGCATAGGAATGGCACATGGATCTCTCTTTGGTGTTGAGGTCAGTCTCTTCCAGGCATTCAAAACTTTACTAGAAATGACCCCACACACTGGCTATTTTAGCATGAATACAATTGTGAGATCCTGGGAGACAGAAGCCACCTCACACTCCGTTCCTCACCCTACAGTGGACAAGGCTGGGCCCCACAAGGGCTTGAGGAACTCTTCAAACACTCCTGGAACCAGAGTGGAAGAATGACTAACTTTGGGTGAGGGGCGACCTTGGGGACAATTGCAGCCCTATCTCCATTGCTGCCACCACTGATCTGGGGGAGCCCAGAGGGAGAAGCATGGCTTCCTGCACTCTCTCCTGTGCACCTGGTGTACGTGCCACCGTCCTGTCCTCCCCTCGCCACAATGCCATTGCTCCCACAGCTCCTGCTGCCTCTCACTTCACCTGCCCGTCATGTTTAGCTCTGCAAGTGGAGCTCAAACACTGTCATCTGCAGGCAGCTGCTCAATCTAGAACAACTCACTAAATTTCCAGAGCACATTCACTTTATCCCTTTTTTCTCTTAGGTTGGCAGGTACCTCACACCACAGGTTATTTTCTCCCCTTAGACCACAGAGCTTCTGCCTGGCCAGGGCTATGCTGCGCCAGCTCTCTGCCCTCTTCCAGCTCTCGACAAAGTGCTTGGCACAGAGTGGATACTCCGCAAACATGTAAGAGACATCATGACTCCAAGTGAGTTATTCATTGTTATAGAGAACTCTGTAATAGTTCCCAAATCCACTCTCCCTTCTTTGGGCACAGGCTGGACTACATTTCCCAGCCTCCCTTGTGTTCGGTGTGACCACAGGTCCAGGTTGTTGCCAGGGAAAGAGGAGTGGAAGGACCCTGAGAGGCTTCCACACCCAGCCCATGGAGACCTCCCACAGCCTCTCTCCCTGCCCCTTCCCCGTGTGCTGACTGCATACAGATGGTGCTGGGGTCCTCAGGAGCAGGAAGTCACATGCCTCCCGAGTAACACATGGCCAGTGCTGCCTCCCCAGCTGAACACCCACTCAGCACTGTTGTGTGGTAAAAATACAGTGTTAAGCCTCTGAAACTTAGGGGGTTATCTGGTACTCCAGCATAACCCAACTTAAACACTCACTTAAAAACTTAACCACAGGAGTGACTTAAGTAGGGGTTGTCCTAGCACATTTAAAACGAGCAGAAGAGAAGTTAGCCTTGCCATCTTTATTCCTCCATTGTGAGTCAGCCATTTCACTTCAGATAACTTTGACCGCACAAAATGTTTTGAGTCTATGCTAAATGAAACATTGAAGGCATAATTATGTCAACATTTAAAATTTTTTGTTGAGAAAGCAAACTTAAATAAGACTTTTAGATTTTTGATCCACTTTTTAAAATATAGGACAGTAAACCAAGTCTATTTTGTCCACTTTTATTTATAATTCTCTGAAATTATTTTTGTCAGGATCAATTATTTTATATTTAAATGATTTGATTTTTGTTCACAGCATAATTAACTGACTACAGGTTCTGCTGTTGTAAGTTTTATTTAGGGATCATTATTTCTACCAAGCCAACTTTCCTGGGTCAAATTCTGTATATTGAAATATTTTCAAATATCTTTTTCTTCCATCAGTTTTTAGGCAACGATAAATTTTACCATGTGGAGTTTTAACTGCTATTAGTTTTGTTTGGTGTGGATTATTTATACTAGTGTTAATAATACTCACCATGAGGGTAAAAGAGTCTCTGGAATCAAAATGGTGGAGTTGAAGTATTGTACTTATTTGATTTACCAAGTTTCAATTTTGACCCTGGTTTTTAGGAACATGCTGCGTGCCTCAAAGACTCCATAACGCTAGTGTCCACCCTACCCCGTTTACAAATTATAAAACGATTTTCTCAGATGTGCTTACCAGGTACAGGCAGATGAAGGCCAACACGATAGTTCCGATCATTCTGCTTGGGAATTGAAAGCACGGGTCCCACTCGTATATCCTGGTTTGGAACCAAGTTGCTTCTCCTTCTCTGTGAACAAATAAACACCCAGAATTGAGAGGTCGTGGCAGATAAACAAATTCTTCTGAAAATAACCCAATCTCCTCCTTTTTATCGTGGAGTTTAGTGTAAGGAGACAGTAATATAGTTTCCACAGGTTTCATTTTCCCCGTAGTCTCAAATACAGAGACTCAGTTTTATTCAGGGCAGTAATTCAGCAAATTAAAAGGCCAAAGTTCCTGACCTCTCTTGCATCTAAGAGTGACCAGACTAGCTTCGGGCCACTGGGCTGTGACCAGAGTGTGGTGTGGCTCATCGGGGAGGCTGCCCAGATGGAGCTGACACAGCTGGGAGGGCCCCTTGGCCCTGCCTTCTTTTCCCCCGCCTCTGTCTGCAATGCGGACGTGGTGGCTGGTCCAGGCTGGCACTCCAGCAGCCACAAGGGACCATGGGACAGCACTATGGATAGAAAGGACACTCTAGATGCTGAGGCAGAAGGACAGGTGATCAGTGAACTGCCACAGTGCGCAGTGCAGGGCCCGGATGGACTGCTCACCTCCAGAGTTCTTTGATAAAGTAATAAGTCTCTCTCTTGTTTGTGCCACTATTATTTGGGGTCTTCTGCTCTATCAAGCCAAATCTAATTCTACCTAAAGAACTAGCTTTGCCACAGTGTGACCTCAGACAAGACACATCTCTTCCCTGGGACACATCCAGGTGTGAAGGTGGCTTGTATGATTCTGAGATCTGGTGCTTTTGCCTGGCAACTTCTATGTCCTCCTCCTGGGTGACAGCGCCTCAGTTTTAATTTGGGGAACTACCTTTCCTTCCCCTGGGTCCTGGTGGGTAAGCGACACTGACATCACTTCCTGGCTCCGGGCACAGGAACTGTTTCTGGGTGGCATGTGATCCAATCTGATCCCCTGCAACGCATCTGCGGGACTTTTGTTTGAGTAACTGGAAAGGAAATTTTCTCTTTCTTCTGAGCTTAAACCAGGAGGGTATAAGCCAGAGAGTCTGAGTGCCACCATGTGGAGGAAGCTCCCCGAACTGTGAGGACAACACAGGTAAAGGCTAGCTGAGGGGAGGTTGAGGGATAGAGACCTGGTTCAGAGTTCGTCCACAAGCCCTGGCTCCAGCGTGCCTGAAACTGACTACTCTAGATTTCTCAGTGGTGTGAGCCCATACGTTTCCTTGCTTTAGTCCAGTTTGAGCTGGGTTTCTGTTCTTAGCAAACAAAGGTCCTGACCACTGCAGGGCCCCTCCAGACATCCCAGGTCTGCCCCATCATCAGCCCTCAGGGGAGATGGCGCAAACCTGCGGGTGAATGAGCAGAACAGAACGGCGCTTACCGCGGGTGGGGCCTTCTCAGGAGCCGCTTGACGTGGGCTGCCTGGTGAGCTTCCAGAACCGACTTTTCTTCCTGTGGCAAAGAAGGCAGGCATAGGCTTTGGCTCACTGATTCTCATTAGGGTTTTGGTCTCTTTGAGGGGCTACAGCCACAGAGGGCAGGAATTTGGGTACGCATTGCTCTTCTGGAGTTAGCCATTCCCAGCACCTGTCATTTCTCGGCGCAAGGAACGGGGTCCAGTTCCCTATTTACCGAGCACCTGCTCTCAGGAAATGCCAGTCTGACCTGCATTGTCTCTTCCGCATACTGCCTGTACCAGCCACGGTTCTGTGAAACTTTCCCCCCCCCCCCCCCGCCAGATTTGATGATCTCCCATCATAGTTCAAGCCATTGTTTCAAGAATGAAACACCCCGAATCCCAGCCTTTTTAGGAGTTTCTTTTGCTCATTTCTTATTTTTTCAGCATTTAAAAAAATGAAACTTTAATGGTATGTTTTCTCCACATGCAATGAGCTTTCCTCTATAGTCATCTATTTTGCTACATACAAATTATTGAATGCATGAATTTTATTTGTCTTATATAGCCAGGATGTTGGGTAGAGTCCAAAAGACCTGGTTAGAATCCTGACTGGCTGCTTACTATGTGTGTGCCTCAGGCAGGTCACCTCTCTACCCCTCAGGCTCCTCATAAGTAAATGGAGAAAATAATAACACCTTCCAGAAGGTTATCGTGAGGATCAATGTTTATCAAGCACTTGCGCAATGCCTGCCCAGTGCAAAACTCAATAAGTAATGGCTGTTATCATCATGAGGAAGGAAAATGTCTTTTTCTTCCATCTCTAGTAAAAGCATCTGAAAAGGCCTTTTTTTCTCCATAAAGAAAACTGTATCTATTTAGATAATCTCTTGTATTTCACAAGAAGTACCTTACCAGCTCTGGTCATTGGAGGAAATGCAAAAAGACTTAATTTCTATCTCCAAATCTGGAACACTTCAGTGTTGTTATCTTGGCTTTTTTTTTTTTTTTTTTTTTTTTTTTTTTTTGCTTTTAAGCAGATGTGTGGCACAGCGTGCCCAGACTCTGAGCCTTGCAGCTATTTACAAACGTTCTGGCTCCCTGCTTTCAAGATACATAATAGGATTGTACCTTCTCACCTCCTTGTAGGTGCGTTTAGCCAAATGACGGCTTTGTCCAATAAAATCTGAATGGAGGTGACATCTTGGCAGGAGCTTTCAAAGCTAGTGCATACTTCACCATGTTGTCTTTCCCGGCTCTGTGCCACTCACTCACATTCCCAACGGAGGCTGCTCCGCCGGCCCAGGTCACAGAGTGAGGAGGACATGGCCCTGGGCACTCCCATGCTCCACATGTCACAATAGTGAGAAACAAACCCTTCTTGTGTTAAGCCACTGAGGTTTGGGGGGCTGTGTGTTACTATAGCATAACCTAGCTGTCCTGACCGTCACGTTTATTCCGAAAAGACAACAAGAAAAACTCAAAGTCACTAAAACAAACTAATCACAACTCCTTCAAACTCAGGTGATACAGAGACCAAAGCTGTGGCAGGTGGGTCCCAGCGGCATCAAGTCCAGATGTCACATGTTCTGACTCACTGGTGGGGTGTAGGAGAGAGAAAAAGACCTATCCTGATCCCAGGCGACCTCAAAGCTGGAGCGATTTGCCAGAGGCAGAGAGGCTGTGTTTGGCAGTGGTTGACAGAGAGGCCCCACAGCCAAGCTGTCTGGGTTCCAGTTCTGGCTCTGCTGCAGACGAGCTGGCGACCTCGGCTCACCTCTCTGCGACCAAGTTTCCAAACCACAGTGTGAGAAGTAGTAATAGCAGCTGCGTAAGTGGCTGTTGTGAGCAGTAAACCTGTCCACGCAGTGCTTACACTGAGTACTCACCGCCTGGCGCTCCCAGCCCAGGTGCACCCTCAGAGCCTTGACAAACATGTGCAGGAAGCGGCCCAGCAGGAAAGCGAGGCACAGCAGTGAGGGCCAGTAGAACATGACGGTCTCGTACCTCCCTAAAAACTGCAACAGAAACAAACCACCATGGCTCCATGCGGGGGGGAGCTGCAAAGGGAACCCCCTGCCCCAGCCTGCCCTGCCAAGGCCTGTCCAGTGGCCGATCCCAGTGCCCCCAGCCCCTCACCACAGGACCAGCAGTGGACTCGGAGCCCAGCAGCCTTGGATTCAAGTCTCAGCAGCCCCATTTTATTTTACAAAAACAGCTTTCATGGGTTTTTTTTTTTTTCTGATTAGGAAGATAAATGCTCTTTTTGGAAAATATGAGAGAAAGACAGAGGTAGGTGAGAGGAGTAGGTAGAGAGGGAGAAAGAAAGAGAAGAGGGAGAAATAGAGGAACAGGAAGGAAGGAAAGGTTAGGGTTAGGGAAGGAAGGAAGGGAGGGAGGAAGGAAGGAAGGAAGGAAGGAAGGAAGGAAGGAAGGAAGGAAGGAAGGAATACCCTAAACGTAGGTTCACGGGTACTTACCTGCCCGTGGGGACACTGTGAGACTTGGAGAACAGTGACAGCAAACCTGCAGGAACAGAATCAGGGTTTGGGGCCCTGGGGTCCCTCTCAGCACAGTCCCAGGAGCATCCCCTGTGAAAATAGCCCAGGGCCCACCAGCCCAGACTCACCTGCCCTGCGGGAGGCCGGTTCCCAGGCCCCACACACAGCCACCCCCAAGTCAGGCCCTGCTTGTGCCGAAGCGCATGCACACTAAACTCACACCCCACGTGGACACCATCTCAGAATCCATGAGGGCACCGCAGCAGGGCCCTCAGAGAATGCTTCCTCTCTCCCCTCATCGTTCAGGTGGGGGATGGAAGCCCAGCGTTGGCAAGGGATTTATCCAGAGTCACACACGGGGGCAGAGCCAGGACCAGGATCCAGGTCTTGAGACCCCGACGCTGCAGCCGTTTCTGCCTCTGCATGACCGTGTCTGGCAGCCCTGCTCTGAATTCAGGGCCTCCAGGCTCTATCCCTGACACCCATTCCTGGTCCCATTCCAGCTGAGCCTAGGCGCCCAAGCTGCTGGGCGATTCCTGCCACCCCACCCTGCTTTCTCCTGGCCCAAAGCCTGTCCAAGACTGTTGAGATGATGTTGCTCCATGTCTAACCCTGTATACCTCATTCCAGTTTCTCAAAAGCAAGTCACCTACAAACTCTGGAATTGTAGCCATGGTGTGTCAGTTGCCTGTGGGACCCCTGCCCGTCACCATGATGAGTTGGGCCTGGGGACCGCGGCCCCATGGAAAATGCTGGATGGGGGAAGCAGACCAGCAAGGGAGCTGGAGGCAAGGGAATGAGCCTCGGTGGCTGGAGAACAGAACTGTTCCTGGGGTCAGGCAGGCAACAAACGTTCCCTGGTGCCGGCTCTGTGCTAGGTCTGGTGCCTGGCTGTGGGGCACAGAGCTCAACGTGAAGGTTGCTCTCCATCCGGTGGGAGGGACTGTCCGTGGAGCAGGAGCACACAGGATCGTCCCCTAGCCTGGGGCAGGGGTCTGCACAGGGAATAGGAACACACAAAGAGGCCAGGAGGCATGGTCGGAGAGGGCCTTCCCTGGCTCCTAGCGGGGATATAACAGAGTGGGTACTGAATGAATCAGTGGATGGAGGAAGGAAGGCAGGAATCTCCTATGATGGAGGTGTGTGCCAGACACTGCTGGGGGCCGGAGAGAAAAGGAGAGGCCCTGAAGGCTGAGCTAAGGCTCGTGAACTTTCTCTGAGGCTCACCAGAGAAGCCACGACGGTGCTGAGAAGCAGCATCTAACCGGGCTCCTGCTTCCTTCCCTCAGCAGTTTACAGAAGTCCCTGGCTTCTGGGAATATTCTAATCACCAGCACCTTGTGCAAGGCAGACAGAATGCCGGCCTGGCCTCCTGAATCCTCAGATGCAGTCGTAAGGAGGGGCCGTGATGGCACGTTGGACAAGTCACCCTGCCCTCCCTGGGCCTCAGTCCTGGGCAGAGTGTCCTCCAAGGGGAGCTCCCAGAGCTCCCCCATCCCTTTGTCCAGAGTTCAGCCATGGAGCCGGAGTCGGGGGAGGGCGGGCAGGCAGAGTCCGTCTTACCAGATCAGAGAGTAGCAGAAGCCGAGGATGGAGCCGACCAGCCGGAACTCGGATGAGAGGCAGGCAAAGAAGGGGAAGTAGGCCAGGCCGACTTCGATGCCTCCAATCAGAAGCACGAAGGCTGGGGAGACAGGGCCAGAGATGCTGTGAGTCCCCTTACCATAGTACTATTACTATTATTACTATATGCCTTTAAAAATACTGTATAGAAAATAGTAATAATTAAAGGAATTCTAAATAATGTAGAGATATATTGTGTTTATAGGTCAGAAAACTCAATATTTTTAAGATAATAATTCTCCCCAAATTGATCTATAAATTCCATGTAATCCCAATCAAAATCCCAGAATCGTTTGTAGAAATTGACAAAATTATTCTAAAATTCATATGGAAATGCAAAGGACCTAGAATAGCAAAAACGTCTTTGAAAAATAACCATGGAAGGATGAACACCACCTGATTTCAAGAGTTATTATAAATCTATGATAATCAAGACAGTGTGGTATTGTTGCAAAGACAGACAAAGAGATCAATGGAAGAGAATAGAGAGTCCAGAAATAGACCCACTATGTAGCCAATTGATTTTCAAGAAAAGTGAAAAGGCAAGTCACTGGGCAAAGGACAGGCTTTTGTAGCAACTGGTACTGGAACACTTCATGTGGCTATCCAAAGGCAAAAAAGAACTTTGATCCACTCTTCATATTATATGCAATAAATTAACTCAAAACATATAGACCTAAAAGCAAAACTTAAGGCTACATAAACTTCTGGAAAACACATACAAGAAACTCTACATGACTTCAGCTTAGGCAAAGATTTCTTATATGACACTATAAGTATGACCTATAAAAGAAAAAAAATGAGTAAATTGGGTTGCATAAAAATTTAAAATGTCAGCTCTTCAAACAAGTTGTTAGGAGCCTGAAAATTCAAGCTACAGACTGGGAGAAAATATTTGAAATTCATGTATGTGTATGATAATGGGCTTATACCCAGTATATATAAAGAACTCTCAAAACTCAATAAGAAGAAAACAAAAACCCCTATTTTAAACAATAGGAAAATGATTTGAACAGATGCTTCACAAATGAAGGTATAGGTACAGCAAATAAGCACATGAAAGTATGCTCAACATCATTAGTCATTATGAAAATGCAAATGAATACCTCTATATACCTCTTAAAATGCCAAAATTTTTAAAAAACTGGCCATACCAAGTGTTAGTAAGGATGTGGAGAAATCAGAGCTCTCTTACTGATGGTGGTAATCTAAAATTATATAATCACTTTGAAAAACAGTTTGACAGTTTCTTGAAAAGCATGATCTACTATATAATCTATAAGATCCAGCCATTCCACTCGAAGGCATTTATGAAAAATTGAAGCATGGTTACATATAAAGCCTTGTACACAAATAGTCATAGCAGTTTTATTTGCAATAGCCAAAAGTGGAAATAAATCAGATGCCCATCAACAGGTGAATGGATGAACTGTGGCATATCTATATAGAGGAATACTACTCAGCAATAAAAAAGGATAAACTGTTAATACATGCAAATGTGTATGAATCTCAAAATATGCTAACGGAAAGAATCCAGACCAAAAGGAAAAGAATACATCTGGGTAATTCCATGTATACAAAATTCTGGAAAATGCAAACTAAGCAGATCAGTGGCTGCCTGGAGAAAAGGGTGTGAAGAGAGAGGAGAGGAAAGGAGAGATTAGAAAGGACTTCTGGGGTTCATCACTGGATTGTGGTCACAGTTTCATGGGTGTAAACATTTGTCAAAATTTCCCAAATGGTATACTTCTAAGGGATGTGTAGCTGTATGTCATTTTGGTTTTAATTTGTATTTCCCTGGAGACTAACGAGATGTTGGTAGGTATTGGATCATATAGACTTGGAGCCCATGAGCCGAAACTGGGCTGGAGAGAGAGGTGTGGGAGTCATTGTATTAGCGATAATTGAACCTGGAGATTAGAGCTGCTCCTCCAGGTAGAACACAAGGCATGGGGAAAGATGAGGCCTCAGATGAAAGGCCAAAGAAGGAAGCATTGTTCTTTGAGGAGGAGACCCAGGGCTCATTGACATCAAGGGGGCAGCTATGGCTATGGCTCAGGAGAGCTTTTGGGGGGCAGGTGACGAGGAACCTACTGTCTGAGCCTTTGTTACATTGTGTCTAAGGACCTCTGAATCTAACTAGGGAAAGGCCCCATGAACAAGCCTTGAGGCTTTGTGGGCCAGACATTGATCTTAGGCAAGTAACAGGCTGGGCAGAACCCAACAGTTCACAAAGTGTGTCCCCTAATCCCAGAGAGCCCTGCCATGTGGTCTCTGAGAGCAAGAATTTCCACGGCTGAGTTCCCAGCAGGATGAGGCAGCCTCTAGTACCTTGGGCCCACTGCGGGACCTGCAGGGGCTGGTAGCCCTCTGAGAACAGGAACATGACCTTATTGGCTGTGGCACCAAAGGCAATCCCATAGGACCATCGGTTACTAAAAGTGCCCACGAAGTCCAGGGGCCTGTGAACAACAGAAACAGCTTGTGAGGACAGGAGGTGGCTCTGAGACATTCCCACAGGTCGTCTCCCAAGAGGCACTCCCGCCCTGAGGAGGGGTTATGGGAAGGTGAACTATTCATTGCAGCTGACATTTCCCGGGGCCTCTGTGCCAGGCCTGGGGCCGGCATGGATTCAGGGTCCTGAAGTGAGCAAGACAAAACTCTGGCCCAGAGGAGCTCCGAGCCCAACGGGCGCACACACGAGGAACCAGCGTCCGTGACATAAAGCAAAGTGGGGGAGGCTTCGTTTAGAACAGAGACAGCATGGCTCAAGAGACCAAAACAAGGAGTGTGTCCTAGTCAGGTCTGGGGGGCCTGCCCTGCACGCAGCCTCATTCTCTGAGAATTCTTCCTTCCAACATCCCCGCTGAGGGTCCGGTGCCATTGGCTCTGCTGGTACCATGTGATTGAAGAAGTGAGTAACATGCCGTTCCAAAATATGCCACTCCGGATATTGACTATTTTGAGTTAAAGACACTTAAAAATTAGCAGGTACAAAAATATCACTCTGACCTTCCTGCTATTTCTTAAAAATAGGAGATGAACCACCCATGTAAAAAAAAAATAAAAAGGTCCTCCTTGTGCAGAAGGGAAACAGTATTCTTGTCATGACGAACGGGAAGTCAAGGCCGAGAGAACTCTGTACAGATCTTATTAAATAACTTTTATCTTCCAGTCTCCCCATATAACTTAGTTACTTTTTCACAACTTACTACTCTTTGTCCAATTCAGTGTGCATGTGTCCACCTCTAACTGCACCTTTGGGTCTTCATTTCCTTATGAGGGATCTCATGTCATATAAAACTTTAAATAAATTTCAGTGCTTTTCTCCTGTTGATCTGTCTTATGTCAATTTAATTCTCAGGCCCGGCCAAAAACTTCTAAGTGGGTAGAAGTAAAATTCCACTCCCCGCCACCCATAATCATGCCTTCCTGGCCAGAGTTGGCTGGGCTTTGGGTGACAACTGTCTTTGGATGGGCCAATCAGCTGTCTGGTCTTACATCTTGGATTTGTGACCACTGAGGACATGAGCCGGATAGCTGTTAGAGCCTTGGTCTGGAAAGTCACACCAAGCTGGGATAAGAGTCAATGTTAGAGGAAAGCCAAGGCTGTAGGGAATCGGAGGTCCTAACTCAGATGGCAGAGAGGAAAATGGCAGATGGAGCTGAGGGGGCCCCGTGACACAGAAGGGCAGAAGGAAAGAGAAAAAATCAATCTCTACGCATTCCCATCTCAAGAGACATAGCTCCAATGGGCCCTGCCTTATTGGTTTCTGTGAGATCTCTGTAACTTTATAAAAAAAATCCCGTTACCCTTTAATGTAAGCAAGCTCGAGTGGATATCTTGTTTCTTCTAACCAAGAGAGCTTTGTCTAGATCAGGGTAAGTGATTGCATTTGGGAGAAGAGAAAAGCCTCTTCCAATGAAAAGGTCCATTTAAACTGGGCCTTAATGAAAACTCAGGAAGGCGAGGAGAGCCAGGCATCCCAGGCAGGGCGTCCCATGTGGCTCAGGCGTCGTCCCCTTTAAGGCTCGGCTGAGGGGGCATGTGTTCTGAGAAGCCTCCTTGATCACCCACTCACAATCAGGCTGTCCCATCTGTGTCCCCTCTGCACTAACTGCATGTCCCTGTCTCAGCACACCTTCGTTTGTGTCACCACTTGCTTAGTAAACTCTAAACTCCTCTCTCTGGGCTGGGGACCTAGGCCAGGACCTTGGAAGGAGTAGTCACTCAGTGCAGGTTTGTGGACATGCATTTTGTTGAATTGAGTTGAATTCTAATCAAGACCCCACCTATAGCACTTAGGAGCTATATGAGACTCAGTTTCCCCATCTATAAAACAGAGATAGAAACCCCTACTCTGCTCACATCACAGAGTCATTTTGGGCAGCAAATAGCAAACTGCTTTATAAGCTGCAGAGAACCATGCGTGTGTGAGGGTTACTACTCAGTGAAGACGGTGGGCCAAGCTTACTCAGGGAAGCAGGGGATGGGAAAGCAGCCAGTGAGCAAGTTGATTGTGCCGTCATCAATTTAATTAAAAGTGATTGAACATAATTGTTATGGGCTCCTACTTCTTATAAAGTCCTGTGCCAGCACCTGCCTGCCAAATGCCCTGGGCAGAAGTGAAAGGCTTTATCCAACAGCTTCAGTCTCTTTCTGTGCCTCAACCAATGCTTCTTACACCTGGAAGCTTGTGAAGGGCCGACTGCCCCAGTGGGTGGGATCCAGAATGAATCTCTCACCTGTAGTTCATGTCATCCCTTGCCTCGGTCCTGACCTGTGGGCTTTCTCTCTCTTTTCCAGAGCCCAAGGCTGAGACCTTGGCATGTACACGGTTTGAGCCTGCTCAGGTTATAATACTCGGGGGATCAGAGAGAATATCAATCTGATCTGGGTTAAAGCTCTTGTCACTTGCTAGCTGTGTGGCCTTGGGCAGGCCCCTTACCCTCTCTGAGCCTGAGTTGTCTTATGCATTGCATAAGGATAAAACCTCCACCATGCTGGACTGGCAACAGGGTGCATCAAAGTATCATACGCAAAGCAGACAGTTCAGTGTCTGGGTCATGCACAGTGTGCAATGAATGTCAAGTGCATGATGATGATGATGATTAGAGGGTGAGGAGGCAGAGATGTGAACAATTAGAACTCAAGGAAAAGTGTAATAAGGGGTGCAGAGACTCAGAATGGCAGAGCTAGAAAGGCCCTGAAACCTCCCCTGGTCCAGCGGGATCTCCTGTGCGTGACTCGTGGCACCATCCCAACAGGGAGCCTTGCTGCGGTCACAGGGGACTCTCCCTCCTGCTCCTGAGGTAGCCGTAGGCCTGAGTGTGGGAAGGCCTTAGCAATGGTGGTCTGCGCCTCCTCGAGATGTTTGAAGCATGTCTGGGCAGCCCTGGGCGCTGAGGGCTGCAGTGGCATGGAAGCCAATTCTGAGCTCTGAGAGCTTTGGTTGGGTTGGGGCGGGGAGGGGCAGGGCTGTGCACGGTGGGGGGGGGGTGGGGGTGGGTCCTGGGAGCGACCTGGCCTTATGTCATTGATGTTGACACCGACCACAGGGTAGCCCCCCAAGCTGTGGGGTTGACCCCTGACTCAACTTACATGATGATTCCAAAGTGGTTCCCCAGGAGGTAAGAGGTATCATCCCTCTGTCTACGATGCTCTCGTCTTTGGAGGAAGGACAAGACCAAAATGATGGCAAGCTGCAAGCAGAGAAGATGGGAGTCAGTGGGCAGGTTCATCCCCAGCGTGGCCTCAGGCCCCTCGCTGAACGTGAATGTGCGGGTGAGCCGAGAACGCAGAATGTCTGTGACACCTCAAACTCCAGAGTCGGGGGGCCTGGCTGCATGGACCCTTGAGCTACCAGAACATTCTATACTGAGCTTTTCTTTGTGCTGCCCTGAATGGACATAGGTTCAAATCTAGTCTCTCTCACACACTGGCTGGGAGGGAGACTTAACTCCCATGAACCCAGTTTCCTCATCTATAAAAAGGCAGGAATAACTGTCAAGTTGCAAATCCTTCTGTGCTTTTTTCCTGTGGATTCAGTCCTGTTCTCTCACACTGGATGCCCTTTCTCTCTCCTCCCCTCACCAGTAACTTCTTGAGAATTGTCTACACTTGCTGTATCCATCTCCCCTCATGGGCTTCTCAACCCCCTACCCTGCTTCTATCCCCATCACCCACCAATGCAACTATGGCCAAGGACACGAATGACCATTTTGTGGCTCCATTCCATGGATACCACAAGCCCGAATCTAGCTTGCTCTCCCTGCAGCACCCCACAGAATTGACCACTTCCTTCTATTTGAAGCACTCTCTTCCCCTGGCCTCCATCAGCCGAGCTTTTCTGGTTTTCCTCCATTACTTCTCAGTCTTCTTTGCTGGGTCATTCTTTACCCAACCCCTGGGTTTGGAGTTCCTCATAGCTCAGTCCCAGGGTCATGCCTCTCCTCGCCTGACCTTCTCTTCCTCGGTGATCTCACCCACGTCTGTGCCTTTGATGGCCATCGACACACAGCAGACTCACAAACTTGAATCTGCAGCCCAGGCCTTGTCCATGAACTCTGGAACTGTACATCCAACTACACAGCTGGCGTTTCTTTTTAATGAGTTAAAAGCCTCTCAAAGCTTTTATCAAAAGCTTCAGAACATCTTAAATGGACCAATGATTTTCCTCCCTGCCCTGTTCCTTCATCTACCCCAAACCTGGATCTCTTCTCATTTTCCTTAACTAGTGAATGACAGCTACCATCATTCTGCCAGCTGTGCAAAGTAGAAACCTAAGAGTTATCCTTGACACCCCTCCCTTCCCCTAACCCCCCTACCCAACCCATTACAAAGTCCTGTCATTTTCACCTCCTGAACTTCTGGAGTTGCCCACCGTCTTCTAGGATGAGCTAAAATCATCTCTCATCTGGACCCCTGCAATAGTCTCTTAATTGTTCTTCCTGCCTCCTCTCTTACCTGCCTCTAACCCGATGTCCACACTGCAAACAGAGTGATCTTTAAAAATATAAATCTGATTGTACCACCTTCTGCTGGACACACCTCCACTTCTTCCCATTGTCCTTAGCTGAAGACAAAACTCCTTAACACGGAGCCCTGCAGGGCTCTGCCCGGCCTGCCCCCACCTCCCCGGACTTCGCCTCAATTCGCCGCCCCGTCACGCCGGCCTTCTCAGTTCCCCACACTCTCCCTTCTCCCCTCATCCTTTGCACGTGCTGTCCCCTTTGTCTGAAATTCTCAACTTCGTATTCCAGCTGACCTCAGCTCCATCATTACTTCCTCAGAAAAGCCTTTTTTGACTCCCCTAAAAGCCAGCATCCCTGACTCCTGTGCCGCCTTCTGCCTGTCATTGGTGTGTAATGTAAGAGGTTTTAGAAGGACACTCAGCTGGCATCTCTCCCCTGACCTACTCAGGTCTCTTTGGGAGCCCGTGTGTGGCAGCAGCCTAGCTCCCCTGCCTCCCCTCCTCGCCCCTCCCCTGCCTTACTTACTGACGGGATGAGGGAATAATGGAGGAAGAGCTCCATGTCCACCAAGCTGGCACAGCTGCCATTTAGCTGCCTGGTCCTGAAAAATGGCCAAAATCACATTCACGTCAACAATCAGTGCTGCAGTCATCGACCCTTTAGCCTTGAACATCAGGGTCAGGAGTCTGGCTTGTAAGGCCAAACCGGTCTTTTTTAACTTCGCTTTCTCAGAGCTAGGGCTGCTCACCTGTGGGTGTCTGCCCTAAGGGGATTAACCTTCTTCCCTATTTCTTGCTCTAGCTTGATGGTCTACCCAGCATCCTTGCCAACTGGAACTGACTCCCTCATTTCCTCAGGCACGGCCAGAGGCAGACTGTGGTCCTGTGGGGCCCAAAGCCTATATAACTACGTGTCCGTTATAAGTAAAACTACAAAAATAGCTTACTTGTTCACACTTTATGGGAGACATAGGACCATGTAAACGGTTCATTAGGGTCCTTGCCACCCTGCCAGAGCCTTGGAAGTGTCCTGTGAGGGGCCCTAAGACTGAAGCATCATTAACTTCGCAGGAAATCAGCCTTCCAACATCGCTAATTAGCCCAGGTGACAGAGTGAGACCCTGTCTCAAAAACAAAAAAGAAACACCATTGAGAAAAAAATATCCAAAGAATAGTAATACACCAACAAAGAAAACAGACAAATATTCAATAAGTCCTCAAAATTAAACTAGTAATGAAAGAAGAAATTAAGATGAAATGTTGTTTGGGGGGAACTATAAAAAATAACTACCCAGCATGAGTGAATGTTAAGACAAGTTGGTATTCACTTACTGGTGGTTACAGTGTCTACTGGTATAACCACTCTGATGATTAATTTTCCAATATATACAAAGAGTCTTCAAAATGCAGCAATTCCATTTCTAGGAATTGTACTTTTAAAAAATATAAGCTGACTGGGCGCAGTGGCTCATGCCTGTTGGGAGCACTTTGGGAGGCTGAGGTGAGATTACTTGGGGCCAGGAGTTTGCAACCAGCCTGGGTAACACAATGAGACCCCATCTCTACAAAAAATGAGAAAAATTAGCTCAATATGGGGGTGCATGCCTGTAGTCCTGGCTACTTGTGAGGTTAAGGCGGGAGGATCTCTTGAGCTAAGGAATTAGAGGCTGCAGTAGGCTATGATCCTGCCACTACACTCTAGCCTGGGCAACAGAGCAAGACCCTGTCAATAAATAAATAAATAAGCAAGCTAAGGAAATAGTCAGAGAGGTGCCTGAAGACATGTCCTAGAATGCTAAAATCTCTCTCTCTCTTTTTCTCTAGCTCTCCCTCTAATATGTATATAACATTTGAAATGCAATACATGCTCATTGTAAAACATTCAAAATATTTACAAGTGCATAGGGTAGTAAAATCAAAGTCCTTTCTTCTCCCATAATTATATAGTTTTTAAGCAAAAAATGAGATCAGACCAAACTAGGTGTTTTCATTTAATAAATAACAAAAATTTCTCATGTCAGTATATACAGACTCGTTTAACTATTTTTGATGAGTGACCCTGCCTAGACAAATTTGCTGCTGGACATGTCTCCTGCTTGCAGAGGCTGATCCTGGGGTTAGTCTGGAAGCATCTCACAGCAGGTGAGCTCAAGGAGTGTCTATGTGCAGCTCTCTAAACCAGGGTCCATTGCTATGGAGTCTGGCCCGCCTGGGCTAATCTCCCACTCCAGCACCCACTGTAGTGAACAGATAAAGCGTGCGCTGGAGCCGATCCAAATTAGAAGACCACTGAGACCCATTTCTTGGTTTCTGAAGCTCATGCTCCTTCCTGGTGGGTCCTGGGCTGGTCGGGCAGACTTATTGGAGGGTCAGGAGCAGCTACAGGGCAGCAGTAAAACAGCACTGTCCACCACAGAGGATCTGCCCAACACTGATAATGGCTTGAAAGTGTGCTTATAATATATCATTAAGTGAAAATAAAAGGTTATGAAACAATATGAACCTGAGTTGTTAAGTGGTCATCTCTGGGTGGTGGGATTAGAGGTCATTCTACTTTGTTTTTCTTTACTTTTTTCTCTATTGTCCCAGTGTGGTACAACAGAGATATACTTCTTGACAGCTGCTAATCTATCCCCAGTGCTTAAAATAGTGTCTGACACAAACACAAAATGGATGGCCATAAATGCATGTGGAATGAATGGATGGGTTGCTTTTATACTCAAAGAAAAAGCTGAATGTTGTCCCAAAGCAATAAAATACCATTCTGAAGGAAAAACATCCATGAAATCAGCACAGCATGGAACATGCAAGATTTGTTCTGTGATAGGGTAAAATTTACAAGTCTTTCACTAAGTTAAACACAATTGAATATGAAATCTAGGAGGGTCAGCAAGATGGCCAACTACGGGTGCCTGGTGCTTGCCCCCTCCTCAAATGGGACAAACACAATGAATAAGCAACTACATTTGGCTGGAGTGGCTGAGGACATGCCCTGGAGAACACTGGGGGAGTGACAAATTCCCTGTGGAGGAGAGAGGGGAATGGCACGCCCTGCCTCTGCCACGCTGTCTCCCCACTGGGATTGGCTCGGAGCCGGGGGGACATCTCATGAGGAGAAGGTAAGCTGGAGACCTCACTGGTCCCCATTGCCACCACAGATGCCAGCAGTCTTTGCTACAGGCGAGTCCCCCAGTCCTCACAGGGCCCAAATCCAGTTTGGAGAATTGCTGGGAGATTGCACAGCTGCATTCCCCGCACTAGGAATCCTCTTTGTACCCCCATGCCCATGACCCAAGCTGATACTGCTCAGTGTCATCTTCAAATCAAACCCACTGCTCAAGTGTTTCCTGCCCTGGGAGCCAGTAGCCACTGACTCTCCATCCATGAGGGCCCTGCTGTCATTCCATCATATCTGCACAGGTCCTGCAGCCCCACAAGCCTGCTCGCTGGAACCTAGACCCAGTGGAATGGTGGGGATCACAGTGTCTAAACCTACGTGGCACCCATCTTCTGTGGAACAGGCAGACCTGCACAGAGAGGAGGCCACTGCACATCCTGGGGGCCCACTGTACCCTTGCACCTGTGCACACCTGTGGGCACATGTGCCAGCCCTAACAGCAGTGGCCTGTTCCCCCAGAGAGACCACTGCACAGCCAGCCAGACTCCCCGCATCCCTGCACACTTGCACCAAGCTCAATAGAAAGCATGGTGGCAGCCCTACCCCCAGGAGAGACTACCATATAGCCAGCCAGCCTGCCACACCTGTGCCCAGCCCTGCAGCCAGTCTAGTGGTGACCCTGCCCCCTCTGGAGTTCATTGCACAGTCACCTGGCCTGCTGCACCTAAATGTACCCATACCCAACCTGATAGCTCATGTGGCAGTGCCCCATCCACCAGAGAACCTGCTGTGCAGCTAGCCAGCCTGCCACACCCAGGCATGCCCCCAAGATAGCCTGCCACACAGCAGGCAGGCCATCACTCCCAAGTGTGCTTGTGCCCAGCCCAACAACCAGCCTGGCACCCTCCTCCCCAGCAAAACCATGCCACCATCACTGTCACAGAATCCTGCAGCCTAGGCCACAGACACAATTGCAGGCATCACTATGAGGATTACAGCTGAAGAAACTGCAGAGACCATGCTGCTGGATCCATCCAGAACCAAAGCCAATGCGTTACACTCAACAGACACCTTAAGATCCATCTACAGAAAAAGATTTCTCCCTATGAAAGCTGCTCCCTAAAATTGGAAAAAGTTACACTAGATGCAAAGATAGTGTGAAACACATGACAGTAGCTTTCATTGATCAATGTCACTTTATTGTGTGTCCCTATGTCCTAGGCACTCCGCTATTTTGTATTACCTACTTTAACCCTTACAAGAATCTAAGGAGGTAGATTATATTATCCTCTTTTTAAAATGAGGAACTGAAGCCAGGAGAGGTTTGATGATTTACCCAGGGGAAGGTGAGCCAAGCTCCCCTGCACGTCACTCTCCTCCCAGTCCCAGCTAGTGGCTCACATGGTTGCTCAGTGCTCCTGGAGTTCCCTGGCCTCCCAGACTGTGGCTGATTCATCCCTCATCCTTAGAGTCCAGCCAGTGCCTGGCACTGAGAGGCTCAGGGGATGTTTCTGACAATCCATGGGAACCTCCCTCAGGGAACTGAGGCCCAGAGAGGGGCAGAGGTCAGGAAACATCACGCAGCCCAGGACTTTTCATCGAGCACAGTGATCAGGTGTGGGCACCTCGGGGGCACAGAAGGAATGGTTCCCGCTGCTCAGTGCAAAGGAGGGTTAGGGAGGGGGTAAAAGGTGTGTGCAGTGTGTGTGTGTGTGTATGTGTGCTCATGTGATGCCTTCCACAATGCAGCAACCCATACATTGGGGTGTCTGATTCTGCACTAGTTCTTCCCTGGCTTTGTGAATCCCATGAGCACACCCCCCCCCGTTCATGTGGCCTCCACAGAATCCTTGGAGGTCTGAGGTAGACGTGGAGGTGTGCTGAGCTGGCACGTGCCAGCTCGGAAGAACCAACTGCCCTGCTGTACGGAATTTCTCAAGCCGGTTGTTAAACACTACCGTTGTTAAAAATTAAATTGTATAAACATATAATTAAATAAGTTATATGAAAAACAAAGACAGTAAAGACCTAAAACTCATCTCTTGTTAATTCTGTTGCTATCTTTTACTGTTATGTGCACTCTTGAGTTTATTGTCTATTAGCTGCTGTGTCTGTATAATGGCAATACTGTGTTACCGCGTGCTGCCCCGCATCTCCTCCCACTCCTGTTCACTGACATCACGTGGCTCAAAATCAGCCACCATCCATGGTTTACACCATGGAAATCAGCAAACACTACAAACCAGGGCTCGATTTATTGTTTCGTAGACTGTCTATAAAGTAACAGAGAAAATGTTAATAATGCAGATTTAAAAACATATCTTTGTAGCCATTACATTGTGAATAGCAAAAAATCATTGAGAAGATGTTCGTCCAGAATTCAGAAATGTTTATCTCATTCAGCAAAGTATTCCTGTCAATTGATGAATGAGTGAAGTTCTGGTTTACATCTTGTCTTTGTTGTTTCGCATTTATCTTACTCAT